TTTTTTTTTTTTTTTCCCCCAAGAAAGATCTCACTGCAAGTTGGTGTTTCAGGATACCTAGACCATTTGAAAATAATGACCCTACAGCAGCAGCAAAAACAATCTAATGGTCTGATTAAAAAATAGGAAAAAGACATGAATAGATATTGCTCCAAAAAACTACAAATGGTCAATACATACGTGAGAAAAAGCTCAAGGTCACTAATTTTCAGGGACATGCAAATCAAAACCACAGTGGGACATCACTTCATACTTATAAGGAGGGCCAATCCAAAAAAAAAAAAAAAAAAGACAAGTGTTGGTAAGGATAGAGAGAAGTTGGAACTCTTAGATCTGTGAGTAGGAATGTAGAATGGTGCAGCTGTTAAGGAAGAGTGCAGAGGTTCCTGAAAAAAATTAAAAATAGAAATATCATGTGATCCTGTAATCTTTCTTCTGAGTATTTATTCAAAGTAATTGAGATCAGGATCTCAGTGAGATATCGGCATTCCCATGTTCAGAGCAGCATTATTTACAATAGCCACGATGCAGAAGTGTCTATTGGTAGATGAATGGATTAAAAAAAGTAGAAGCACATGATGAAATATCACTTAATTTTAAAAAAGGAAATTCTGCAATATATAATAATAACATGGATGAACCCTGAGGACATTATACTAAGTGATTAAGTCAGTCACAGAAGGACAAAAAAATATGCATGATCCCTCTTGTATGCCATATCTACAACAGTCAAATGCACAGAGGCAGAGCAGAATGGTGGTTGTCAGAGATGGGGGAGGGAGAGGGGAGTAAATAGCCAATGAGCATAAAGTTTCAGTTAAGTGAGACAAATTGGCTTTAGGGATCTGTTGTGCCTACAGTTAACACTACCGCACTGCACAGGTAAGATCTGTCTCAGTCCATCTCATATTAAGTGCTCTTACCACAACAAAATAAGGTTGAATGAAAAAAAAAAAAAGGCAAATGCTGATGGTCACAGAAGCTGGGTGGTGGACACACAGGGGCTCATTTTATCATCTCTCTACTTTTGTATCTAATAAAAATTATTACATAATTTTTTCCCAAGGTGGGAGGGGATGATTCCACAGCAATATTTCTCTGTGTTAAAAGATTTAAACCTTCCCAGCCAAGTCACTTCTCAAGTTATGTCAAGTGACGAAAGTGAACTTGTGCCGTGGATTCCAACTACAGGAACATGGTTTCCAGCTTTTCCTTCCTCCACAGGGTTAAAACCATCACCTCAGGCAGGGATTTCTGTGAATGCTTAGTATTCTAAAAGGTAGTGTGAACTCTGATGTTAGCAGGAAGAAATGCTGCAGGAGGGATACATGGGGACACTGGAAGATGTCCTCATGGGGCTTAGCTGCCCTGGAGGATGTCAGGAAGCAAAGGTGCAGACTCTGTGGGAACAAAGCTGGTGGCCCCTGTTAACCAGAACAGTCACTCTCATCCACCTGGCCCCTTTCTTTAACAGCTAGTTTTGTCAAATACGCTAGTTTACTGAGCACAGTTTAGGCATTGAAAACTGAAGAGTTACCATTAGGTGGTGTCAGGAATAGCGAGAACAGAGGGGTTTAAGTTTTATGTTCTGGCAATAGGCAATATCTATTTATCGATCACCAGGCTTGCCTGCTGGCTCAACAATAGTTGAACCTATATTTGCTGAGTATCTACTCTATGCCAGGAGCTGCATCAGGTGTGCAGGTTTCAGAGATGAATAAACTATAGCAATTGTCCTCCAGGAGCCTATGGTCTGGGAGGAGGCACCAAGGAACGGGTAGGTCATTTCCATGAACTCATTACATTTCAAACAGAGGTCACAGGAGCACAGAGTCCTTTCCTACCCTTCCAGCTTCTCTTTCTCCAAAACAGAGCCAAACTTCCCCAGTGGGGGACTAGGCTTGCGGACATCATTTCTTTCCCCTTCCCTGACTGCTGCTGTCTCACCACCCCATACAAATAGCAAGAGTCACCAATGCCCTCCATGGTATAGGACTAGTGGCTCAGTGGCAGACATTAACCTGCCTTAACTCAGCATCTCTGACGGGCTGAAAATGCCTCCGCTCAACATCCCATGCTTTCCTCTTGCCAACTGCTGCTGCTCCTCAGGCACCTTATGCGTTTTCTTCTGAAGATGGTCCTTCCACCCTCCATGCTTCTCCTCTCCTACAGATGTTGCTATCTTTACAGCAGCAATCCCTGCACCCATGCTCCTGTACCTGAGTAGGCTTGTGTCCATTCATTAGTTCTACCAGTGGTCTCTCTGGCACTTCTGATTCAACACTTCCCAGACTGAACTCACCTTCTTGTCCCTGCTCAGGGTGACTCTCCAGGGAGCTCTCCCTCCATATGTAAAGTCACTGTCCATAAAATGCTCCTGAAGTGTGGAGCCATGCTTGCTCCTCCCTCATGTCCCAATGCCCACTGGTTCACCAGGCCCAGTGAACTCTTCCTCCTGGATTCCTCTTAAATACATGGCTCATCTCCATCCTCCAGCCACATCCATGCTCTATGCATCTTGCTTAGACAACTGCTTCCTAACAGGTCCCCAGACCAGACACACTCACATGCATATTATCTACTTCAAAAGTTGCCAGTGGCCTGAGCCCTCCTCTGAGGCTTGGTGCACATCATTTGTGGGAATACAAGGAAGACATCCACAGGCCTTGTCCATACCTGGGTCTCAGGGTCGTCAGAGCCCAGGCTGGCAGCCCCCAGCTTGACGACCTCAGCCAGCTGGGTGATGGTGGCTGCTGAGGACTGAGCTGCCTGGGCCAGCTTGTCTGGAGTGGACGCCGCCCCTGACACAAGCAGTTTTGTGTCTTCCACCAAGGCCTTGGCCGTCTTCAGAATGTTCTCCCTGAGAAACCAGGCAGGACCAAGGAGGGAGGGAGAAACAAAGGGAAAAACTTGCTTTTTTTGTGGTTGGGAGGGGAAATCCTTCACAGGGGGCTTTGGTGAAAGGGCTCTGGGAAAGAGTCACATGTTCCCCCACCCTTATCAAGGGGTACACAGCTTCCACGTAAGCAAAGTTGGGGAGATGAGAGGAAAGCCAACCCTCGTGCACAAGGTGGAGGGTAGTAATGGTCCAGGGAAAGACTCAGGCCCACAGGCCTGTGGTTAAGTGAACATCCCACATTTTTTGTGACTCTCAAGATCCCTTAAGACACCCACAGTGAGCTGTGAGGAAGCATGGGTGGTGGCATCTTGTCTGGGAATCAGAGCCTGAGGGGCTAGGCTCAGGGAAGGACAGAGTACAGGGAATCTGTTCTGCCCACCCCCAGCCCAGACCTTGGATTAGAGAGAGACAAGGAATAGATGACGAGGATTTGGGGCTCTCCAGCTGTAAACACAGAGCCCTCAGCAACGGCCATCTCAGCAGTGTTCTTAAACTCCCCAAGGCACAGCTCCTACTAAACGTGCCTGCCCCTGCCAATCCTGCCAGGTCAGTGGACGGTCACAGGAGCAGTTCTCTCTAGCCAGCAAAGTGAAAGATCAAAAAAATGTTCTCTGCTGGATCAGGCTGGATCTAGGACTGTTGGCCGAGCTCAAACATCACTCTGTGTTTACAGTTGGCAAAAGGAGCTTTTTTTGATTTCATGATTCATTTAACCCATTGAGGACCTTGTTGAACTCAGAAGAGATATACAGATTTCTGGCTCCCAGGTAGTGTGGCAAAAGTTGATGAGTTTTGGGGCATGTACCTGTGGTCTGCAAAGGTCTCACTATTCTCTGCGTTCAGCGTCCCTGCTGTTGCAAACATGATAGTGGTGTCCAGGTCAGCGATGATCCCAGACACAGCAGTGGCAGCTGTGATGCATGCTTGTGTCCCCTTGTTCCCAGCCTGGAGAGCTGAGAGCACCAAGGACACCTGTAGGTAAACAGGAATGTGAAAATGGAGAAAATGTGACCCCAAAGTGTGCCGAACCTGAAAACGCTGAATTTTTTGTCCTGGAAGTTGATGTAGCTTAGGGGTCAGTGGCACAGGTTTGACATCAACAGCCTGGGTCTGAATACCAACTTTTCTATTTATAGGCTACATGGCCTTGGCCAAGCTGTTTCATCTTTTTGGGCCTTAGTTTCCTCATCTGTAGAATGGGTCCATTACTTTTTATCTACCAAAGAAAGGTATTGGAAGAATAGAGGAAAACTGATGTATGTAAAGTACCTAGCAAGGCATTTGCATATCCTAAATGCTCAGTCTAGGGCAGATGCTAGTATGCATTTAGTTCTCATTATGATTCTGAAACCACAGTGAAGGGGCAAGGATTAGGTGCCTCTGAACTGTGTCACTTCCATCTCTTTTAGTTAGGTGTTTGGAGCAGCCACTGCTAATATTCATCACTCCTTAACTTGGCTGCCTTATGATGGGAAATTCTCCAGAGCAGACCTCGCTCCAGATGGGATCTCATCCAGAACCTCTCCACCCCTAACACTCCTGCACATCATTAACCACCATCAAACAGTACACAGTGACCTCAGGGTCCAGCAAGTCAGGTAAGGGCTTCACCCCAGCATGTTCCATGTCAGAAATCCTGACTTCCAGCTCCTACCACTCAGCCCCTAGAGTAAACCCTCCCTATTTCAGAGATACTTTCTACCCAAACCTGACCATCCCTCATCCCTGCTTACAATTCCACCACATGTCAACTTCACTTTCTTCCCCTGACATCTTCCAGCCTCTTACTTCCCCAGAAACACCCACCTTTTCTCTCCAGATCTACACTCTGCCTACAAGGCTCCATTTTCTCCTCTCCAGTCACTGACCAACTCACCCAGCAAGATACAGCTCAAAGTCCCCTCTGAGATGCCTCCACCTATTCTCTTTTCTAGAGAGACAGCTCCGTCTCCTGGGATTCCACAGTGCACTGCTCTTGCCCTCAGGATAGCACCTCGGGTTAGCAGCTGGAAGCTCTCAGAGGCCAGGAGCCCTGTGTTAATTTCAGTGCACTTACAACCACCATCCCGTTCTATGGCTGGCCCCCAAAAGGATGAAATGCTTTGCAAATGTATTTCTTGAAACGTGCTGAGCAGGGCAGGGGAATGTCAGTGTGGTAAGAGGCACTGAGTTTGGGACAGTCTTTTCCCTGTGCTGCTCAGATCTTGGCAGAGGTTGTGGACTCAGCCCAGCAGGAGGGGCAGGGGGACCATTTCCTGAGTGCCCACCATGTCCCAGGACCAGTTCACAGGGTACTATTTCCCTGCTCCATTTGCCTGATTCTCCTTTAAATGCCTGTAGGTCCTACCAGGAAAAGAAGTCAGACTGGCACAGACCTGATATGGCAATGAGATAAATAGCTTCTGGAAAGAACTCTCAGAGAATGGGGGACAAAGGCCAAGACAAGTGATTGGCTGTTTTGGGTGTGTGAGAGAGACTTTCTCAGCCAGGGTGAAAAAAGAAAGTCCAGAAACAGTGCCTTACCCACTGCAAAGGGTGCACAAGTTGGCAGGTGTTTACTGGCCCTCTCCTGGTCCCTAGGGAGGTCATGGAGGAAGACCAATCAAGGGGCTCATGGTTGGGGGCTCATTATATACAACACTGAGACATGTAAGACTGACACAAGAAACACCAGGCAGATTAGAAGGGCAGGGACATGTAGCACAAAACAGCAATAAGCCTGGTTGCTAAAAACTGGCCGCCTCCCTACCTTTGTCCTTCCCCAGGTGTCCTGAATCAGGGGCATCTGCTGTGAGGAGCAGCAAGGCCAAGGCCAACTTGGGAAGACTGTGTTGCCTGGCCATGACAGGCATCTTGGTATCCTGCCCCTGGCCCTGCTGCTTCCCCTGCAAGCCCTTCTGGGGGAACTTGGCAAGCATGACCTCCACAACAGGGAAGGGCTTTGAAGGGAGAGCAAATAACTTCCCTGAGCTGAGAGATTTATTTCCTCATCCTGTGGAGCCCAGAGAGCCTGGACAGTCCTGCGGGCTTCAGGAGACAGCCAGACTGAGGCTCCGTCTCGGCCAAGGGCCACGGACAGAGCAGTGTCTGTGATCGACTTCCCCATGAGGGTTCCCAGCCAGCCCTGAAGTCTTGTTGCCAAGTTTCTCAACAGTACAGAGCTCTATGTACTTCAAACCAAAGTGCACGGAGAGGAAAATGCCACTGAAGCACAGATGCTTTGCTCTGTGCTTCACACAACCTGCTGAAGAGCTGTTCTGAGTGAGAACTGGCTGGGCTGCAAGCAAAGCGAAAGGTTCCCCTCCAGGAGGAGAATAAAGAGCCTGGATACGGAGGGACTGTTACAGTGGGGCCTTGTGAACTGGGGATAGCATCCTCGGAGAAGAGTTCTGGAGGAAAGTTCCCAGAGAACCGCAGTGAGCACTGACTAGATGTTTATGTCTGGCACAGTGCCAGGTGCTTTTACACACATCACTATGCTTAATCTTTAAAATTCTGAGTCAGGTATTGCAAATTTGTATCCTCACTTTATAGATGAGCAAATCAAGGCTTGGAGAGGTGAAGTAATTTAGCTAAGATTTCACAGCCCTGCTCCCTACCCTAGAGATTCTCTCTACAAATAGCTGCCATTAGAGTCTGAAGACCCCAGGGGAAGTTCCTTAATGCTCCTCCCCAAAGGCGCTATACAACTGCCTCAAATCACTCAGCCTCCCTGGCTTCACTGGCCCTAAATCAAGAGGTTGCCCAGGAAGGGAAATTTCAGTCTTTTTGACTCAGCCCTTAGCACCTGGGAGCCTCCTTAAGAAGGAAGGCCAGGGGTTACAGGGTGGGGCTCCAGCACGGGCCTCCCCCTGGCTAGCTTTTGGCTCTGATATTACTGATACGGTCTGTCTGCAGGAGAGCCCTTAGAGAAGATTGAGCACCGGGGCCTGATCCTCATGGGATAGCCCCTGTAGCACTCTTCATTTCTCAGGTCCTGTGGATCACCCTCTGGTGCAGCCTTCCCCGTGGAGGACCCGGGTGAGAAGAGAAGACAGCTGTGAAGGCTGGATTAACTTTAGCTCGGTTTCTTGCTTTTGTCCCCCATTACAGTGGGTCACTGAGAGCCAGTGGCAACTACGGTGGCTATATCTGACCCGGAGGGCTGCTCCTTACCTTCTCTGTGACAGCACGGGCACACTCGATCAGTTCCCTTTTGGTGTAGCTGTCTGTGGGGCACACCTGGAGGGCCCCTGCCTTCTGCACCAGGAAGATACAGCCGTGGCCCAGGTCTTGTACACGCGTGCGAATCTGGAATCCGATCTGCAGAGGCAAGCCCGGGATAGGGAAGGAGTGTGATGGGACCCTGCCATTAAGGCCTTCCCTACGTGGAAAATTTCTCCTGCGTCCTATGGGAAACTGGCTAGGAAAATTCCACTCCTATTAGGAGTCTGTGTCTGGTGAAGTATGGAATTTGGTTGATTTAGCTTCCCTTTTTAGAGACTGTAAAATGCCCACAGTCTCCATCAAACAAGCATGTGGCTCATTGTGCTAGCATAATGCCCCTGAAGTTTGCTACCTTTTCTGGTGTGCAGCTCATTTGGGACTCAGGCCACCCAATAAGAATGTTAATTAGATGAACTCTGTGGCACAATTGTTATTCATTCAACAAGCATTTATTGAGCCCCTGCTGTGTGTCAAGGCCTCTTCCAAGCAGGTGTTGCCTTTTCATTTCATTTATACTTCCCAACAGCCCTAGAGGGTAATTAGAAGTTCAAAATATAGCTTTAGTATTAAGCATATTTTAAAGTGTTCAGATTCTTACAAAATTGTATGTTTACCAACCAGAACACCCCCTTCCTCAGCTGTACCACATGGTGAGAGGGACCCTACAGAGCCAAGGCTTCCTGGCCATCAGACCAGGTTTGAGGTTTCCTTGAACAAGGCACACTCATAGAGCTAAAGGCTCAGCAGGCACGCATTCATTTAAGACTCTGAGTTGTGTGATTATTAAAGGCAATTTGCCTGGGAGAAGAGAAAGGAGTGTCACTATGGTTAAGCTGCCAGCTGTTTCCTTTAAGGTATAATAAACTTCACTTCCCCAAAGTACACATTCCTTGGATTCTTTTTCATGTCAGTTTTCATTTGGTCTGATCAACACAGCTGCCATGAATAACCTGCCTTCCAGTGCAGGTAAGAAACTAAAAGAAAGTTTAAGTGTGAATCAGTGTTATTTTTAAAAATGTACAGTAGCTAGAGGTTATAGCTTATTCTTGTATCAACTATTTAGAACAGTTACCAAAATATTTCAGATTTGGTGAATGCTGCCTGGAAGACTTTGGCTATCTGGATGCCGTCTCCTGCTATCATCTCTTATCATCTCTTTAGAGTTTATGGAAGAGTAACTTTGGAGAGTAGGGATACTACAGATGTTCTCTTACATTACAAAAATACAGCTTTTAGAAAAACATATTCTGCCCCTAACTCCTTAATGCCCAAAGGGCTTTCAAGTCTCCTTAACAGAAAATTCTTTCAATTAAAAAAGGTGAGTTTCTGCTCTTTGGGTATCTTGTGAATATTATGCTGGGTGCTGCAGAAGCTTCACCATTAGGCAGGTCTGTCCTGCTGACCATTTCTGTGTAATATACAACATGAGCAGCATTCCTAGATTCTAAAAAAAATGGCAGTTCTGAAAATAGGTCTGGACTGGTGCAGTAATAAGGCTGTCACCAAGGAGGGACAATTCCGCCCACAAGGCAGTAAGTGATGCCATTCAAACTTATGTGTTTACTAGACACATTCCTGGCTTTAAAAACAAGTTCAAGGTGAAGCCAGGTGATGCCCCATTAACGTTACAAACTCAGTCTAGCTTTTGAAGCCTTCCAGATCCATAGTTTAACACCAAGTATTCAAGAATCAGAGCTAATCTAAAAGCAAGAGCTCTTAAATTAAGGATGACCATAGATCTCTAAATGATAAAGGGCAGCTGATAAAGTCAGGTGAAGAGGAAGTGGTAGAAGAAATACTGACAGAACTTCAAAACAAAAAGAGACCTTATCAGTTTCAGTTATTTAAAGTGGCTCCGATTGAAATGTGGTTTTGTTGTCTTGAGCTAAAAATTTTACTAAGCTCTCTGGATCTCAGTTTGCTTACCCGTAAAAGGGGAGAACAAATGATTCTTGTTTCACATACTGTGATTAGAAGAGTAAATGGGACAGCACCCATCACAATGCCTACCATGTGGTCAGACTTATTATTTTTTTCAGGGGTGTGACAGCAGGGCACTCAAATGAAAGAAGAAAACAGAATCAATAGTCCACTGGCAATTTTTTTTTTTTTTTTTTGTACTGAGGATTGAATGCAGGGCCACACCCCCAACCCTATTTTGTATTTTATTTAGAGATGGGGTCTGAGGTGCTTAGTGCCTCACTTTTGCTGAGGCTGGCTTTGAACTTGCTATTCTCCTGCCTCAGCCTCCAGAGCCACTGGGATTATAGGCATTTGCCACTGTGCCCAGCTTTATTGGCAATTTCTCTGTGAACATTTTGTACCACCAGAGGAACATTCTAGAAAGGATGAGTTTTTGAGACTGTATTCAAGCAGATAAGGGATTTAAAAATGGTCAGCTTCTCAAAACAATGCTGAACTTCTTGCAAATACAACCCAATGTTTTAAGAACCACAGGGTGATTCCACACACCACTAGTGTTTATTATAAAGGAATGTTGCTCAAAGACATTCAACTTGGGGTTTTAAATTGGCAACTTTAGTAAACCATTACTTGAGCCTCATGAAAAAAACCTCAATTCCCTTCTTGCCCAAATAAAAGTTCAATGGAGGAAAAACCATCTCCCTGTTTTGTGCCTGGAGGGAAATTAAAAGCCTGGCCTTTATGAAGTTTTGGATCCAATTACACTGTGGGGGGTGATCTAGGAGAACTGATCATCTTTCCTTACTGCCTAAAACCAAACAAAATGTTGGGCTTGTCACAGACCTTAAAAGCAATTGCATCCGAAACCAGGTCCACTATCTTGCCTGGGAGAGCTTGTGGATGTTGGTAAGTTCTGATTCTTCAGAACTTATATGATAAACTGAGATAGAAAAATATGGAAGGAAAAAAATAGAAAGTTCACAACAGACTTAGGAATCACTATCCAACCTCTAAAAAGCATGTCTGGAGTGGAAAGTTTTAGAGAATTCTAGAGAGGACACCATCTCACCGAGGGGAGAGGGCTGTGGTTCTTGTAGGCAAATGCTCCTGCTAGCTTTGAAGACATCCAGTATTACAAGGGGTTACAGTGGATTTTCCTTAGAGACAAAGCTTTAGTCACTAAATCTTTCCCCCAGGATTTACACTTAGGAGTCGTGGCTCATAGAATTTCAATACTTTCTTTTCATTTTTTTTTTTAGAAAAATAATAATAACCCAAAATTGCAAAGCTGCCAGAGGATTTTTAGCTTTTCTGAAGAAGTTTTTACAGTGAAGTTAACAAAGGTTTGAATTTTCCATGGAAAAATAAGCAGATAAAGATCCTGCTTGATGTTTCAGGGCACAGCTCTGATTTTTCCTGTAATTGTCCCATCCTGGAAAAGACCAAAACGCTGACTTGGCACAGCCGCTACAGGCTGCCGTGAAGGGGGCCGTTTTTGACTTGCTGGGGATATAAATATTTTCACATGCTGTGATGTGGGGTCCTCTTGGGTATACAAATAATTCTACGATCTTGGAATAAAAAAATACATTGCTTCAGGGATCTCCTAACCTTCTTGGTTTTCTCCCCACATATCTGTCTGGCAAATGCAAACAAAGAATTTTCCTTTGCAAGCCACGGGTAATTTTATATTTTCCCTGTCTCTTCTCACTCCAGGTCACATTGTTTTTGTGTCTGGACTGTAAAATATAACTTGAGATGTAAGAGTGAAATGGGAAAAGCTTAATGAAAATGTTGCTACAGCCCACGGCCAATAACCAAAGAAACCTGTTGTGCTTTCTGCAATCCATTTTCTTTCCTGGCTGCTTTGACTTTATTTTATAGTTTGCTTCAGTGGTTTGCCTTGCAATAAGAAAATTCTGCTTGTTTCACACATGAGGTGGGCAGCTCATAAGAACTCCGATGGGGGAAGGGCCCTGCAGATAACCCAGGCAGGACAGCATTTCAACCATCCAAGGCAGATGGAGGTGGATTCCACTCATAAAGGTTTCTGTAGATAGGGATCCAGACCTCCCTTACAATTACAGTCTGTTTTTAATTCCTCCCTCAAAGCCATTTACTTCTTCCCTTTGTTCAACCAAAGTCTTCTTTACTCTAACGTAAGTTCCCTTATAGTTGTTTATGAAATTCAAAATTACACATTAATCAAGTGAAATTATATGTCTAGATAAATTACAGACTGGAATTATAGTCTAGTCTTACTAAAGCAGGGAGTCTATTTTAAAGAAAGAAAGATGGGCCTGTGTAAAAGAATCAAGAGAGTCCTGGAGTCTCTGATAGTGTTCCTTTCTTGATTGAACTTAACACACTCATCACAAACAATTATTCATGCTGCAACCTAAATAATCATTTTGAAATCAGAAAACACAGGCACTGTTAAAACTTAAGAAATCCCATGCTAGATATATATGTATGCAAGTACATATATGTGATGCTTCTGTTCACATGCATGGTTATGCCACTTGTTAGAAAGCAATGTGTTCTGGGTCTTTGCTTCTGTAGAACCTCTGGGAATCTTTGTTAGAACATGCTCGGATCTGACTCCCAGAAGAAAAAGCAGCACTGAGGAACTTTGGGACAGTGACTATTACTGCAAGGAGAGAAAAAAACCAGCTACAACCTTCTGCTTTGACATCCTGCTAATTCACAATAGGAGTTGAGCTCAATAAACAGCTTGCTGAATTTCATGGAACAGTTACCTTTATCTCTCCAGTGTTACTGCAACTCATCCCATCATTCTGTATTCCAGATTGAGCTTTCTTTCTCTAAAGAGCCACAGAGTTCCCTGGGCCCTTCTGGGTATTCACACTGACACCCCCTGGAGCCCCAGTCAGGACCTCTGGAGACCACCCAAGGAGTGGTCTTCCCAGTAGACCCCTTCGTTTCTTAGAACTACCAGAGATTGCAACTCTTAGAAAGTGGCTTTAGGGGCCTAATGTTGTCATTTGAAGGCCTTTCTGGGTGCAGCTTGCTGAAGTCAAGTCTATGCTGGCCTCCACAGAAAGCTAGTTAAGGGAGGCATGTGGGTACTAAAGAGGCCACCGGAGGTATGATGGCAGGATCTGGGCCAATTCTTAGACACTAAGGACACTAAGATTATTAAGGTAAGGCTTGTGACACAAAAGCAGGCATTTCTCAATTGAGGGGCAGCAAAATCCCATGCTTCTAACACTTCTGGGAGCCTTTGTAAAATACAAACTTGACTTGGGGGGATGCATAGAATGGGAACAGGAAATGATAAGATGGCACCCCCAGGCTCAAGCATGGTAAGATGATGGGCTGATGGGGAAGAGGCCTGGTAGAACATTGTAGGCAGAGTTATATTTTTCCTGAAAGCCTACTCCCCAAATGGTCCCAGCTCTTGGCCAGTCAGGCTCTGAAAGAGCATGAGCCTGGAACACAACCTTGGGCTTCCAGGTATGAATGAGTGTGTGTGGTGGGGAGAAGTTGGCTGCACATAGCGGAAACAGAATCTGGTTCTGGCTACTGGGCTCAGGTCTTTTGGAGTGGAGCCAGGCTATAGAGAATCCCTTAGGGGTGGGCACCACTGTGTTTGCTTCTTAAAATAGGGGCCTTAAGGTGGCAGACCTCCTCTGGTTCGGCCGTGGCTGCTGCCATCTGGCCCTGGAGAGCCAGGTGCCCATAGTCACTGGTCATTTGTGAAGCCAATCCTCCCAACTCCTCCGGGTTAGTAACCGACTTAGTCATCTGGAAAAAGAAAACAAGCAAGACACAAATACACACAGAGAAAAGCATGAAAACCACGTGTTAATACCATTGGAAGCCAAAGGATTTCATTCACTTTTAAGCTCCCGATGGGGTGAAGGCTAGTACTGGCATTCAGGGCTGAATGCTGGAAAGGGCAGCTCAAGCACAGCCCATGCCACATTGCACACAAAAGGCCAGAACCCATGCAGACCCTGCAGGGCCCCTCTTAGGCCAGCAGATTCTGGTTGGGCCAGATGGGCACATGCTTAGTGTGGAGGCCGTGCATCGTGGAGCTGGGCCCTGAGGGACCACTCTCTGGGAGGTGCCCTGTGAGGCCAAAGAGGAATTCCCTCACAAAACCACCAGGAGGCACAACCCATGTGCACTGCACACTCCTGGCCTGGGTGTCTACGGACAGCTGGTTTGGACTCTGGGTCTTAGAAGCAGGATCCACCCAGGTAAGAAAGGGCATGGGGCATGAGGACAGGGCTGTTAAAGTTGTGAATGAGAAGTGGTAGAGAAGCCAATGTTTTGGAGGAAGAAACTCAGAGAATAGCTTTGAAATAAATTTGTGCCAAAGCATGACAAGGGTTCAGCCACAATGTTCTTATTGGCAAGACATATTTTTCTGCTTCATAGAACAGTGTGTCTTAGCTAAGCTCACCTAACACGCTAGTTTCTAGCTTTCCTTCTTCCTCTGGACAAAAATGCCAATTCTCACAAGAATAGCTTTAATGTATTACTCAAACGTGTCCTTGTCCCTCTTAAGGGGCTTCCTTCCTGCCTCATCCCCTTCCTTGCTCTGGATAACTCTCTCTTTATAACTTTTGAAGGCCTTAATGTGAAAGGGTTTTTAAAGTCTTTTTGAACAACTTCATATCCATTGAGGTGGGATAGGAATGTCTGTCTCTTCTAAGGTTTTTTTTATAAGGAAATGTAACAAGCTTCAGGCCCAAGTATGGGTTCCAAGGAGCACATGTTGAACCTCAAGAGGGTGAGATGGCACCACGAACTGCTCCATCTGTGCCCAGCCACACAGAGATTCTGAGGGTGAGTCCTCAAGGTGAACTGGGCCTCTCCAATCAAGGCACAGGCCAGCTGTCTCAGGAGTGGCCATGCAGCTGGAAGCTGGGCTCCTTAGGGTCAAGGACAACAAGGTCAACACAGGTTAGCGCAGAGCCTGGCCCAGGAGACATTCCAGAAATGCTAAAGGGCCACTCAAAAATATCTTCTCCTGCCACTGCACTGCATGGCAAAGCTGCAGGGCGGGACTTTTGTCCTCTGTGCTCCCTTTAGAGGACGGGCTTGCGTTCAGCTCCAGCTGGTCAGACACACGGAGATGAGTGTTATGTCTCCCTCCTGCCCCAGCCCCAATTCTTTTCAATAACAGTAGACCTGGCACAGTCAGTTTCCATTGGAATGAGCGGAGCAGCCAGAGAAGGCTTCGTGGTCCAAGCTCAACCTCTAGTGGACACACGATTACATGACAGAACCAGAAAAGCGCGTGGGCCACTGTGATGGGACAGTAACCACGTGGTGGATCATTCTGGTCCCTCTATCAAGGAAGGCCCCTGGATTTCTCAATTCAAGCTTTTGTGGCAAAAGCATCTGAGGCATCTCCGAAGAGTCTACCCTATAGCCTCTGAGTCTTTTAAAGTGAAGAGGCACTTTCCCCACATGCTCCTATTCATTCTCTAAAGACCCCATTTGTCATTTTTTTATGTAACTTATTAACGTGTCAAGATAGCATTCACTGTTTCTTGAATGGCATTTATATCTACGGATCCACTAATAGAGTTCTTGTGTTGCATTTTAGCAAAAAACAACAAAAAATTATCTCCAAAAGTTACTTGCCTTCTGTTGTCAGGATTTTTTTTTTTTTTTTTTTTTTTTTTTAATAATAACCACACTGTTCCATCCTGCCTAAAAAGATAGGCAATACTATATTGTCTAAGTGTTAAAATTTGACTCTGTAAGACAGTCTCATCTCTGTTCTATTTTATCCAAAAATATCTTTTCTCACACTGTGATTTAAATATATCAAAATATCTCAAGGCCTTTCAGAGGTGAATAGGACTTTTTTTCTTCTTGACTCCAATTTCCTTCTCATTTCCTTTATTCTCTCATATTTTCTCCTTCCTTTGTTCCCTGTCCTCATGCCCAAATCTCAGTCATCTTAATTCCTTCTTGTGGCTTTTTCATGAGGTGGGCTTCTCAGCAGGTTGGGTTTCTAGACCACAAGTGACCAGAGAGACTACAAAGAAAGGGTGGGTGCTAGAACCCAGGAGGAACTAGGAGCATGTCTCTCTCCCACACAGATCCTGAGTTTAAAGACTCAGAGGTGGTGGCAGACAGGGGCAACCAGCAGTGGGAAGGGCTCTTACCATTTCCTGAGCTGTCACAGCAATGGCTTTGGAGTATTTAACCACAGTTGTCTGGTAGTCGACGAATGTTCCCTTTGGTTCTGGAGGGGTGCCTTCATCCAGCTATAGAGAAGAGGAAAAGAATGCAGAAGTCATAAGAAACCCACTGAAGCATGGATTGCATTTATTAGAATTAGAAACTTAGAGAAGTGGAGAGGCCCTTAGATTCTTTGGCCCTGTTGGAGATGAATTCCCCAACTTGTGCAGTAAGGACTGCAGTAGGGCTGCACATAAGGCATTCAGGGGACACAGGTAAGAGTCCCCCAGATGAGTCTCAGAATGGGATACATTATGGAGAAGTGATGTTTCAGCTAAAGTCTAATCAGGTAAGGAGCGTCCATGAATGTAAAAGGTAGGGAAGGTAATCCAAGAAATGGGATAGCACTGCAGCATATAGAGGCGTGGTAGAACTGATGTTCAGGGAAGTGCAAAGAGGAGAAAGATGAGGTGGGAGAGGAGGCAGAAGATAGATCACTAAGGGCTTCCCTAGGATGCCGGAGTCCACATACACTGATGCCCTGGAGTTATTTATGATCTAAGTTGGAAATAGAAGGAACTGGAAGTTCTAGGAATAATCTGCTATTCATCTGACTCTAAGTGTGATACAAATTGAGAGAAGGGCAAGATCACTGTGTGGTGAAGAGTGGGAGCAGGTAGGACTGTGGCTGTGTCCCTCAAAGGGCTGAGGACTTATTGCTCAGAAACTTGTATCTGAGACCCGATTCAAGAGCTTATAAATGGTCCTCAAGCTGGTTAAGATCTCCAGGTCTCAGATGACCTTCGTTGGTAACTTCCAAGCAGGGCACAGTTGTAGAATCCATTGAAACTATATGTGGCCAAGAGCTGCATAAAAGAGGAGATGATGACCACGAGAATTAAGATGATAATGTTGATAATGTCAGTGAGACTATAATGAAGAAAAAGGCAACCCATCTTCACCACCGTCATCAGCATTACTGTCACCATTGGTTGCTGAATGATATTCCAGATGAAAAGACAAGGCAAAAGATGCCAATATAGGATGTGTGAGCATAGCGGGCTTGGCATCACCTGTACAGAAGCAGGTTTTGAGAGTGTTGGGAATGAGGCTGTTGTCTGGAGAAACTTGAAATCAAGAGGAAGATGGTGGGAACTGGGCAGGCGATGACATACTTGAGAAGATCTCCCTGGCACCTCTTTGCCAGATAGTTTGGACTCAGGGAAGAGATTGGGAGCCAAGAGGTCAATTAGGAGAATGTTAGATGGTATCCTCAATAAGAGCCACATGTCAAACAGTCACAAACTACATCGTGAGTGAAAGGAATATGTCCCTGGAGCCTGTGTGTGATGCGGCTGCACAGCCTGGGCGTCATTTTCACCAAACAACACAACATAAACTCTAGATTATTATTTTTAAGGGATACCAGGTATTGAACCCAGGTGTGATAATCCACTGAGTAACTTGCCTAGCCCTTTTAATTTTTTTTTTAAATTCAACAATTTTATGTAATTTTGTATTCTATAATTTTAGAACAGCATTTTTTAAATTATTAGTTGTTCAAAACATTACAAAGCTCTTGACATATCATATTTCATACATTTGATTCAAGTGGGTTATGAACTCCCATTTTTACCCCATATATATATTGCAGAATCACATCGGTTACACATCCACGTTTTTACATACTTCCATACTAGTATCTGTTGTATTCTGCTGCCTTTCCTATCCTCTACTACTCCCCTTCCCTTTTAAATATTTTATTTAGAGACAGGGTCTCACTGAGTTGCTGAGGCTGGCAATCCTCCTGCCTCAGCCTCCTGAGCTACTGAGATTACAGGTGTGCACCACCATAAACAGCTAGGGAAAAAAAAATTTAAGGTATCTTTATTAGGCAGAGAGATGATTCTAAGTGTCTTATCACAGCATGGGGACCCTGCTAGTCAAATGAGGATTGAGTTGACTCATCTGTTAAGTGTTAACCCACTGAGCATCTTTTAAGTGTCAGCAGGTGTTAGGATCCTTCATTTGAGATGTGGCCCAACTATAGCAAGCCAGGAACCTGTAGCCAGTGACTGCTGGCTACTGCGATGAACCTTTACCCAATCTGAAGGTAATGAGAAAGGTAAGAACAAAGTAGTGCTTCAGGATTTCTAATTTATTTAGTTGAAGACCTCCCCTTTATTCTGGGATTACAGACTTCACATTGCTTTTTTTTTTCTTTTCTGGTATTAATATGACCTTTCTTTTATGAAATAGTAGTGATGCTAGTAGCAAAATTTTTGTTTTGCTTCTGCAACTTTCTTAGCACCAAAGCTGTAAGGAAAACAAAGAAAAGGTACTGTATTGTGAAATTCCACAGAATCCCACAAACCTCACTGAATGAAGAAATCAAGGTTCAGAGGGCTGGAGTGATTTGTCCCAAGTCACAGAGAAAGCTTATTACTTCATGTTCACCTATCAGTTCCAGACTCTCTAGTGCTTAGACACATGGACAGGAAATCTCCAGAACTACTGTAGTGGAAGCTCTGAAGAATTGCAAGAATTGCATCCAAGTTCAAATAAACTTTGGGTACACTCATATTTTATTGCCTGTTACTGCCCTTGATAATTTAAGCAATGATTCAAAGAGCATATCACTGTTTTCACCAAATTAATGCACCTGGACACAAACACCAGCTTTCTAATATCCTGCTGCTTAGGGCCCAAGGGACTGAAACATCCCTTAAAGCTCTAGCAAAAGGCTGAGTAAAGGCAGGATGGGGAAGAGGTCTTGTGTGGTCTCTTGGATGTCAGGACAGATCAGGTAAGAGTTTAGGGGCAGTCCGGAAACCCCAGTGGCATATTGTTTAATTTTTAGGTACCAGGGATTGAACCCAGGGGTGCTTAAGCACTGAGCCACATCCCCAGTCTTTTATTATTTTGAGACAGGGTCTTGCTAAATTATTGAGGCTGGTTTTGAACCTGTGATCCTCCTGTCTCAGCCTCCCAAACCACTGGGATTACAGGCCTGTGCCACTACACCCAGCCCCAGTGATTTGTTTTCAAGAACTGAGGGGGGAAAACCCTTCGCTCGTGGCCTCTGTGGTCTGTGTTGTCAGCAGTTTCCAGCTTTTCCAGCACAGTCACGTGTGCGCTGGGCTGAGGGAGCAGCTGTCACACCACTGACATCAGGTGTGCAAGAGCTGCTTTCCGTCTGCAGCCTGGGGCAGCATGTAAGGCTCACAGCTGCCTCAGGAAGACTTCAGATCTGACTCTCACGTTCCAGGGATTGCTAGGACATTTCCCTGTCATTGCACTGATTCTGAAAATTCCCTTTTCTCAAGAAGAAAAAGATTATCATTTGATTTTCTAATTTGTACCAAGAAACCTTGGACTTAGACACATTATTTTATATTCTTGGTATACACATAGCTTATTTTCAAAGCTCTAGTGTTCTGATGTCCTAAAAACCAAACACACACACTGAGACTTATCCAAAGGAGTTGAGAATTTTGCCATTTACTTGTTTGTGCCAAACTGTCCTTATTTGAAGCATGAGAAGCTCACAGATAAAAAATTAACCCATTAAGTCCCAAGTTTTCAATTCTGTGACTATTTCAATGAAATGGACCCAGGTGCAACAGAATAGGTTGAAAATCACATTCTAGAGTTTATTATGCAATTTGTTATCATGAATACCATTAGTCATACAATTTATAGTATTAATGAATATTATCTCTAATCATTCACCTATTACTTTTCTCAAAAGGACAGGATTCTAAAAACAAATGTTCATTTTGAAGTTACCATAAGTGGTATATTTGTTGCTCAATTTAAGATTTTAGGTTTCATAAATGGGTCGATGGGACAAAATGGGTTAACAGATACTTTAACAAAGTGGAGCCCCAGGTCTCTAAAGGAAGACTTGGCTGTCCAGCCCAGACTTGTTACTCCAGCAGTGTGACAATGACTATATAATGTTTAGGGATAATTACTCTAATTACAGTTTGAGGGTATCCTTTCTTTATGGAGATATGAACAACCAATCTTCTCTAAATCAGCAATTAAAGACTGCTTATTATCCTGAAAAACCATATTAATGTATTCACATTCTGACGATGGACATGTCAAAACACAGAGGATGTCTATAATTCTTGGCTGTGCTATCACAGGATGGCAATTAGATGCTGATGAACAATTGTTCTTGGTGATGAATATCAAACTGACATGACAAGTGAAGGATTCCTTGGGAGAAAAGAGCAGGATATATGGAATTGAAACTGTCTCCAGTCATATTTCCTTACTGACCCATGTCAACTGACAGGTCACTAAATGAGAAAATGATGCTTATCTTCTTTATCTGTTGTCTATGAGAGTTCATGAAGGGGTTTTACACATATTATTTCATTGGTTGATGCATGTGACTAGATACCAGAACCATGAGGAAATTTTTAAAAGTACTAACAGAGATTCCAAGACTCTACCCCATCAAGATCCCAAACAAGCAAGTTAGGGGTGCAGCCCAAGAACCTGCATTCAGAAAATCTCCCTGTTATCCCACAGTAACCATTTTGAAGTTTGCTTTTCACAATGAACTTATGAAGGAGACAGAGGAGGTGAATAATTACTTCCATTTTGTAAATGAGGAAACCAATGATATGTTGACCACCTCCCATCCTCCTAGATAAAACTGGAAGGAAGAGGGGAAAAGCTGGCTTACAAAAGTAATAAACTAGAGCTCTCGAGAGAAGGTGGCTTGCTTGGGGACAGTGGGAACAGACCGAGGCAAAGATGGCTAAGGAGGGGCCATTCCACCCAGAAGCCCATGCCCACCTTGCTCACAGCCTCTGCAATGGCGTCCACCATGCCTCCCACCAGCCCCACTTCACTGGCAGCTTCGTTCAGTGTCACCATGATGTCGTCCACGGCTTCCTTCATCAGCTGGGAGGCTTCTGTGATGGCGTCATGGGTATGCTGAGCCTGAGAAGGGAATTGTGAAATGTTTCCTTCCACAGAAGGAAATGGTGCTTAGTTTCTTAAGAATCATTTCACTTCTCTTATGAATAACCTTAAGAAGACAAAACTATCCTCATGGTGGAACACAGCAATGCATCCTATATTCTCCTTTTCCTGGATTTTGGATGTTTGTTTGCAAACCAAATAAAAGTCAGAAAGACAAATAGGAAAAGCACTTTTTTTATAACCAAGAGGAAGAATAAAACTGCAAGGTCAAATAGTGTCTAATGACATGACTAGTTTTATTTGTTACTATGTTCATGGTTGTAGAAAGAGAATGCCACAGGCTCCTAAATATATGAGTTGACGTAGTTAATGAAAAAAGAAACTACTATAAAGGAAAAATGTACTCATAACATATGTTCTTCTATTCCACATTGCCCAATACACTCTAATTCCCTTTCTACAAATAAGTTAGGAGATTATGCAAATGTAGGTATATAAAAAAGGAATAAATATGTAGAAGGCCAAACAGTCTTTAGAACTATGTCACAATTTATATTGCCAGGAAAATTGGAGAAATAAATGAGCAATATTCTCCAAGGGCAGACCCTCTGTAGGCAAAGCCACACTGCCCTCGTGTTCCTCATATACCATACTGTGAGGATGTGTCCATGTCAAGCGCAGAGCAGGGGCTGGGTAGACAAATGAGCAGACAGAATATGGAACAGGGCAGTGCTGGGCTTCCTGGAAGACACTTCAAATGGCAGCAGGATGCAGGAGAAAGTTTCTAAGACTGGGGCAGGAAAACCTGGGATCTAGTTGTGGCTCCAATGCCAACTAGCTAAGTGAATAGACTTGCTTCCTCTTCAGTATAATAGGAAGAATTATAATATTGCTATGTAGCAAAATTCTGATGGACTCATAGTGGGCAGGGTAGTAGGGGGATGTGCTCCTCTGAAATGTGATCTAACACCAGGTAGTTAGTGTGAGGACTGTGCTGCACCCAGGTGCTGGGACTATCCAGGAAGGAGTGGGGGTCATCCTGACCCACCCTGGGGAGTTGACATTTACAAAAGATCCCAAACATTGCATTTTCACTTTGGTGGGTGAAAAGGTAACAAAGCCAGTGGAACTTGATAGAAAATAACTGCTATGAATTTAAAAAAAAATTTTAATATAAAAGAAGAATTGTAAGGAGGCTAGTGAGTCATAGGAACTGGCCCTGTCTGAACTGAAAAGTCCTGGGAAGCAAGGAGAGTTCCTGAAGGATGACATCTGATGAGATGTGACATATGCTGCTTTCAGATGGTTATCCTTGAGGCAACTGTGTCAGGAGGCGTAGATTTCTGTCTTCAAGATGTAATAGAGTAAACTGGCAATTTCAGTTGATAGTTAATTTCATGGCATAGAGAGGGTATAACGTGAAATGTACAGATGGCTTGGTTTTGATGACAGAAACCTGAAAGGTGCTATCTCCTGTATGTCACACTCCACAGAAAACATCTCATACAAATATATTCTCATTTACAAGGAGATCAAATAAAATCTGTGTTTTTCTTTAAGTCTCAGTTCAGATGAACTCATTACTGATGATGCAAAATATATCAGAAATTTTACATATTCATATGAAAAGTAAATATGTGCTTTAGGGGAGAGACAAGCGCGGCTTGTCAAGGATCTTCCATCTCCTTTGGGCTCAGGAAGGTGTCAGGAGCAAATCTGGGGGGCAGCAGCAGTAAGTCATGAAGCTGTTATTTTGGGACTCCCTTCAAAATTTACAGAGCATTTGCCCCATACAAAGTGACAAAAATCCACAAAAATAATCCTTGGATGTGGCTATCCTAGAAATGAATTATTTTCCCATCTGCTTGGGAAGACGGGCTGTTAGATTTTCTAGAAGACCTATTACCCTTCACTCCTTATGTTTAAAAGTTTTACAGATTCTTAGAGGTCAATTCACAGTCCACCTCCTCTGTAAAGCTGTCTCCAGTTGTACCAGCCCCATTCAGCGCCTTTGTTCTGAACTCCAAAGGCAAGTCACAGCTTAGTTCAGAACCACACACTGTGTGCTGGCTGAGCACAGCAGCTTAGTATGCCCAAAGACACAGTAGGGTCTCAATTAAGGCATGTTTAAATGACCAGTGACCGTCCAGGAAGCAGAGTTAGTAGCCTAACAATGAGGTCGTTATTTTCGATTTTGGAGGGGTTCCTTGTTACTGCTCCTCACAGCACAATACAGATTCCATTCTTTCTTGGACACATGCCTGAAGTCAACTTCCAAGGGAGCCTTGTTTCTTTCTAACAGCATTTCCACTACAAAGCGCAGGACAGCAGGCAAAGACATCACAGGAGGATGGAAAGTGGGAGAAGGCTACAGGGAGCAGATCTCAATTATAGTAAAGGGAGAAAAACAACTAATAATTAGAGCCATGCAACACAGAAGAGGGCTATGTTTTTTGCTGGAGTGTTGCAACAGCTTCTATGGGTGCCCATGGAGGACACTGTGGAAGGGAGCGGATGGGGTGGGGACCCAGGAGGGAGCTCAATGGGGCAAAGAAGAAGCTATCAGCACATGCCTTCCTAATATGTGCAATTCATTAACCTCAGGCTCTGAGGCTGCCACTTCTTGTTTTAAACACCTCTCAGACCAGACATAGTATCTCATTCAGTTTCTACAGCTACCCTAGGGAGGGGTTCACAATTAGCCCTTGTTGTTCAGGCCAGGAAATAAAGAAAGGAAATAACCTGCTAGAAAGAGGTGGAGCTGGGATTTGAATCCAGTTATGTCTGATCCCAGAAGTGTGCTATTTTCCACCAAATCAGAACTACTGAAAACTATTTAAAAACATTTTAGTCCTATTTTTTTTTTCTGTCAACAAGAAAATTAACAGGTAATGCAAATAAAACCCAGTAAGTATCCACCTAAATTGGTTGTCTGTGCCTCTGACCTCTTAGGAAAGGGTCTAAAAAGCAAACCCAGTGGCCCAGGTGTCTTTTGGGACAAGCCTTCAATTTGTAGACCAAATGCAGGCTGGGTACTGGTGAGGGGACAGAGTTCACCTGCCTGGCCTTTACTCATCATGTCTTACTTCACCACACCCAGTGCTTCTGGTCCCTCAGTGAAAACTATTCTGGTCACCAATTCCAAGCAGAGAATGCCATTATGAAACTTGTGATGCTGACTATGTATGCTCAAGAGGAGCTCAGAACTGGCTGTCCAAGCAGATATGCTAACATCTTAAAAACCCATCCAGAAGAGTCCTATTTTGATATTCTACTGGTCCTGAGACCCTCTTAGGTGGAGGGTGAAGAAATGTGGCAATAAGTAGCCTTGGATAAAAGACAACCAGAGCTGAGTCAGAAGGTTAGCTCTGACTCCTCTAGTTTGGGGAGGGTACAAAGAGGGCTGGCCCCACATCAGGGCACGTACTGCTAATCTATCACAGTCAGGGCTGCATTCTTTGTCCTTCTTGATCTACTCTACCAGTTTTGCAACTAGACTTGTTATTCCAAAAGACTCTGCACACTTTGAGGGCTGTGGCAGGCTCTTAGTACTTTTAGCATACCCAGAATTAGGCTCTTAGTAATGGTCAGATATTTGAATGAAAACCTGAATATAGAAAATGCAGGTTTAAGACATTATTCATGCTGTCACAGTGAGATGTTTCTAAAATATGGATTGGTTGTGTCATTCTTCTGCTTAAAGACCATCACTGACTGCCCATGGCTTACAATGAAGGTCAAATACCTTGGCTTGGAAGATGAGATCTGTCACAGCATGGCACAGTCTATCCTCTTGTCCAGCTGTCTTTGTGATCTGCATTTTTCTAGACACATCAGACTGCTTACCATCTTCTGAAGATAATCACAATCTTTTTTTTTTTTCCTTTGTAACCCTACGTATGGCTTTGCATATACTTTTCCCTCTTCCCAAGTTCAAAATAAAATGTGATACAAAGTCACCTGTGACACACTATTGTCATCTTTGGCCACTTAAAGCAGCTGGGTAACACAACAGGCTGAAGAAATGTTCCTTCTACAAACTGGCAAAGGGGATCTCATATGAAATTGCTGTCTCTTAAGTGTGAGAAACAGAAATGACATTCATTGGAAAACAACTGAATTTTCCTTCCTGCAAGTTGGTGTCAACACTGAACAGGTCCCAGTAAGCATTTGCTTTTATTCCTGTCATCATCACAGAATTCATTTTTTTCCCTCAAGGATGCTTGTCTATACATTCTTTAAGGAAAAAATAACTTACAGATAAGACTTAATTATGTACACTTCTTAACCCTCCTCTAAATCCCTGGGAAAACCAATAATAGAAGATAATTCCCCACTTCAGAGAACTGGAGTAATGTTTTTTTCCTTAGAGAGACAATACAGCAGGACCAGGACCTTTGTGGTTCTAAGTGAGTCCCTGACATCCTGAACCATACCTTGGGGTTTCCTCCACCTTCTTTGGCTGCATACAGCATCTGCAGGGCAGACTCTGCCAGTGTCTTGGTTTGGTCCAGCACTGTCATCTGCTGTTGATGGTCCAAAATCTTGGAGGCGACACCTACTGCAGCTAAGATCAAGGGCTCGAAGTAGCTCGCCAACTGTGTCACCTTGCAAGAATGGAAAGTCATAGGTACATCACTTAAGTACAGGTGTTTCCTTTAGAGCACCTTTCAGTGGGAGTGGAAAAAGGGGTGAGCTGACTCAGGAAGAAATGCAGGCCTGCTACTATGTACTTTTGAAAGTACTTGCTAGCTATTGACTATTGCTTGCTTTTGATTTCCTTTGGAAAGTTCTTTATCTCTTCTCCAAACATGATAGAAGTGCTAAGAAATCCATTCTGAGATCTAGACTTAGGCATCAGAATTGAACTCAATTTTATAAATCATTAATTTTACAAGTAATTTTTAATAGAAATCAAAGGCATCTTATAAATCCAGAGGAAGAGAAAGTAGAAGAGGGACAGGATTATCAGAGAAGGTAAGAGAAGAAGCCTGAGATAAAGAGAAACTTCAAGAGCTTTTTAAGAGGCCAGTCTAATTGGCTTCTGCTTGAAGCATTTGGATAAAGCCTTAGCTCTGGATTAAATAATGCAAAATGATTTCATACCAGCCAAGATGTTGTTCATGAGTAGTCCAACCAAATTTCCCATCTATCAATATACCACAGAAAATTTCACCTTTACATACATCCATAATGCACTAATTAAAATTTTTTAAGAACTATAATAGATCAGCAGAGTATAGGAAAGGGATAAGGGGGAGGGAGGAGAGGAAGTAACAGTGACCGAATTGCAGCAAATTATATTCTATGCTTGTATAATGTCAAAATGAACCCCAAAAAAGTGTAGAACTGTAACAAACAATACAAATTGACAAAAACACAAAACAAAGAGATATGCCCACATCCAAATCCAAATCCCTGGAATCTGAATGTTATCTTGTTTGAAAAAAAGGTCTTTGGATTTCTCTTTCTTTCTTTCAAATGAGATATGCCATATTTGAAAAGGCAGAGATGCTGACCAATTTCAACCATCCCTCCTTAGAACAGTAGGAAGTTTAGTAGCCCCTTAAACTTTTCTGCAATTTGAAAAAGCAAGATGATTGATTTTCTAAAATCAATACCTGCTAAGAAAATTTTGGCTACTGCACTTCTTGATGTGCACAGCGATACTGACTGCTGAACTGATCAATGCTCAGGAACCTTGAAGGCTATTAGAATCCAATTTTTGGTCTCTCCCTGCTAAGGTATAGGCTGCATGACAAGCCAGCTCTCCTTGAAGGGTCAGCAGAGTGAACCCCAAATGGGCAAAACATCATATGCCACTTAAAATAGCATGGGCAGGAACTCAGCTGAATGACTCCTCTGGGGAGGCCATGCAGGGAGGCTCTGTTGTCCAGAGAAAAATTTGCTTTGCTTCATCACATGTAACAACAGATGCTGCATTAGAAACCAGGGAAGAACATTATTGCCCTAGATACACCAGAATGGGCTGAGATGGCCGGGAATAAAAGACAGAAGCCTATGGGTGAGGAGTGTCAGCATGAGCCTCTCGTTTATTTCAGAATAAGTGGAGAGCAATGGATGATGGTAAATGTCTTGTTGGAGGAAAAGTTTGACCACAACCACAACCCACACCAAAACAACTCACTATGAACTTTCTCAACTTCAAGTGAAAAAAAGATCCTGAAGTGATCATTTTTGGAAAAGAGGCTAGAGAAAGGCTGAGTGCTATTTTCTATTGTCAGAGATGCACTGGACACAGGCACAATACCTGGCATGGCAGGCTTTCAAGAATGACAACAAAATCCATTACCCCCCAAATCCCCAGCAGGATCCCCTTGGTACATGCACATTACCTTATGTCCCAGCTGCGCTGCCTCTCCCCGAGCTGCTGTGGCGATGGGATCGATAAGGTGCCCGATTTCCTGTACCACTGAAGTCAGCTGCTCCTGTAGGGCCTGATAAGGGGAGAACTGTCAAGTTCATCTGACAACAGTTCCCCATAACACTGCACTGATTTGAAAAGGCTTACATGAAAGATGAGGGAGGCCACATAAAATGGACATCAAAATGCCAGGCTGCAACATCAAGCTGCTGTAGGTATCCTGCCCTGCCCAGTGGCAGCTCATCATTCTTCCCATAAGAAAGCAGATGCAAGCTTAAGAACTGTGGGTCCTACTGGCTCCTTGCTCCTCCTAGCCCTGACAACTGATGCCAATGGTATCTTTACTTTAGGTTATTCAACACAGTTACTGGAAATATGGAATATCTGTGGCTTTCCAAGAAGGAAAGTCAACTATGTTCAAATGGAGACAGATAATTGGGGTCTGAGGGAACATCCAGGTCACTGTGTTCTCAGAACTTGAGGAGGGTGACGTAAAAATGAGATCAGCTCTTTGAAAGCAGGACTACTTCCCCCATGGCACAATTTGAAAATGCCAGGTGGGACACACACTGAGCTCAGTCCAGAGCTCAATGCACTTGGTGGTGTGTGCACAAATGTGGAAAATGGCGCCCTCAAGGCTTTTCTTCTTGCATTTGAGATGGCTTAACTTCTCCACCTCAAAGAACTGTAAAGAGGCTGTAAAGAGATGGGACATTGAACTCAAATCAGGAAATAATTAGCCAGTAGTAGAAGAGATCTGATTCCTTTGTAGGGATCCTTCACTGGAGAGATTTGGGATTGAGCAGCTTAGAACATTGGACATTTTAGGTCCACACATGCTGGCATGGAATTAGGTGATTCCTGACATAGTGGCATGTTCTGCTGATAAAAAATGAGACTCTAACTTTTGCCACTTCCCCATAGAACAATGGTGCTCAGGGGCCGGGGCTTCAGCCAGAGTTCACTCTGAGAGGGCATGCCTAACATGTCAGCTGGAAAACAAACAGCTACAGAGATGAGGCTGGCAGAGAGAAACTTCCGAAAAGTCCAAAGGTCTTATTCAGCTACTTACTTAGCTTCGCATTTATCATGTGATTATAGTTAAGAATACCAGAATATTCTAGCAATGTTTTTTTCATCACAGGTGGTTTGTTAACTTGAATATGTCTAACTAGGGAGTATATGCAATTGGAGGGGGAATTTTCTTCCTAGTGAGGAAGTTCAGACAGGATATGTTTTGGGAGTGATAGTGAAAGGATGAGGGCACCAAGGGGCTTTCTGAGATGCTGGTTATCTTTGCTTGTTGATCTGGGGGCTAATTACAGAGTGTGTTCAGCTGGTGCTAATCATAAAGATACACACATTCTGTGCATTTTCTGTATGCATACTATACTTTAAACAGGTTAAAACAGTCATTCTGGCATTCCTCATAGATGAGAATGTTTCTTCTTCACTTCCTGGAAATGGGTGTGTATCTGAAGTTGGAGTGAAAAAATGAGCAAGCCTGCCTGGGCCTGAGAGAAAGGGGCCGAAGCTCATGGTTAATGAATTCAGTGGCAGTGATGTAAATGTCAGCACACAGACCATGTATATATATGTATTAAGTACCTCTGGAGTATCAAGCACAGTGCTTTAAAAGAAAATGAAAAATGAATCAGGAAGATGTACATAGGTACAGAAACAATTCAAAGGAAAATTCCACTTTAAGCTTTGGAAAAACCATCAAGAAAGAATAAAGTGGCTCTAAGTTAATAACAGAATGCAAAAGATCCCTACGTACTAGACAGTGAATAACTTAAGGCAGAATCCTTTATCTCTGAATGAAGAGTTTAATTCCAAATCTTCCCTTTAACCAAAAAGTGCATTGATGAACTAAGACAAAAGAAAAGCATTCAAAATCTACATAGCTAGGCCTCCTGTGTTGATGTGTTAAAATGTGTAAGGCAACCCCACCTTAGAGAGACACAATTATCTGACTGATAATTTCCCCCCAAATTTCAGCCACATTTGAGCTTTCTACAGCTAGCAGTAGGTATATTCCTTCCCCAAGTCATCCTTCTCAGCATTTTCCTTCCCCTCTCCCAGAAACTTCCCAGGTTAGTTCTATAGGAGAAGGTCCAATGATAAAACTCTAGTATTAGGAATATCTTGATCCCATTCTCTCTGCTCCCTGCCCCAGTGAGCTGGCCATAGAACCCCAGCCTACCTCCACAGAGATGTCATCCCTCGTTGCCAGGCTCTGGCTGACAGCTGCCAGAGAGGCTTGCTCAATGTCCCGGATACATCGGTTGATGCCATCAATGGAGTAGTCACATTCCCTCTGCCCAGGGGCCTTGTCCCTGGAAGGGACAGTGCAAATCAAACACAAGGTTCATGGGTCTTAAGTCCCAGAAATTGCTCCAGCATTGGTGAGCCAGGAACCCCATCCTCTTCTCACTTATCACCTTAATTAAGAAGTGAATCTCTGACCCTTCCTTGGCAATTCCTCCTGGCAGAGCCCAGGCAGGTCTTAATTTGGCATTGAGATAACTCTATGTGTTTCTGGCGGAAAGGATATTAGTACTGCCCTCTATCTCAGGCTGATGCCAGGCAACTACAAAGGAAATGGTTTGAACTTGTATTCTCCATTCAATGACTTAAACAAAGGACCTTCAGGCTGGGTATGGCCTCCCAGTGGCTCCGGAGGCCAAGGCAGGGGGATGATGAGTTCAAAGCCAGCCTCAGCAAAAGTGAGGTGCTAAGCAATTCAGTGAGACCCTGTATCTAAATAAAATACAAAATAGGGCTGGGGATGTGGCTCAGTGATCAAGTGCCCATGAGTTCAATCCCTGGTACTACCCATAGGACCTTTAGTAAAATAATAATAAAAAACATAGGAAATTTAATAATAATAATAATAATAATAAAAGCTAAGGACTCTTTTCAGCACAAATATACTATGTTCTCTACATTGCATACTAGTCACAAACTCATGGGCTGTACAAGTTAAAATATTTAATGAAAGTCATTAACAAAAAGTTAACTATGGTTTTTAGCTTCAAAATCAACCAGAAAAAAAAATATAATTAGGGAGCTAAATCCATTCCATGCTGTTGGGTATTAACTTTGGCTAACCTCAGAAATGTTTCATATATTCAGGTGATTTTTTTTCAGGGACCTATCATCACCAAGGTGGTCCTAGATGCCCCAAATTACTGTGGACTATAGAATGTCTTATTTTTTTATCTTATTATCAAACTAATTAGAACCCCAAATTCTGCAAAACAAACTGAAATACTCTCTGCCTAAAAGCCTGGGTGTAGACAATAAGGTATACTGGTTAGAAGAGCTAGGACCTACAATCTGGGGTGACTATGGAAACGTCATTTAAATCTTTTTGCCTGAATTTTTTCATTAGTAAAATGGAAACACGGCAGTATATACCTTATAATATTATGATGATCAAATAGGGTGACATAGGTAAAATACTTGGAATAACATCTGGTGTATAGTTAAGTGCTATTAGAGACAAAGAAAAAGATGACAACATGAAGTTAAAAGCTTAGTGGGCTTATTCCCTTCCTCCCTATTCTGATGCAGGTTGAAAGTAATCTCCAGATAGCAACTGACCTGATAGACGTGATGAGACTCTTAATGGAGTCAGATACAGTGTGTGAATGTCCAGCTAGCACAGACCAGGTAGGTGGGTCTTTGGGGTTGATGGCCAGAGAGCGTGCAGTGCGGATGAGGTATGATGAGCTCTCCAGCATAGTCTTGGCTGAGACCAGGATTGGTTCCTGTGCCTGGGAGCCCTGAGGCCAAACAGCAGAGAGGTTAAGAGCAGGGCATGCAGACATGTGAATAAGTCAGGTCCTAGAAAGTCTTTTTCTTATCTAGTCACCACTTCTGCCCTCTCGCTTATACAAGGTTTGGATGATGGGCACTTTGGTCCATGTTTGCTCCTTAAATAAAAATTTTTAGAATCACACATCCCAAGAAAGAATCAGCTCAAAACCTAGGCACAGAGATTGTTCTTAATATAACAATATTATCTCTCAAGAGATGTACAATCACTGAGTTTTATAACTCTGTGCATGTATCACCATCAAAAATAATAGTACCCTACATGATGACAAAGAGAAAATTTGAAGTTTTAACTACTCATGTTCATTTTGTGCTATCCCAGATTAACCAATGACCTTGGTTGTTGGAAAGGTTTCCTTACCTCAGAGCTGATCTGGGCGGGAACACTGACAAACTCAGGGTTTGATGCAAATGCTGTTAGGTTTTCTACTGCTTCAATCAAGGGCGCGGTGGCAATACGGCACTTATTGCGGTTGTCTTCAGAGAAGTCCCCATCCAGGGCCTAATGGGAGAAAAAAGGATCTTTCATCCCACTGAGAAGCACCAATCATCTCTAAGCCACAGGGATTGCCTCTGAGGGAAGAAAGATGGTTCAATGGGAGTAACACTGAAAATGTTTGTTGAATTTACAAATTGGAAAGATTCCTGCCATGGATCAGAGGAGCCCAGCTAGCAATCCTAATAAAAAAGGTCAGATATGTAGCTTATAGGACAGCTGGCCTCAGCATCAGTTGACTCCCATTCAAAAACCATGCTTCCCCTGCAGGAAGCAGAAACCACTTAAACAGCACCTGCTCTTCTCTCTCACTTGGGCCCTGCTGTCAAACCTGGCTGCAGAAATCACTTTCAAGAATATATAATCCTTGGGCTCCTCTCCTTCATTTACATGCATATTAAGTCTATTCCCCCCTCCCAAGTGACAAAGACAATTTACACTGTGTGGCAGTTTCAATTTATCTAAGTTTTACCTAGATGCTCCTACATGGCAGATGGAGGTGGGGCTGGCAACCACTATCTTGCAATGAACACAGTGGAACCCAATAGGAAAGAAGAGGCAGGAACTACCTTCAAAACCACAAGGACAAGTCTTTATATTTAACGAAAAAGGCCATACACAAAGGGGGACACTGTATACAATCCCATTTGTGCAAAGTACAAAAAACAAGCGAAAGTAATCAAGGATGTTCCCAGTCAGGTCACTCTAAAGCTGGTGGACCCCAAGGCAGCACAAGAGGGCTTTCTAGGCACTGTACAGATCTGTTTCTAGATCCAGAAATCATTATCTACTGTGTTTGAAAAATTGAGAAATTTTACTGAGTCCTACACATGAGGTGTGTTTTTCTCCAGGTATCTTATGCTTCATTTTAAAACAAAATTAGCAGTGGGTAACATAAAGAGAGTCTAGTGATCAGTCATATCACTGAGTAATGGCCAGGGTGGATGAGAATCCAGGAGTAGACTGTGATCCATGCCAGCTGCCCACAAAGGGTTAACATTTGGATTCAAGGCTTCCCAGCACCCGACTCTAGCACCTGACTCTACCCCTTTAGGCATACGACAATTAGGTCCAACAGCCTGTGACCCAGTGACAGCACCACTACCTCCCAGCAAAGGGCTCCACGTGAGAAGGCAGTTATGCTTGCAGGAGAATGTAAATTTCCTTGTTAGACTACCAATTAAACTTTTAATTTAATCCTTATGAACAATATATTAAAGCCAATTTAGAGAATTAGTGAACAAAAAAACCAGAGGCACTTGCATTACGCAGCAGACTGGGTCTGAGACAGGAGTATTCTGTTTTTCAGTAAGGCAAGAGGAGGCAGGCATGGTCGGTTTGAAGGCTATTTCTGAATAATCACTGCATTCCAATCGAGCCTTGGCAGCTTGGGACAGTAATTATACATCCACAATGCTAATATTTTCAGAGTAATTCCCATGAGCTGGGCTAATTTACCATCTTGTGCGAATATGGCGCCTGGCTTGCCTTGGCTCTTGTCCTACAGGCACTTGACAGACACTGCCTTCCTCTACCGTCTCTGATTTGGCCACTCTTATATTTTCTCAGCGGAAACCGTACACGCCTGTTCCTTCTTGCTCACATGTACGGTCTCGTTTCTTAACTGCCACTTATATACCTAGTAAATGTTAATTTCCACAGTCAGCCTGGCCATGTTGTCTCAGCATGCTGTTCCTGTTGCACTGCTAACATCATGGACTCCTCAAGGTTGGGTGCACTAGGCCTCAGGGACATTTGGGACTCCTCGTGGAAGGCAGGGTGGATGCACTTGGCAGAAGCCTTATACAAGCGAACCTAGCACAGGCAAATGAATGAAGCAAGCAGACAGCCAGAGAGGGTTTTGGAGTCCCAAGAGGTTGGGTCCAAGTTACACAAATGACACTTCTTGGAATGACAGGGGCTTCTACTGGGCAGAAGATGTTCAACCTTCCCTTGGTACTGCTCATACCTCCTGCCTCTCAACTCTGTACTTGCCCCACAGCCTTTCTCGACTCCCACAGCCCTTAGTCCATTGGGAAACAAAGCAGTTCATTAAGCCACCAACTTATTAAAGCCGATGACCTGAGATAAATCTCAAGGAGTCAAGGAATAGTTCTCAAATGATCTAATGATGCAGTTCCATAAACTGCACTAACTAGAAGAAAACCTTTTAGTTGTTGTTTTGGGTTTAGCTTTTAAGCATAGATCCTAAAAGTCACATGTCACGTAGCCCATCGCTATTCACAGGACAGGGCACTGAATGACATGGACTAGAATGCCAAGCTCTCTCAATCACTTTCCCTCCCCTTTTTTATAAAAGGAAAAGTCATTTCCTCCAAAGGAGCATTTGGCATCAAAAAGGATGATTTGCACAGATATAATTTCACTCCTAAATTCTGCTTCCAGTGAGCATGGCTGAACCACCCCAATAATCGGAACACTTGAATCCACCCACTAAGGAAATGTGAGTTTCCTTGTAGACATTATACGTCACAGAATGTCCTTACACCAGCTGTACTAATGTAAGGGCAAACTCACCTGGTCTCATGCCCAGACCCATCAGGACAAGGGCACTCTGGACCCCTGGCAGCTGCTGAAGGTTCTCAGCACAATCTCAAAGACATGAGGGAGAAACACTAAACCCCCAATTTTCATTAAATAAATAAATAAGTAAAACCTAATTTTCCAAACAATAAAACCTTAAAAGTGACAATTTGCCAAGGTCACCCTGCTACTTACTGGCATGTCTTAAGCCATGACCCAAGACTCTGGATCCCTTCTCTCCTTAGGCAAGAGCAAGAAGAGAAAAAAGTAAGAAGCCCAGAGTTTTCTCCCTTTTTCTTCTGAGGACTTCTATCTTGCCAATCCAAACACAAGGATGACCAGGAAAACATACTTACAGCCAAGTCAAATTTGATTAAAGAGAGCTGGATCGGGTGTCTGTGGCACACACTGGAAATGCTTAACTGCAGAGCTCTTGAGCTTTAACTCCAAGGAGAGAGGCAAGGCCAAACTTTAATTTCTCAGAAAAACAAAAGTTGGTGTTGCATAATTTATACTTGGCACCCAAACCTGAGTGACTGCACATTTAAAATAACATTCCATTCCACAGAACCAATCCAAGGCTGGGTAATAAACAGAATAAAGAGAGAAAAGCCAGCAAGGTGTAGGTTCACCAGTTGAGAGACAGCAGCCGCAATCAGGGATGGGTGTCCTCACTTGCTCAGCATTTAGTGCCATTACTGGAGCAGAAATGTATTCTTGCATAGTTATGTTTGGGGTTTTAAAGGATGTCACCAATAGCGATTTAAGGTCCCCAGACACACACATTCTACATATTCTCCTGCTCCTGGTGCTTCTCTTGCTGATTCCCCACCCCTTTTCATGACTGTAAGGGTGTGGCAGCTGGGATTATGCTTGGGCACATCCTCATAGTTAAAAAAAATTAGCACTAAGAGGCATAATATTTAGAGAAAAATGTAGCCAGGAGGGCAGCTGTCTTAAGTGTTCAGGGAATTAAATATTCATTTGCTTTTCTGTTTGACAGGATACTTAGCCATTTCTTGAAATAGGAAATCTATTTAGTATATAGTACTGAGTGCTACAATGACGGACTTTTACATTGTCCTAATAGTAAATTAAAGCCAAAGCTCATCCTTCTGGTAAACCCTGCTACATGGTGGGGATTGAAAAATCAGGCACATTTTGACGAGTGAAGGGCAATATGTTCATTTCTGATCCTCTTGCACTGCTATGAGTTCCCAGGGTGCTCATAGCAGACAGGCCTTTATGTTCATGTTACAACCAGCCTACACTCCTCTTCTGATGCTTATACATAGGCCTATCTTTCAGGCCATCACACAAGCTCATTTGCTGCAGGGAATTGCAAAGAGGGTTTGACATGGTGAGGAGAATCTGAAAAGAAGTGATCTGAACAGAGATGTTTTATATAGATAGGTTAGGATTTAAAACCAAGGTGGTGACAGAAAAGACAGGGCTCCAGGAATTTCTATAGGATAAGGAGGTCCTTCCCTCCCCCAAATCCCTTGGTCTGTCTAAATATAATGTGTTTTTTAATAATCAGAAAATGATTGACTTTAACTGAGATAAGTTAATTATGCAGCAACCCACAATGATGTTACTACTTAAAACTATATTGCCTTTGCCATCCCCACCTTCCAAACTTACAGACAAGCACTGTGAACACAGAGTCTTTCTTCCTAGGCTAGAGGCATCAGTTTCTCTCTCCATCCCAACAAACTGATCTCTATGCCAGGGTTGAAAGCAGGGGCTCTCTTTGAGGCCTGGATTTGAGTTCTCACCGATTACTATTGTCTGAGTCACACCTTGCAAAGTTACTTAACTTCTCTGGTCCTCAGTGTCACATCCGTAAGATGCGCCATGGTGGTATGGATTAAATGAGTAATACACACAAAGCACAAAATAAACATTAACAAATCTAAGATTCATTAATTGCTAATACCAGGAACTGATGGCAACAGAGGTCAGCTGCTACCTGAAGGCATGGGGCACTTGGGCACTGGTTCAAATGTATTCATTTTCAACTTAGTTTATTATTGCCTTGAAATAGACAGTCTTTTTAAAAATAAACAAACAAAAAAAATCCTATGTTGAAACAGCTAAGAAATTGCTGACTGGACTAGTGGCCCTCTGCTCTCACCAGCAGGATTCCAGCCACTCCTGGGCTGGATCCTCTCTCCTTTGGTCTTTGCTCAGCTAGTTCTATTCACTGACTTCTGGCCTCCAGGGGAAACTGGGAGGAGTCCACTCTTAACAACAAAGCAGTCCTCACCTGAGAGAGTGTGAAAGCCCCCAAATAAAGTTTTACTGCATCCAGTGTTTTTCCTTGGACTCTCCAGGCTTACACAGAACTGGTGCCTTGCCTCTCATGACAATGCTCCTTTGAAGGCTGGGGATGGGGTGGGGGGCTTTGTGGTCTGCTGTCTGGGTGCTGAATGTTTCCCGCAAGGTCAGCTCCCAGCTGTCTGTTTGGTCCCCACGTAGGGCAGACCACATGGCCTCCTCACCCACCTTCAAAGACCACAGCCTAGCTATCTCCATTCCTTCCTTGCAAGTGCACCTCATACATTGCCCCATCCCCATCTGCCCAAGAACTCTAACATAAAGATAAGCTTGTTAGAAACACAGAATACTCAGAAAAGTTGATGCTCCACTAAAAAAAGAAAGAAAATGGAAACAGATATAACTAGAATACATATCAAAGAGATTAAAACAGTTTTTGAAAAAGTGATTTTCCCCCCATAATTTCCCATTTTCTTTTCCTTCCATATCCACTCTTTGTCCAGATATATCCAGATTCATCACCTAAGCAAGAAAGGCAGAGCCTCTACCAGTCCATTCAAACCCATCCTAAATCAACAGAGTTTAAGTACTACCTGTGCACAGGGCTAAGAGTCCCTATAAACAATCCTTCAACCCGATTTATGTCCCTAAGTACCTCATGTGCAGAATTTCCCCATCATCTGAAATGTTAGTAGAACAGGTTGCTGGTTTTTCCGGACGAGTGTCTCCATTAGTGAGGGACTCCTCCTTGAAGACCAAGTCAGAGGTTAAACCTCACCAGCCTTAGGTCTTAGGAGGGCAGAGCTTCAGCCCCATTCCTCTAACTGCTCTGCAACAGGTGTTACAGGGACCAATGGGGCCTGTAGTACAGTGACCTACCTTGATGGTCTTCACCAGGTTGGCGGTGCTGTTGGCGACCTCCTTGGCTGACTGGACAAAGTGCCTCTTGGCCACAGGGTTGGCTGTCTTAGATGAGGCGATGCGGCAGGCATTGCAGAGAGCCGAGGTGTGCTTGGCCACAATTGTGGCAGCTGACAGAACCTACAAAGCATGGGGTGAGGTTGGGGGCACCCCACGCTTCAGTGCAGAGTGCCTGGAAGCTTCCTCAACTCCCATGTCCAGAACCTGGGCAATAACATGTGCTAGCTCAGCTGCCCCCAAAGGCACTCCAAGAAAGGAGAGGGCAAGAAACAATAAGCAAGAGAGAACGGAAATAAATAGAAAGGGGAAGAAAGTGCTGATGTAGCAGGCTGGGCCTCAGACAATCTTAAAGGGGAAATGGTTAGCTAGTCCTTGGAACCCCTTGATAGGAGGTCCAGGGTCAGGCCAAGGCCTAGACATATGTAACTTAAAAGTTTCTAGTAACTACATTAAAATAAGTAGAGAAACAAGAGAAATTTAAATAACATATTTTATTTAACTTGATATATCAAAAAATTCATTTTATCACAAAAATCAATGTACAAATACTGTTAATGAGATTTTATACTTTTGTTCATACCAAGTCTTTGAAATCCAGTGTATTTTGTATATTTACAGCTTTCCACTATTTGCACCAACCACATTTCAAGGTAGCCAGGGGTCACCACATGGGAGAGCCCAGGTCTAGATGAGTAAAACAAATGTCACAGTGGCCTGCATTCTGCTCCTCCTTGGGTGGACTGCAGCATCTGATGAAGGGCTCTGGCTTGGGGAATCTCCACAGGCTCCCCACCAACCTCAACCCCTCTGCTCTCTTAAATCCCCAGCCTCCACTTTGCTGAGGCTCCTACCACCCCTGTGGCCTTCACTGGATAAGAAAGGCCTCTCAGGTGCCTGGACTCTCAGCTCTCAGGCTGCATCAGTCCAGGTGGTCTCTCCGGCTCCTTTCTGTGCTATGGATTCCGAGCCTGACTCTGAGGAGGGCCTCTTTGCCATCATCTCTGGCACTGTCATCACACCCCAAATGCTGAATTCTCCAAACTTTGCCCAAAAGATTAGGAGGCAAGCAGGTGGAAGATCAGGTGTCACTCATGTTGAGCCCTCAATGCTGAGCACACAGCAAGCCCCCCGTAACTGTACCCTGGATTTTGTGGAGTCGTGAGACTCCTCATGTATATCACTGGGATTCTTTTTCTCCTACTGCCTTCCAGTACCCTATCTCTGACCACCTACAAATTTCTGCTTTCACAACGTTTTTCAACATCTTCCAGGGTCTATATCTACAGTATATTTAACTGGCTCTGTGAACTCTCAAAGAATAGGATTCTTCACTAATTTCCCATAGTTTCCTACAACCCACCCAGAGGAGCCTAAGGAATAACATAACCCATGTGGTTACCTGTGATGGGCTACTGCCAGGGTCCACCAAGTTCTGGCATGCCATCTGGATAGCCTGGTTAGCCCTGGCAAACTGGATGGGGTCCACCAGGCCCTGGTGTCCTGCCTGGCTGTTTGGATCAGAGATGCCGACCAGGTATGCAGCCTGGAAAAGGAGGAGAAAACCAGAGCTCAGGCTCCCAGAAGCCCGTGGGAATGTCCTGCCAGCAGGAACTCCCATGGTTTCTATGATGGTGCCTGGAGAAGGAGCTGCAGCTCTCCCATGCCACCCACAGGGGAGTGGTCACTCCTGGTATCCACTGTATGGCAAAGGGCACTAGCCTGGAAAACCTGCATGGACCAGCCCCTTACCTGAGCTGCAGCCTCTGTCAGCCCACAGAGCGCCTTGGATGCAATCCCCACACACTCCCCAAAGGCAGGGAGGTCCCCTGTCTTGGCATTCTGTGAAATTCCTGCCATTGACTCTCCCAAAACCTGTAAAACAACCAGAGATATTCTGTGCTGAGCACTGTTTCAGATGCAGGGATACAGAAAGCTACACTTGCAACTTAAACATTCAAGGTCACTTAATTTATAGTATTTTCCATTCTCCATTACTTGCATTAGGAAGTAATTCAGGAGAATTATACTATTTCTGTTCCATAAAGAGAAATAAATAATGAAAGTATGAATCTTTCATCTAAAAGCTATGTAGACATCAAGAGATAAAGTTAATACACACAGACATGAAAGTATAATCTATACATGGCATCCCATGGGTAAATAGCCCAATTTAAGAACTATTAGTTCCCAGAATATGAAAATCACATCTATCGAGCTGTAGTTGAAGTCCTACTCAGAAAGTAGAAGATGTACCCTTCTGGGAATCATCCATTTACTTATTGACAGTCAAATTTAAGTAGATATTTGTTAAAGATGTTTCCTAAATATTTTAAGTATTTTTGCCTTATTTTGAAAATCCCTGGCGTATTCTTTTTTCAGTCCTCAAAAATAACAGTTGAAAAGAACTCAGAATCCAACCCAGAGCAGTCAAATACCATGTATGAGGTCACATGGGTAGAGGGAGGTCATCTACACTAAATCTGCTGCTCTGTCTTCTATGGGCCTTGTCATGTACCAGGAGGACAGGGGTGCTTCCCAGGATCACAGACGAGGGTATGGAAGGACATTCACTCTTTGGAGACTATGGTTATCACCAAGTCTAAAACCCAACGCAGAGCTATTTCATTTTCCAATTAGCCATTTTGGATAGGTAAATGAAATAAATTCCCTAAAAGTGCTTAGCTTACATGAGGACTTGCAAATCCAAGAAGTTAGAAAGTATTTTTGTTTCCCTCCTCCCTCCTAACACTGCATTCTTCATTTCTTTGGATCTCAGCATGTAAAACACATGCATCCTCCCCTTAGACAACCCATAATTCCACAAAATATGCAGGACAGAGGAAATTTTAGTCTAAGCCTAACACAAACAAAATCTTCCAGACATTACCAATACAGATATCTCCACAAGCTAATGTGGAAGATCATGTACCATGTTACAAAGCCAGGTGGCAACAGCCTGACAGTCATTCATCTCATTTGCATTTCATGGTCACCTTCTGATTTTGACTTGTTCTCAAAAGAAACTGACATAATAATCACAGATCAGTGTTTCTCAGTTTTATTTTTATTTTTTTCCATAATGGTTCCGCTAAGGAGTCTTTTTAGACTTCTTTTCCTAATCACCACCTTAATAAAATTTTGTTGAGTAGGATTAATGTAGCAAAAGCCCATTAGCCATGACATTATATTTTTCTAACACTTCCCCACCCCTTGCCAAAAAAACAAGAACATTTCATTCCCTTGAGAATGCACACCATGGTTGGATGGCAAAAAGAATACTCAAAAGGATCTCATGTAGGCCAAAATGCCATAGGACTTCCTATAGTAGTGAAGTCCCAGGAGTAGGTCACACATGATTTGATTCACAGTGACACCCATACCATCTGTGATATGATAGAAGCAGTGGTTCTTAAAGTATGGTTCCTGGACCAGCAGACAGGACCTGGGAGCTTCTTAGAAATGCAGAATCTCAACTCCATTTCAGATCTACTGAATAGGAAACTTGGGAGTGAGGCTAGCAATTGGTGTTTAGCAAACCCTTTAAGTGATTCTAATGCATGCTAAGGTTTGAGAAGCCCCTGAGCACCGGGCTCCACAGTAAGGCTTCTCCATACATGCAGCCATATAGTGGCCACGGGCAGATCCACCCCCACTGAGGAGCAGTGTGAACTTCTGGACTGTGGCACAGACAGGCTTACCTTGGAATTTTCCATCACACTCTCAATGCAGTCAAAGTAAGAGAGGTCACTAACGGGTTCATTGGGATTGTCCAACATCCCCTTGACAGTCTAGAAAGGAGAGCACAACTTAAAAAGTGAGCGAGAGGCATATAACAGGAAAGATTGAATGGGGTGCATGCTGTAATCTCAGTGACTCAGGAAGCTGGGGCAGAAGCATTGTAAGTTTGAAGCCAGCCTTAGCAATTTAGTGAAGCCCTCAGCAATTTTGTGAGATCCTGTCAAAAAATGAAAAGGGCTAGGGATGTAGCTCAGTGGTAAAGGTCACTGGGTTCAATTTCCAGTGCCCATCGTCCTCCAAAAGAAAAAAAAAAAAAGATTCAACATAAAATGCCAACTATCAACTTCCCCTCTCCGTACAGGATTCCAGTCACAAGTGCTCATTCACTTAGATTCTTAAGAGGAACTGAGATCCTGATACCATGACTTTAGATTTCCTGCAACACAAGACTGACTGGGGTTGGAGGAGTCTCAGGATAGATTTGCCAGAACTGAGAATCTCTTGTTTCAGTTTTGTTGAGGAAGCAGAGATTTTAAAAAGCCCCAAAATTTAGTGTAAAAAATAGAGCTAATGAACAGGGAGGGATTCAGCAACTGAAACAAGGATGCACTCCGGCTGGAAAGCCTGGTGAGGAACTGGACTGACATCTAATTACTTGTCATCATTCTCCTGACACTCTGTGAGATCCTCATCACTCTCAAACTCTATAACATCAGACCCATGTTCTCCCAGTTTCTGAAAGCCTGCAAGAGTCACTCACAAGGTACAAAACACTGGAAAGTCACATTATTTTTTCAACAAAAATAGCCATTGAAGATCTAATCCTGAGCTTATAATGGAACAGTGAGAACTCCATCTTTTATTTTTCTGCCCTCATCTGGATGGTGAGAGCCTCAACTTTTTTCTATGACCCTCTCCTCAACAGGTCATCCACTCCATGCCAGGAAAAACCTGCCTTGGTTCTGGACCTGATCACCGTAGTTTGAGTGAGTGTGCATCTGCTGGACATAAAGCCTAAGGCTTGAGACTTTTGAACTTAGCATGCAGAGGGAATGTCTGTCACTAGCCTGTCATGATTAAGTGTGTTTTACAGTTCTTAGAATGAAACTGCAAAGTAATTTAGAATTTTTTTCTGTGATTAATTAATCTGAATTGTTTGCTGTGAATTGATTATGTCTATTGCAGTGCCTAACAATAAGAATTGCTGTTTTCCTTATTAAGAATTTATAGAGTGAAATTATATTGTGTAATTTGAGTGAATAAAGCATTGAAAGGGGGAAAAATAAAAAAAAATTAAAAAAAAAATAAATAAATTTAGACATTAATGCAAGGCAACATATTCATGGTCAATGAACATAACTTCTCTGCTGGAAAACTCTAAGGAGTTTAGATTCCAGGGACTCACTGATTCACTTCTTCATCACTAATAAGAATCCCCCATATTTGGATTCTGGAACCTTTCAGGGAGGGGCATGAAAAAGAAGCTAATTCCCCAAAGCTGCCTGTTGGGATGGTTCATTTGTTTCGAGTTTTAAGAGAATAAAAAATGGGGTTGGGGGTGTACCTCAGTGGTTGAGCACTTGCCTAGCATGTATGAGGCCCTGAGTTCGATCCCTAGCACCACATAAAACTAAATAAACGAAATAAAGGTATTGTGTCCATTGACAACCAAAAATATTAAAAAAAAAAAAAAGAAAAAGAAAAAAAAATGTCCACAGTTATTTCAGTCCCCATCAGGGAAATAGGTATGGGCCTGCTTCTCTGTCTCTCAAATCATGAAAAACATCATGAGCCTTCTTGGTGTAATGGCCTTGGATCATGGTTTGTGAGGTACTCTTCCAGGGGAGGAGGGCCTGGTAACGCACCTATTCAATCTCCTTCCCTCTGATAGTAGGACTAAGCAGCCAACAAAATGACAATGGCATCTGAGTTCTGATGGGTGGGGAGTAATGGGAAACGCTGAGCTGTTTAGTGAGAGATGCAAGGGGAAAAAGGCAGTGGAATGAAGAAGCTCCTCTCACTGAAGAATTTCTTCTTGCTCCTTGGTTAATCAGAATTGTTTTAGTACTAGAAATCTTGAAATAGTAATAATTTTGGCAAACAGGATACTGTAATAACACAGAGTATACCTAGGCCAATGGAGTTCATTTAGATCAACAGTCCACACATCATGCATATTTGCAAAAGTGACCAGAGCAGAACAAGACAGTGATTCAATCCATGTAAGGAATATTCCCAACTGCTTTCAGAATGCTTCAGTCTTGTGATAACAATCCCCTTCTCATTTCCAGCTGTGCACAATGGCCTACTGCCATAAACAGGCAGGGCCTCAATTAAATGCTTCAGAAGCTTCCACAGTTATTTCCACCATGCCAGACCCATGTGAATCATCCAGAAAACTAAAGGAGCACTGGGTGTAACCAATTTATCTCTTGAGATAACCAGGAGGACCTGCATTGGTGAGGTCTGCTCTGCCTATAAATGGAAACACTGATGTATGTTTATCCACACATTCTATAAGCACACATGGATTTTTTTATTATAAATACACCATCATGAATACAAATTGAAAAGCACATACAACTGTATTTTGGGCCACTAGGAGCCCCATAGCCTGACTGTGTAGTGGTGTTATTCCTGGTCTCATCAATGTGCCCCTACGTGTTACAGAATAAATCATACAGGGAAATCATTTTATTGAAAGTGATACCAATCCCAGCCTCTCTTTCTTCCCCAATTGTCCCAGAATAATCTCTCCAGTATTTTTTAGGCAAAGATTGATCATCTGCAGCCTACGGTCAATACCACAGGGCTCTTCCATGTGAAATAAATCCTTTAATAAAATAAATGTTAGCCTAGTAGAAAAATGGGAGCGATGATGATAATCCTATCAAATCTAATTTCTTTTTGGTTCCTTGGGACCTGGATGGGAACTTTGGCTTCAGTTGTCTTCCAGGAAAGACAGAAGGCAAGGACAAAGGAGGAAAACACCTCGCCATGTAGGGAAGAAGAGAGACACCAGTCCCCTGTGCACATACACTCTTCCATCCTTAGGGCCCTTCAGGGACTTACCTCAAGCTCCCGCAGGGCGTTATCACACTCCTTCTGCCCGGGGGCTTGCTGGGTGCACAGGGTGATGAGCTGATTGATGCTCTCTGTCACAGCTCTGAAATAGGGACAGAAAAAGAATTTTATATAAAAATGTCTTCAATAATTTCCCCAACAATGTTTGGCAGGCTTAGCAGAGATAAAATTAACTTTCTATTTAGGCTAGGGTCTTCATGAGTCCACTCCCACAGGCTCCCTATGACCCAAGAAAAATAACACTCACTGAAAATAAAATGAGACTCCTTACCTTGCTTCTGATTATTCATTTGATTTAACCTTAAGGCTACCAATAGTTCTTAAAAAGAAATTAGGACTACCTTTGGATATATTCATAAGAAAAAATTCACAACAAAGATGCAAAGAGATCATATTAACACTGTTCAAGATCTTTCATTAGCTGTCTGTAGTAATGAAAGGCTGAGTGAGGCTGTTTTGGGTAGCTCTTGTATATTTATACATTTTTAAATATAGGCGGCAAAAAAATGTGCCCATGATTTCTAACATCTCTACTTTCCAATAAATTCTGTATGAATTACTAATTCCTAGCAGATTTCCAAAAATTATTCTTTAAAATAGTGATTTCCTTTATTAACATGAGACTCTTAGAGACTCTCACATGATTTTACATGTATTTCTATTCCTAGAATTTAAGATGCTACTGGATGTTTTGCTACATTGACAAAGAAACATTCCCGTTCCCCCCGCCCCACCCCCAACATGCCCTACTTAACTTGTCCTAGGTAACAACATAGATAATTCAGAAAGTCACAGTTCATTAAGGTGATTTCTTTATGAGATGTGAGACGCAGGTTGAATATTTTTTGCTGTTCTTTGGCATATGAACGCCAATTGTTCTAGTACCACTGATAAAACAATCCTTTCTCTATTGAATTGCTTTTGCAACTCCAATGATAATCAATTGACCATCATTGAGTGGCTCTACTTCTGGACTCTACACTGTTCCACTGACTGATGTATTTTTTTTCACCAATACCACAGTCTTGATTACTGTAGCTCTGTATTCTAAGTCTTAAAACTGAAAAGAAGTGATAAATGCTTGAGGAGATAAAAAATGCTTATCATACTGATTTGATCATCACACACTATATGCGTGTGTGCGTGTGTGTGTATATATATGATAATTATCATTCTATACCCCATAAATATATATAAATATTATGTATTGGTTAAAAAATAGAATATCCTTGTGTTTTATACATGAAAAATCTGAGAATTGAGCTAACTGAGCTACCTGCCTAATGGGGTGCTACAAATAAGGTGTAGGATCAAGACTTAAACTCATGTCTGCCTGTCTGACTCCAAACTATCTTTTTCTGCAGGGCCATAATGGTCCATACTTTAGGCAGAACCTAGAATTCTATTCATATTTCCTAAGCACTTCAGCTAAAGGGCAACTTAAAACAAACAAAACCACATATTATAGTTAATCACCAACATTGTCTAATATAAAAGATGCCTCATTTTATTAGTTAAATCAGCTTTGCAGCTTGCCACAGAATATCAAATTAGATGGAAAATGATGTTACCAACGTACAAAGGCAATCAGCTTAATTATTTGATGAGATACTTCTTTTAATTCTAAATTTAGCTAGGGCGATGGAAAGAAGAAAAACATTCTTGAACTCAAGAAAGAATCCTCAAATAGCTTCTCTAAGAACGACATGGGTAATTTGTTTACAGGGGGGAAATTGCTTTAATTAGAGCATCACAGGGAGGCACTATGCTCTCCATCTTGCAAAGTAGAATGACAGAGAGCTGGACAATCCCTGTTCCAATGATCCTGATGGGCACAGTCCATGATGCATTCATTGAAGTGTCCCTCAGAGTCCAGTGCCATGTCTTGTGTGGTGGCTGAGACCCACCTTGGGGTGGGAGACAGGCTGGCACAGTCAACATACCAGGTGGAGAATGCTCTCAACATAATGGCAGATCATTTGGAGAATATGTCCACATATCACAGAAGCTTTCCATTCCATTTCCTTCTTCCTGAAAGTGTTGCCTATTTATCTGTTCTTTTTTTTTTTTTAACACCTAATTTCTGTATAAAGGTTTTTCCATTTAAAAACTAAGTATTTACAATTGGTGAATCCAGAGGATCCACAGCTGTGGGAAAACTACTGACTTTCCTATTCTTTTAACTTTTTTTGTAGATATGAAAATTTTTCAAGTAAAAATTTGGCATTAAAAAAGTAAAACCAACAGACTTAATGGTTTGTGGTTAAATAATCCATAAAATGTCAGAGCAGCATCACATGTCTATGTGAGTCTCCTGGGTAAATGATCCATGCCCAAAGAGCATTATTTAGGTAAGATTAATCCCTACAACTCATTTTAGAGTCTGGATACACTGCTAAATAATAAACTAAGTGGTCCAGAGGCAAATGGTTACGTATGCTTGACAATGAAAAATAATATTTTTATGTTTGAAACAATGGTAGCTATTTGTACAAACAAAGGAACAGTTAATATAATTTTGTAATGTTATTTTCTTTAAATTTCAATAAATCTCAAGAAATTATAAATTGATCAGTTTACATTATAAAAAAAATCACCAAAATTAGCATGAATCTAAATAGATCTGATCTTTTTTTCCCCATAACTTTTTGAAATGCTCATAAATTTTTAAAATGCTCTGGGTTTATTTTTAAAAATACAAAAAAGTTAGATGATCATAATTTCACAATCTACAGGTATCATTTTCTTATATTTAAGTCTATCAAAATAAAGATTCTTTATCTTAAAAAAATCAGGATCTGCCACCTCAGAGGTTAAAAAGGGCCCTCTTTTAAAAATCATTTAGTGCCCAGAGATACTGAATTGATTCAACTGAAGTTTGAGAGCTCTGGCTGGAAATTTTAAATAAAGAAATGAGTGAGGGGCTGATGAGTTGAGGCTCAGTGGTAGAGCACTCACCAAGAACGTGCGAGGCCCTGGGTTCGATCCTCAGCAACACATAAAAAGAAATAAGAAAAATTAAGTTATTGTGTCCTACTACAACTAAAAGATAAGTATATTTAAAAAAAAGAAAAAGAAATGAGTGAGAGAAGAAAATCAACAAAGTTGAGCTTCTGATCATCTATGAAGCACAAATCACCTGATAAGAGGCCTAGAGGGAATAAAGCAGCCTAAGACAGCTCCCTTCCTCCAGGAAGGAGGTGCTTAGGAGGGAGAAAGGAACCCATCATATCCACCCATAAGTATTCCCAGGATCCTGTCATGCCTCAGGCATGGAGAGTAAAGACAAATAATACAGTTTAAAGCTTCCCAAGACAACAAGGTGCTTGCAATCTAGTTGAAGAGGCAAGACAATGAAAAAGAAGAGACACAAAAAAGTTGAGCTCAGGAAAGCAGTGATCAGGGCATGGTACGAGACAGGCCATGGTGGACCTGCTGAAAGAGAGGACAGATAAATGTGGGAATCCACAAGGAGCATGGAAGAAAATGAACCTCAACTGTGGGGCAAGGGTTCTGCATGGAAGGAAGTGCTCGATGTACTCTGCAGCAATTGGGAAAGTAGGGGTGAATGTGATTCTGATTTGGAAAAAGGAAAGAGAACTTTCTAGATGAAACCAACAGAAAGCAAAAGCCCCATTTCTATTTTTTCTTTTTATATAGCAGAGACCCTCTTCCCCTTCATGCTGCTTGCTGGATTCTCCTTTTTCATTGTCTCTGGAGACAGGAGAAAGCCTGCCCAGTAGAAACCTCAGACAAAGGTAGCCAGAGAGTAGGAGCTGTCTGGGAGCTCCTGGGAGACCCTCAGAGGACAGGATAACAGCGAAAGACCCCTGGGTTTCAAGGCGGCTTCACGCATTGAGGCATCTCATCTCTAGAGTTCCTCTGGCCATTATGATGGTTATGGTATACGTCTGGCTGCTGGGAAGGGGTTCAGAATAGATATGCCCTCCTTTGCCCAGGTGCATGCTAGTTGGGGAAAAGGCTACTGAATGACTGACAAAAGGTCTTCAGCTTCATCCAATTTGTCAGAAAAGAGCCAGAGCCTAACCAGCAAGAAAGGAAGATGATCAAGTCAGAAAAGGAATTTCTCTTCATCAGCCAAGGGAGGAGGATCCTTAAATATTCCTAGGCTTAGAAGCAGAATTCAAAGCCCAGGAAAAAACACATACTCTACCTTTTCTCCAGAAGCCAATGTCTTTTTTTTTTCCCCCCAAGAAGAGGAAAGACTGCAGAGACCCAGAAAGCAAGAGGTTCCAGACTGCTGATCCAGCAGTAGGACCAGGCAGAGCTGGGGACATGCATGTAAGAGACCAGCAGGGCTTGGCTGTCTCAAGAACAAGGAGGGCAGTGGAACTGAGACTAAAGACAATAATAAAATCAGGTTCCTGCTGCTCAACTTCCTGAACACTTATGGGAGGCATGGAGGAAATGTGGGGCTCATTCTACATCTTGCTCTAACTTCACCATGGCCACATCCCTGTCATGCTCACAGTGTGTACCCAGCAATGGGTTTGGCCCCACTCAGTCCTGTGATAACCACCTGTGTCATTAACCTGTGAAAGAATAAAAGCATGAATGAATGAATCTTGTCCTAGCCGAACGCTGTACCCCAACAAGAGCTTGCTTGACCCACTGGACCAGGCTGGAGTTTCCCACTAGGAGACCACCCAGGGAGCAGAAGCTTGCCAAAATGTGCCAAGAAATCAAGGAGAATGTGCCAGTATCTTGTTGCAACACTTGCATCCCAGACAACTGTTTTCACATGAGCAGTCTTAAGTAGCTACCTGGCTATCAAACCCTCAGGGTAGGAACTCTCTGCCAGCAGCTGAAAGTAGCTGAAAGTTAGGACGGGGGAAAGTTTTAAAATATTTTTGTAGTTGTAGTTGGACACAATACTTTTAATCTTCTTCTTATTATTTTTTAATCTTTATGTGGTGCTTAGGATCGAACCCAGCACCTCGCACGTGCTAAGTGAGCGCTCTGCTTCTGAGCCACAGCGTCAGCCCCAGGACAGAAAGTTTTTAACCTATTTCTAGGCTCTGTCCTCAGTGCCACCATCAGGGAGGGGGTCTGCAGACACCCAGAACTATATTCCAGCAACATTCTTTCAGGGTTTTTTTGCCTTCTTATCTGGACTTTAGAGGCCAATTTATATTTTTCCCTTCTTTCCACAATTTAAGAGAGTGAACAACACGTTCCAAGTTGGAAATTATAATTTGGAAATGATGCAAAAAATTGATGATAATGAAAAACATCTGAGTTCAGATACCTGGAAATATCAGTTGCCTTATCCAAAGGCTCTTTGTAGGAGAAAAGAAGTGATCAAAAGAGGGTTTTATATCAGAAACAGCTGCTCTGCAAAATAGACATCATCCCCATCCTTGCCTCTCCCCACTGTCAAGGGAGGACACTTGTTTATCAGAACAATCACAAAACATGAGAAAGAGGTGGGGAGATGTGAAGATAATTTTCCAAACCCCTAAAACTCTACTGTTTGCATTTAAAATGTATCTTCTGTGACTAAATGAAGAAACACAACAGCTTGCAAGGGAAGTGCTCTGACAGTTTGTAACAACATCTGTCTGTCTATCTATCTATGTACGTGTATATACGTACATATACACACACATACACATACCTACAGGAACAAACAAACAAAAAGATGGAAGGAGAGACAGGACTTAAACTATTAGTTTCATGAAAGCTGGAAAGAACTGAAGGATGATGTAGTTCACACTTCCATTTCACAGATGGAAAGTTTAGACAGGTTGAGCAACATGACTGAGGGAGGAGAGAACCAAAGCTTGGACTAGCATTCGGGTGCCTTGAGTCAGACAATTTAAATGGTCATTGAGCTCCAAGGGTTCACACAAAGAAAAGGAAACAACAACAACAAATAAACAAAAACCCCCACAAAAACCAAACAAATGAAACAAAGCTGAAAAGAAAAAGCAAGCAGAACTGAAGCTAATCACTAATCTGCACATTTTGAAAAAGATTTCCAATGATTACATCCCCCTCATAGCCTCTCATTTAATGCCTCACCACTCAGCTTTTCCATATATAAAATGATGTCAAATAATGCTAAGAAAGCATCTGTACCTCCCATGGTAAAATATCCTCCCCTCTGGGTTTGGGAAGAAGAATGTGGAATTGCTAATAAAAGATCATCCTGGGCTGTCGCTGCAGTTGCTCTGCACGCTGGCATTCAATCACCAGTTATTGAACTGAAGTGGCACAGTGGTAGCCTGCGACCAGAAATTGTATTACTTACTTCCCTGGGTGAAAGCAACAGGAAAGGAGAACCCTGAAATATTCCCAGATTCAGAGTCATGTTTTACTTCAGTTCAAAAGCTATTCTACCACTACTCATCCATCCTAAACTGGAGCCTTTCCACACAAGTCAAATTCAATCTAATATCCATTCCAGGCACATAGTATGTGCTGAATAAATGTCTGGTGAATGTTTTTTGAGCATTGCTCTCCTCTTTGTTTTTAGTATTTTCTGATTTCTTTTTCAATAAGCATCTATTACTTTCATCATCTGAAAAATCTATTTAAGCTTTCATGTTTGCAAGTTAATAGTGGCCTTAAATCTAAGCCAGTCCTTATTGGAAAGGCTGTGTAAGATGACAGAAGATTTCTTAGTGGGATAAAATCATGGAGAGGAGCCAGTTTTACAAAAACAAAAAACAAACAAACAACAACAACAACAACAAAGCCCCCCAGATTCTCCCATTACTCTTTACTTTACCTCCAATGACACAAGGATACCACCAATTCTTTGCTTAGCAAAGTGGTAGGATGTTGGGCACATCTTCAAGATGCAGTGACATCATTTAAAAACATATGAAAGCACAATTTGTCCCATTCTTACCTTGCAGCTGCAGCCAGCAAATTTTTTGCATTGGGTGCTCCTGGATCTACAGAGAGAGACTTGGCCGCTAACAGTAGCTTGCTGGATGCCATAGAAATATTCTTGAGGTTCCCTATCACTTGGATCTGGTCTTCTTTCGTCTGGAAGGTCAAAAGGAGTCAAAGTCATGAGGAAGTGTCCATTTCTCCTAGTAAGCATTCAGAGAGCTAGGAGCAGCATCCTGAGGCAGAGGCAAGTTATCTGCAGAGATCACATGAAGCCCAGTCTGCACATGACTAACACATTGAGATACTGACTAGTGTCTATCCTTCTTCAAACAGATGCTTAGAGCAAGATTCATGCATCAGGGAAAGAAATCCATGCTTAAGTGGGTCAGCCAGGAGCTGTGCTTTCTCACAACTGGAGGCACTATAGCAGGGGGAGGAGAGAGCCAGTGAGCAGCACCAATGCACAGACGAGGCCACGATTCCAGCATCTTGCTCAACAATGCTGGAGTTGTCCAGTAGCTTGTACATCTCGGCCTGGCACAAATGAATAGCACTGTTTCAATGTTCAGAGCTGGCTGCAACCCAGAAGATCCTGATCCGGGAAAAGACCCATTTCTCACCTGCCTTGCCATGGAAAAAACAATACTTTGTGGATAACAGAGCAAAAAATAATGGGATAGCTCTTTTATGGAGTTTGCAAGAGCTTAGAAAAAATATCCCTGCAAGTTGATACCTGACTGGTCATGTTTTTGTATTCTAAACAAGCGGTTTATCTGTTCATCTGAAGGAGGTAATTTTTCTTTGAGCATGTGAAGGTGGTACTTTTTAATCATTTGACACTCAGTATTAGACTACAGTCCCTCCAAATAAGCCCACTAAACCTCAAATATGCATGTGTGTCTGAGTGTATTGTGTGTGTGTGTATTTTGCTATATTATTCCATATTTGAAGAGCTATCATCATCTCAGTTAAACACTGTCCCCCTCCTACTCTTTCTTCAAATGGCATAAGTGAGAGGATGGGTTCTGCTGGAGAATCGTGGGAAAAGTCATCCCTCATCACCAAGAGCTGCTCATACATAAGCTGAGACATCTTTGGGAATGCCATTCCTATGAGGTCACAGAACTTCCCAAGCAGCAAAAGGAATGTACCATGGCCTGTTTATAGGTTCCCTATGCCCATTTGCCCAGTCAGCCTCCAACATGGGAAGTTCAGAGCAGAGGCTCAGGTCAGCTCTGGACAGACAGTACTTCCACACTCACCTGTGCTTGGCCAGCCATCTCAATGCCAGCATCGAGGAATTCGTCAAAATCATCACTGAACTTTCCGGAGGCTGCTGCCAGCTCTCCACTCTGGCCCCGGGTGGCATGGACAACTTCCCCAGCAGATTGGTTCAGATCAGCTGCTGCCTGATTCAGTTCACTCTGGGCTTCCTGGAAGGGCTTTGTGCTCGGAGGTAGCTATGAGGACAGAAGGCACAGCCCATAAGTATTACCTTGCTCAGGAGGGATAAAGACAGGCATTGTGGAGGGAGGAAAGACTTCCCAGGGATGCATTTGAGTCATCAAAACTGAAAGGCTTTGTATGGTCTGGGTCCAGGTGAGGTTTGCCTTTCAACACATCTACACTCATTCATCTATCCCCCTTTACAGAATAGACTCAACCGCAGATGGAAAACCAGTAAGAACAGCCATCTGCAAGTGCTCATGCTCATCTAAGTGGCAGAGACGGGATTCACACCCAGGCAGCCTGACTCCAGGATCCATTCTTGGACCCACCACCCTGTTTTGTCTCTCTCAAGATGGAAATTCTCAGTCTAGCTTTTTAGAACTAAAAGAACAAATCACGTTTTTCCAAATTAATAGCCACCAATTTTGTTTTATTAGTGGTCTTTATTAATCTTTTTTTTTTTTTTTTTTAAAACAGGATACCAGTGTCATTTGAAGAACTATAACCATTAGTGAAAAGTTCCACAGAGCTAAGCTAGACTCTATTACCACCAGCATACCTGCATGTACACCGGCACGGGGAAGAAATAAAGATAAACACAAATTCTGCAAGCAGACTCACAAAGCAGGGATGGAGATGGTCCCTAAGTGAAAGTCCACCTGCTCTCCCAATGAGTCTTGAACATGTGTGCACCTCCACTGCTTGCTCATCTCTATCTGACATGCCCTTATAAGAAGGGAGAGGACCATATACCCACTCCTCTGTCTCTTAACAGCAATATGGACTTAAAGAGTAAACTTTAAAAGCTTCATCTGGGAACTTCGCTGGACAGAAAATGAACAGAAAAGCCAACTGGCAGGAGAAATGGTACCCCTTAAGGAAAGGTTAGTTACTCAAAGATTCCACAAAAGATGACCCACTCACACCTAGAGGGGCCAAGTCTCCCTTCCCAGTCAGAACCTCTCACCGAATCCACAAGCAACTTCTTGCTGGACTCTCCAATGCTCTTCAAGGCCACATCTACATCCTTCTGCCCAGGTAGGCAATTCACACAGTTATTCAAGGAGTGAGAGACAGCTTTGGCCACCTGAATACATGAAGGGAGACATACATCATAAGAATGGTTTCAGTACAACCTTTTTTTTCACATTTCTTGGGAAATTGAGCAGTGAGAGTATGCAGAGCTGACACAGACATGGAAATTATCCACCAGCATCTGCCTGATACTGTTAAGTTAAATCACCTCATCCACATCTGCTGTCCAAAAGCAAATTCCACCCCCTCACTAGGGTTAACATCCTGTGACAGGCACATCTTACCTGCTTCCCAAAGCCAGGCTGAATCATAGCTTCTGATTCAAACCTAGGTACCTTGTTTCAAAGGAAATGGAAATATATCCCCCTCGAGAACTCTGTTGAGGTCACTGAGGTGGAAGCAGGCCTTGAGTTCTTCTGGGTCACTGTCAGCCAGCCTTTGGTTGATTTTTGCTCAGTGACCCTCTGGTGCTATTACCCCCAAATCTCACTATACCCAAGGGCAAGGCTCTAAGCACTTCCAGATCAATGGAACTGCTTGACACGCTGCCTTTACATAGTATTGAAGTGATTTCTTATTTGCACTCTTGGGTACCCTCAGTTAAAAGGAAAGTTAGGGCTTCAGAGGTAGGCTCTGTCATTTCTTTTAATCCAAAATATCTCCTTCCGAGCCCCATGTCTAGAATTTTATCTGGATGTCCCTAGTTAACTGGTTTTATCATGGGGTCAGAGAATCACCCACAGGGGTGATAAGGAGTTATAGGTAGAAACTTTGAGTGGCTGGATTTTGTATATTTTCTTCACTTCCCAGGCTAGGAAGCACATGTTGGCCCAAAACAAATGTGTCTAAAGTCCTAAACCTCCCAGGACAGGATGCAAAGATACCCATACCCTCTATTGACTGAGAAGGGAGAAGAGCTCACATTAATGTGGGGAATACTAGGCAGACTAACAAGAGTATCATGCATGGGCCAGCATCGTTATGGCACCATGGAAGGTTCTCAAAACATCAGCTGAGTCAAAGCATTCGCACCAGGAAAAATCATCCAGGAAACAGCCTGCCAACACATGCGTAGTAAGGATGACCATCATTCCCAATTCTGAGCCTTACCTGGGCTAGTCTCTGTTGACTCTCTGCATCTCCAGGTGCAATCAGGGCCTGCTTGGCTTCTTGAATGAGCATGGCAGAGCCCTCCATCACATCTCGGGCAGAATCTAGCATGGCATGGGCAGCAGTGGGGTCACTCGTAGATGCAGCCACTCCCCGAGCAGCCTGGGCCAGTGTTTTCAGAGCTTGGGCTGTCTCTCTAGCAGCCACTCCTGGGGATACAAGCCCACCAGATTTTTTATTAGATTCCATATAAATGGCACGCTTTTACTTTAGAATAGTTCTCTGGACCAGGGCCCCTTCTGCACCACAGCCTGGTCTAAGGGGAACTATGGATTGACATTTGTAAAATTTGAATTGCTGTGCTTCTCAAATAAGTAAAAGATGCAGTAACAAATATAATGCAAAGACAATTTCCTTCTGCTTTTCCTTGCTCCCACTGCCTTACACATCCCTAGACCCAACACACCAAGGACATGAGGGCAATAGCACAGCTAGAGGTCCCTGGGTGTGTCCAGACAGTTTGAAGGAAACTGTTTTAACTCACTTTTCTTCCCAGTTGCCTATATTAGGATATAACCTACATACACATAATAAAGCAAACAAATCTATGTGAGCAGCTCTGTGAATCTGTAAATATGGAAACATCCACTTATCCACCATCGCCAGTGCCATTCCCCAACAATGCCCTTCACACCAGAAGTAATCACCAACTTAAAATCTATCACCTTAGACTAGTTTTACCTGTCCTTAAACTTATGTAAACAAAACCACACAGTGTGCATCATTTGGGTCTGAATTCTTTCTCTTTCCATCATTTGGTGAGATTCACACATATTGTTAGCAGTTTATTCTTGCTGGGTAATATGCCATTATTTGGACACATCAATACCTGTTTATCTATTATTCTGCAAATGCACATTTGGGTTGTTTCTCACTTTGGGCCATTATGAATAAATCTTCAAGGAAAGTTTTTGCACATACATTCAGACACACACATGAAATTCTCTCTCTTGGATCTAAACATAGGAATTGATTTTCTATGTAACAGAACAATTATAGATTTAACTTTAGAAGACACTACAAAACAGTTTTCCAAAATGATTTTACCATTATACCCTCCACCAGCAATGCACTAAAGTTGGAATTGCTCTACATCCTAACCAATAGGATTTTTGGAATTTTAGTCACTTTGGTGCAAGTGTAATTGCATCTCAATGAAGTTTAAACTTTCATAACTTAATGAGTAATGAGAATCTTACTTTTTTATACATTTAATGGCTATTTGGATATTTATTCATTTTGTGAATCATCTGGTTATCTTTCAATCCATTTTGAAACATATGATGAGATTAGTGATGATTTTCTATGAATATAAACTAGTCCTTTAAAACTATTCCAGCACTTCATGCAGAATAAACATGAGTCTAACTACATGGTACTCATCCCTAGGTACCAGGAAGAGCATGGAGGTTGGATGCTGGGGAATTTGAAAAAAAGAATATGAGAACTGTGGAACAGCCAACTCCAGAGCCCATCTCATTGACCCACTTCACAAATGAGTCCCAGCACTGACAGTGTCTTGTCCACAAGCTTACATTTTACAGGTAGCACCAGAGCTGAAACTGCACTTCCTCAGCTCCAGGTAAAAAAATCTTAAGAGTGCTCTTTAGCAGAGAGAACCATGAAGGCTTCTTGTTAGAACATAAAAGACATGCATAAAAACCACAGAAACCAATGTCTCTTTAAGCTCTGAAATGACTATCTTCCTTCAGCAGGATCAGCTGAGTGGTCTCTAGATGCCCTTGTGCATGTCCTTTACCAGGACTGCTTCAGCTGAGTCAGCAAGATGCTGAAGGTGGTCTTCACATTACTGAGGATGAAGCTCCACAATACAATAAATGATGTGCAAGTCCTCAGACCCATAAAACTAGACAGCTTTGCAACAATAGACTTGTTAATCTATAAATATTTTGTATGTCACACAGCTGGAATAGAACTCTATAATCTAATCAAGGCAGATTATAAAGCTGCCAATCTACTGTTTATCACATGACTTGTGAGATGGAAGGATTTAAAAATCAAGCCCAGAAGAGAAAACATGAAGGTAAGCAAAGGAGAAAAGCAAGCCAGTGGAAAGATCATCCACTTCATGTTTAAGCTTTTGGCTCAGGGTTGAAAGATGTCATTGCTCAAAAGAACAACAGATGTGGTTAAGCCCTCGTTGTACTCTGCCTCTATGTTGATTTGCTGTGTGGTCTACACTGCTGCCTTTTCCCATGGGTCTCAGTTTCCCACAGCTTTTAGGAGAGGCTAAGATCTTAGTACTGGCTTTTGAAAATTCTAGGCTGTGATTTCTGGACAAAAAGACCTGTCTTCCAATTTTTTATTTGGATTCTTGAATCCATTTCTATTTGAGTTGTATAGGAATTTAGAAGAATAAAACATTTGTCTTATACATGTTTATGCAAAAGCCATTTTGTGGAAAATATTTGAGACTCAATTTTTAAAAGGCAGAAACTGGAAAAGCTCAAGTTCAAAAATCTGTCCATCTCACTTATTTTCTGCTGAGGACTCAATGTGAATCTCATATTTTTTTGAGGAATCAAATTTTCCAACTTCACCATCAGAAAGATGAATTAAGGCCACAAGGACCAGAGAGCCCAGTGAACACCCACGGCTGTACAGAACTACGTTGATAGCCACATTCTTAATGGTAACCACTTCAGAGTCACATGTCCAAGCAAGCAACATGAAGCTGTTCTCAGTCAAGTGAATCACAACACAAGACCTGTAAGTGGGTAATTCTAAAGCAGATTTCCATTTCAAAAACCAAAATCCCTTGGAAACACAGATAAGTTTCGTTGCCACCGGGATCTTAAATTATTCTCAATAGCAAGTCTTAAGACATAACAAATGTTACCAAATATAGCAGTATTCTTCGAAAAGATTGTTATTCTTTATCAGAATTCATGTGGCTTGTGTGTCAAGCAGCATTAGACCACAGAGAAGGCTCACAAAGTAAAAACCAGGTATGATATAAATCTCAAATCTGTTCCAAAGTATGTGCACCAGGTCCTATATAACTGCATTCAGCCATGTAGAAATATCTTTTGAGTATTTTACTGGCCAAAGAAAAACATGCTTGCTTTCAAATGTAGCCACGTGGCAGTGAACATGTGTCATCTGAATGTTTCCCATCAATCAGCTGGGGACAAGGGAATGAAGACCCATTGAGACCTCCTTCATATTTGCTGTCTCTCTTTGTTTCTCACCCATTCTTCACCTTTGTAGAAACTGCCTTCAACAAGAGCTGTAACCTCCTTTCTCCTAAAGCAGCTAACAGATGCTTCTAAGTCCTCCTTTCCCATCACCTCTGGGCAGCAGCTACATCTCTGGCTCTGGAGACATCTCTCTCCCAGTTTCCTTGCCCTACCCATTGGGGCTATTCCCATTTCTTTCAAATATTTCTATTGCTCAGCTTTCTCTTTAACTGTAGCCTCCTCCAATCATGGACTGGAGTCTCTAAAACTGTGAGGCAAAATACACCTTTTCTCTATATATGTTATTTACTTTAGGTATCTCCTTATAGTGATGGAAATTTGGCCAACACCACTGCAAAACACTACTACACTGAACCTGGATGAATGCAGCAGCCTGCTTGCTAGTCCCCCTGCCTCCATCTGTTTCTCTCTAATCTACTCCACACACAGAAGGAAGGGCAACCTCTACAAAACACAATCTGACCCACACCCACTGCTAAAAATCCTTCAGTATTTTCACATGTTCTTTGTTGAAACTCCAAACTATTCACATTGGCTTATGATGCCCTTTAGGAGCCAACCCTGGTCTAACTTTCCAGCTGTATCTTCTTATTCCTCACCTTCCTTCTGGCCTTTTTTGTTTAGCTTTCTCAGTTCCTTCACCCAACATTCATCTCTGCCTTTGAGACATGCATGTAGCATCCACTTCCATGCCTGCCAAAACCAAATGGTGCTAATTCTAGGCTGTTTTTCAGACACCAAGGAGGCAGCTTGCCATCCTGGATGTTGTATCAGATGATGCAACTTGTAAAATAATCTTCTCTCCACTAAAAATGCATTTCGTCATCTATACAAAAGCTGCCAAGATTTTGGGAATGTTTTTTTCAAACTTAAAATCTCCCATGTACCTTACATTTTGTACCAATTTATGCATACATTTTCCTCCCAGAATACTAAAAAGTCCTAAACAATCTTCAAACCCTGGTAGGTGTCAATTCTGCTCTGAAAATTTCCCTCACCCTTCCATTAGGATAGAATCACTTCATTGCAGGCACTACATTATATCATAACTTCTTTTTTGTTCCTATTGTGTTTCTAGGACTTTGTAGTAGCAGAATAACTCCACAAATAACACTTCCTGCAAGAACTATCTGGGAACACTGAAAAACATGAAACGTCTGTTTGAAGTCCCTGGAGCAATACCAGTGAGTTGAGATAAAGAGGGCCAAGATCTCAAAAAGAAGCAAAAGCACAGAGAGGGGACTGCAATGTTCAGGGTTACTTCTCAAGGTATGAATCTAGAATTTATATGGAAACATTAACTTGAGGGAGCCCAACAAAGTTGGAGGACTTAACATTACCAGATGTGAAGACTTACAGTACGACTACAGTAATTCAGAAAGTGTGAATGAAAAATGGGCAGTTAAATGAGTGCAAAGAAATAGCAACACAAGCTGACCCACACATCTGTGGTCACTTTATAACACAGTGGCAGTAAAGACCGCTGTGGGCAGGGTTCTTTTCAATCAGTGGTGCTGGTTCAAATGAATATCTATGTGGAAAACAATTAAACTGGAATCCTATTGCACACACAAAAAACTCAATTCCAGACACATCATATTTCTAAATATGACAGGAAAACGGAAGAGTTCTAGAATATGACAGAGGAAAATATTTTTATGCTTCTGCACAAACAACAACATAAAATGCCAACTTTAAAAAAATTGGGGTTAAGTGAATCAGATGGAGAGAATGGGCATAAACGAAAGTTTTAAATCAGATACAAAAAGTACTAACCATAAAGGAAAAGAACTGTAATTGGACTACATTAGAAGAACTTTTGATCATCAAAAAACACATTTAAAAGAGTAAAAACAAGCTACAAATACGACAAGTGCCTCTAAGTGACACAGAAGTCCCATAAGTAAGGAAAATAACCCATGTTTTAAAAAAATGGGCAAAAGATTTCATATATACTTCATAAAAAAGTTCAGCAAACAGATGAAAAGATCTTCAGTCATATTATTCACAAGAGAAAGCAAATTAAAATTATAATGTGGTTCTATACTCACTAGAGTGGCTAAAACTAAAAGACTGACAATACAAAATGGTGACAAGGATGGAGAACGATTGGAGTTTTCACCTACTGCTGAAAGGAATGTAGTGGATATATGGAGAGCCTCTGATCCAGCAAGGTCACTTCCAGGTATAACCTAGAAAATGCTCAGTTATGCTCACCAAACACACTAGAATTATTTATAGCAGTGTTTCAGGAAACACCCCAAATACCCATTAATAGCATAAAGCATATAGGAATATTTATACAATGAAATATTACAGAAAGCAATAAAAGTGAAAGGTACTACAGGCACCATAGACGAGTCTCACAAATACAATGCTGAGCAAAAGGAGCTAGATACAAAGGAACATACATTGTATGATTCTGTTTATTCATAGTTCAAATAGCAAAATTTAATCTATGTTATTAGAGGTCATGGGCCTTTGCCTCTGGGGAAGGAGAGGGGACACAGTGAGTGCTATCAGGGACAGGATGCAACCAAGATGCTGAAAACATTCCTCTCCTTGATCTTGGTGGTGACTTCTTGGGTACATTCTATTTGTAGTAACTCATATCACAGAGATAACTGCTTAGGACTTATGCTGTCAAATGCATGCATTATACTTCAGTAATAAAATAGATATTTTTTAAAAAGTCAAGCAGTTCTACTGTAAAACGAAAGCAATAATCTATAACCTAGTTCTCCCCACCTGATTCCCACTCAGAGTTACTCAGTTTTCTTTCAGTATTTCCTATTTTTAAAACAAGATGCTTATATTCAAACTTTTTTAAATTTCAGAGTTGTATAGATTGCCTACTATGTTAACCTTTCCTTTCCATTTTTCTTATTGTTACACTATCTATTGCTTATACAGACTCCCATTTAAGAAATCTGCTGCCTTTCAGAGTTACCTAGCACAGCCAATACTTAGCTCCTCTGCCCCACCCCAGTTTTGCAGCACAAATCTGCTCACTTCCTTTTGGCTCCTTCCATTGGAGATCCTGAATTCGTGTTCATTCTGGTTTGTCAGTTAGCACTCATCAGTCTTGCATCTTCCAAAATTTCACTTGCATCTTATTTGTAGTTATCTCTTATTTCTCTATTTTTTAAAATTTTTTCTACATTAGTGGAATTTCTGGAGTCAGAGATAGACCTAGAAGCCTATAATCAAGATTTGCCTGTAGTCTAGTAGGGGTGACTCACAATTTGGGAGTCATTTTATTAGTCTTTGTATGCTTAGCAACAAGTCTACTAGCAAGTATATGGAAGGTAATTGAAAAATATTCTGTGAATTGCTGGAAAAAACAACAGTTTACTGCCAAATCTGGGAACTCCCTTTCTAGACCCCCCAGGTGGTCTGCACGCAGCCACCTGGCATCATGAAGGGCCCAGAGCCTCACCTGTATAGTGCTCGTTGCCTTGAGCTGCGCAGGTGAGGAGCTGGGCCATGGAGGAGCCCACTGCTTTCGAGGTGCTTCCCAGGTCCTGAGCACATTTTTCCAGCTATAAGAAAATCCAAGGAGAAGAGGACTTAGAGGAAAAAACATCTACTGAAGTCTCAGTATAATTTACAGCAAGAATGAAAATCCATCCTAGAGCTTGGGCTCTTCCCACCCAGGATGCCGTGGTCCTATAGCAGCAGGAGGAACAGGGGAAAGAGCCCGGCTTTAGAACAAACTGGGATATACACCCCTGCTCCCTATTACTAGCTGTGTGAGACTGGGTAAGCTACTGAATGCCTCCAAGCCCCAAGAGCTTTTTTATGACCTTTTTTTCTGAGGTCATAATATACCTAGCTGAGAAGGTCTTCAGAGAATGAACATAGGTTCTCAAATGGCAGCTATTAGCACTATGACTTTAGAAGCTAACTTAAAAAGTCTACAACAAATCCTTAGGCATTAATTATGCCTTGGCAGGAAGTGGGCAGACATCCAGCTGCACCACCTTCCTGGCATGTGGGACCATTAACATTGTTCAATTTGATCATTATACTTTAAGGAGTTCCAAGTGAAAGGAAATGCAAGAGAAATGGAGATTCGGAGTGGTAAATGAGATTAGAAAAATGGGCAGAGTGTTTGCTTCCCACGAACAGCATGTCATCTTGCTTTGTAAGCTGAATAAAAAAATTCAGAGGACCAAGTTGGTAAAGGCCTAGGGTATGGATAATTATTTGCTTAGTAACTGAGGACAATGTTTTGGAAGAGAATGTCTAGGTGCACTGTGAAAATTCAAAAAGGCATAAGAGAATACATACAGATTTAACCGGGTAACATCTTTCCTGAGAGAGGCTGTGCCTTCAAATACAAATAGCGCCTGACCCATTGCAGCCAAAACATAACAGTGCACACATACTGTAGGTCACTTTCTTTAAAAAGTGCGCAGTGTTTCTCACATTCTACTTGACCCTGTGCTTTATGTAAAGGTGGAAAACATGTCATGTCAGCCCCTCGTGGGCTCTGTATCTATCATTAGCTGGGCGACTTGTTAAGTGACTTAACCTCTCTAAACCTGTGTTCCTTCATCTTTTCAATTAGGGGTCATTTGATTTAACAAGTATTTTCAGAGTGTTTCTGATGGGTCAGACATTGTTCTGTGGCTCATTAGGGGCTCCCAAAGTCCCTTTACATTCAAAAAGACTTCATTCAAAGAGCAATAGTAGTTAAGAGCAGCGGCTCTTAGGGCTGGGATTTGGTTGAGTGGTAGAGTGTATGTCTAGCATGCATGGGGCCCTGGGTTCAATTCTCAGCACTACAAACAACAACAAATAAACAAAAACGTCATCGGCAAAGGTTTTAGAGTCCTGCAAATCTGGATTCAAACCTTGATTGTGTCATTAATTGGCAGATCACTCTGGACAGAACAGTGACAATCTTTGTGACTATTTTCTCAGGTGGTAATGGGTTTACGGAAACATTTATTGGGTTATTATCACAATAAATGAGATTTTGTGTGTGTGTAGAGTGTTTAACAGGTGCTTAATAAATGGTGGCATTTTATTAGCAATGTTCAGAAAAATATGGGAAAGTAGTCAGGATTGGTAAAATGAGAACTAGTAATTTTTAGCCAAGAAAACTCTGAACGTAAAGATCAGGAGGTATCGTAACATGATCCAATTAGCTATGTGGTGCCATCATTCCGTTGGTGGCTTTCCTATTTTAAAGTGCTTTGCAGTGGTCCAGCTCAGTGCCTTGCACTTTTTTTTTTCTTTTTTAAGTGACTGGTGATCATCTTTCCTGTGTTTATCATTATAATCCACTGCCACCTATTTAATGGATACCCAAGACTCAGAGGAGATGCTATCCACTGCTAGTTGATAACACAGCTGGATCCAGTTCCAGATGTAGTCTCCTGGGCTGCATGGGACATTCTTTTCAGTAAAAGGCCACAGGATTAGACCACTGGGCTGAAACACTAGCATTTATCTCATTTATCAAAAAGAGGGGTAAATATTAATAGATGCCTGCTTATCCTCAGCCAAACCCTAGGAAAGCACACACACACCCATCAAGAGAATCTCATACAGGGTGATTTCTATCTTAATGCTGTTCCAAAGAAATGTGGTTAATCTAGGGCACTGCATTCAAAAATGCTTGAAATTTTGGGACACTAAAGTCAACTTTTAAAAAATGCCTCAACATGCCAAAGGCAGAGCCCACATTCCAGTTAGCTCGAATGGCTCACCGTTTCTCCTGGAAGTGGCTTCAACTGACTCTCCACGGCCGCCATCTTGGCATCCTGAAGCTCATTCTTAAGAGTTTGCACCGTATTCAGAGCTGAATCAATTTCCATAGGACCACAGGCTTCATGGGCCTGTCAACAGAGGAAGGAATATGTATACATGATCTGATGCTGTAGTCCTCTGCAACACATGAAATGCTTTCCTGAAAATACCCAATGATTCTCTGAATCTAGCAGTCAGAGGTAAGGGTAGCAAATAATTCTTCAGAGAACAAAATCCTCCTCAGTTAACACTTTATTGTCCCTAAATAATCAATTATGTATGTCTCGTAACTGGATATACTTAAAGTTTCCTTGAAGCTATTTTATCCTCAGAGTTATAGAGGCCTTTATTTACAGTGCCTGAATTGTAGTGATAGGGTACTGTGCACAGTGTGTGTGAATGAACGAATGAGCAACCAAGCCATGATTCTGTATGAAACTCATTCTCTTTACAAATTTCTATATTTTAAATCATTATCTTCCATACTAAAGATTATAGAAGTTTTTTCCCTTGGCTGTTTAAGAAAATTATTTTATTCTCTTAATCGTTTAGGACATTGGCTGCCAAATGCTGCAACTGCATGCCCCAACACACAGGTCATTATATATATACATGGTCATTGATCAGATCACAAAATACTGGTAAATCATAATTTCTCTCCTTTTTTTAGATAATAATAACAACAGTAATAGGAAATATTGATTAATTGATTTCTATGTGTCAATACGGTAAGGTGAGGAAACTGAGAAACAGAGAAGTTAACAAACTTGTTGGGGTCACAAAATTAAGTTGATGACAGGGTCAGAATTTGAGTTCAGGCAATCTGATTCCAGACCCTGCACTCTTGAACCTTATATTACATTATATCTATCTGTCTGTCTGTCTATCTCCGTGTCTTTCTGTACCCCATGTCCCAGAGGACAATTTTACTCAAGGTCCCCCTTTGTAACTTACGGCTCCTGAGCAGCTATTGAATGTTGGTGTGTGTCTAAGACCCACTGAGGAAACATATTAAAATGCAGATGTTCAGGCTCTTCCGCCCAAGATTCTGGCTTGGTTGCTCAGAGGCAGCCTGCATTCTAAGCACCCCCAGGTGATTCAATGTGGATTATCTAGAACCTTTCTGACAACACGGCTCAAAAAACTTTTTTTTTGTATGTGTGTGTGTGTGTGTGTGTGTGTTGGTTGTATCCTAAAGCTCTGGACATTTTTCTTTTTCAATGTAGTGTGCTGCTTTTTTCTATAAAGGGATTGCTCCAATGAGGAAAAGTGAAATCATGTTTTAACTTCATGCTAAATACCACATCGGAGCAGTAAAGAGATCCTTTGGTAACTAATAAGTTTTAGAGACTGAAATTTATTTAGTCCCAAATTCTGTTCTATTGAGTCCCTTGTTGACATATGAATGCTTCCATATAGGATGAGAAAACCTTTTAGGGTAAAAAGGAGCAAAGCTGACTCCCCTTACCGCCCTACCCCCTGCCACCAAAGATTTTCTGCCTTAATAATTTGTTATTAAGTTCATAAGGTGATAACTAGAAGATATGACCATTTCTCACCACAGTTCGCCTCTGAAATGTCCCCCCAAAGACCCATGCGTTTAAAGTGTGGTTACCATCCCATGAAGCTTTAGGAGGTGGTCATGGTTTGGATATAAGGTGTCCCCCAAAAGCTCCTGTGTCAATGCAGTAGTACTCAGAGGTGAAACGACTGGCTTATGTGAGCTGTAACCTCAGCAGTCCATCCTCATTTGAACAGACTGGGCGGTAACTGTAGGCAGATGGGTCATGGCTAGGGGCATGCCCTGGAACTTCCCTGTCGTCCCTTCCCCTCTCTCTGTGCTTCTTGGCCACCATGTCTAGAGGTGTGCTCCTCCACCATGATGTTCTGTCTCACATGGGGCCATAGCAATGGAGTCATTCCACCATGGACTCAATCTCTGAAACCATGGGTCAGAATAAACTTTTTCTCTTCAGGTTGTCCTTGTCAGGTATTTTGTCCACAGCGAAACAAATCTAATACAGAGGTGGTGGAACTTTTAGGAAGAGGGGCTTAGTGGAAGGAAGTTAGATAATGGGCTACATGCCTTTGAAGAGGATGTTGGGGTCTCAGTCCCTTCCTAGACACCCTGAGGCAAACAGTCCTCCTCTCCTATACACTCTTGCCATAACCTATGGTGCTGCCATAGGCCTGAAGTGACAGGGTTAAGTAATTATGGACTGAAATGTCTGAAATTGAAACTGTGAGTCAAATAAGCCTTTCCCCTTTCTAAGTTGATTCTTTCAGGTATTTTGTATTTGGCCCACAATACACCTGGCACCAAGACATTTCAGAGGCGAACACAGTAGCAGAAAGATGACTAGGTACACTTATTTTGGCCTACAATACACCTGGCACCAAGACATTGATGACTACCAGTTTCCTGCAAGACTGAAAAACAGAGGAGGAGCAGGAGGAAGTATGAGATTTAAAATGGTTCAACAAAAGTCATCTGTAACTGGAAGGTGATAACTAACTCTGGGAGACAGTTTAAATGTAGAGTATAAGCCAACTCATAGGGTATCTTTAATGCTCTTGCAAATGGATTGGACAGCTCTCCTAAGCAAGATGTTATTAAACTTCTCTTAGAAAAGGTATAACAATTTAAGTGCCAGATCATACATATTAAGGACTAGCTGTGCTCAGGCCATGGGCAGCACCATGACCCTCCAGCAGTAAGGAACAAAAAACCCCACTCCTGACGAGCTGAGAGCCCCACTTGCCTTCTGCGAGGCGGTGCGCAGCTCGGCCAAGCTGGTTGCCAGGTTCTTGGCACACTGGCTCAGCTGCATGGCTGCGGCCTGGTCGCTCACAGTGGGCACCGCAGCCTTGGCAGAGGACACCATCTTGCTTCCAGGCTGTGGACAGATGAGAAGAAAGTAAGACAGCACCTGGGCAGCAAGAGGCATAGACCCACTGACAGAGCCTCCTCCATGGCAGCCAGACGTACTTCACCCTTGTGTGCAACCAAAGATATGAAAAATTGTGCTCTATGTGTATAATATGAATTGTAATGCATTCTGCTGTCATATGTAACAAATTAGAATAAAAATTTAAAAAAAAATTAATCACCAGCTACTTCCCTGCCCCACCCTACAAATTACCACACCTAATCAGATACTCCAGGGCAGAACAATCTAGGAATGTTAACAACAACAAAAATGGTATGTGTTGTGAGGGGTTAGGGGAGGCAAAATCAGGAGAGTTGCTTGAATTCTCATTTAAAACTGATTTCAAAGAGTTCCTTATCCAACAGTTTTCTTGGAATAGCTCTTTATTCTGAGTTTCAAATATACCCAATAGATTATTTAGAAAATGAAGTAAGATGAAGCAAATAAAATAAACTCACATTTCATAAAACAAAATAATTTTACTATGCATGGAAATCTGTGTGCATGTACATGTTTTAAAAAATAAGATCATGCTATTTATAATCTCAATTAAGATTTTTATCTTTTCATTAGCTAATAGTATTCCACTGCACACATCTGTTAATATTTCTCAATTCTTGCTCTTGGGCATGTTCTGTTTTTTCCAATCTAATAAATAATGGCATAATAAATGTCTTTCTAGCTAAATCTTTGCATACATTTACAACCTTCAATGTATAAATTTTTAAAGCTGAATTTCTGAATCAAAGGCTTTTAATGTTTCTCTTTAGAAAAGTTGTAACAATCTAAGTGCCAGCTTATAACTATGAAGGAAAAAAGCTTATCTTTTTAAGATTCCTTAACTCTTTGATTTAAATTCTTTACTTAATGAGAATTTACAAGAAAAACCAGAATGAGTCTACTGGGGCTGTGGCTCACTGGTAGAACACTCCCCTAACATGGGAGAGGCATTGGGTTCAACCCTCAGCACCACATTAAAAAAAGGTACATAAAAAAAAGTTGTCCATCTACAACTAAAATATATATTTTTTAAAAAGCATGAACAATTCACATAAAACAAATAACTGAAGCATATGAAAAAATGTTTAACAAGGTAAAAACCAAAGACTGACAAAACCAAAAAGAATTTTGTAGAAAAAACTGGAAAAACATGTTTCTCAGGTGCTTAACTTTCCATCTTCTAAAAGATGTATTAAAAAGTATGGTCCATATAATATTAGTTACAAATGTAGATTTGTTCAATCTTCTGGAGAGGCAATTTTTTATGTGAAGAAAGTTTAAAATGTCTAAACTTTTTCATCTGTCAATTCTATTTCTTTTTTAAAATAGTTTTTTTAGTTATACATGGGCACAATATCTTTATTTGGTTTATTTATGTGGTGCTGAGGATTGAACCCAGGGTCTCACACATGAGAGGCAAGTGCTCTACCGCTGAGCCACAACCCCAGCCCCTGTCAATTCTATTTCTATTCATTTTAACCTTGCCTTTTTCTCATAAAGATCTAAGTGTCTATGAGAGGAATGTTAAAATAACAAAAGAAAAGAAAAAAACAGGGCAGAGAGAGAATGGAACCAGGAACACATCTACACTATTCCGTCACACACCCTACAGTCCTGTCAGTAGCAAGGTGTGGACAGCACACACAGCTGGCTCCAGGATCTCTAGTAAAAAGACAAATATTGATGCAAGTATAAGTCTCAATGTTCCAAAAAATTAAATAAGCTGCTTGCAAACCTGTTTCTAGGAATTTACCCTCACAAAGCAATTCAAGAAGGAAACATAAATTTGAGCACAGAAATAAAGGCAAAAAAGTTTATAAAGGCAAAAAAGTTAACAATCTATATGTCCAACAACGGGAGAACAGTTAAACACAGAATATGCATATGACAGAAGATTGTTCAAAATAAAAAAAAATGCTCATGTGTTACAGGAAAAACACAAAGGATGTATATGCAATGAATTGCAATTTAAAATACATTTTCATATACATATATGTGTACACACACACACACACACACACTCTGCATCTGTGCAGTTAAACATGAAGAAATAAAAACATTTATATTCCATCTCTGCTTGTTGGGGTTACAGCACTTGGAAAAATCACCCACTGGGTGGATCACACTGGTCCTACAACTGTGTGTTGAACTAGAAAGGGATGAGATGTTGAACTGCCTTGGTGGAATTATCATGAGAGGGTGGCAAGTGACCCAAGTGGCTTGTTTTCTGGATGTGCTACCCACTCCAAGGGGAGGCCAGTCCCAGGTCCTTGGGTTCATATAGTACATATCAGCTGTTTGAGATATAATTAAAGAAAAAGTGCTGATAAAGTAGAGAGATACGAACATAAGCAGCATGTAACATGAAGATTCCCCATGACTGAACATTCTCACTTCATTCAATTTTCCTTAAAATGGATCTATCCCTTACCCCACAAGAACTGCTAATCCTGACCAACTGTCAAAATGACCTGAGGATCAGTCAATCCCATCTTTGGAGAAGCTTATGTTCACCACTTGTGTTTTCTTGGTCTGGAAATGTCAGCACTAGGCATTCTAGAAATCTAAAGCAATACCCGGTTCTGGGCTGTTCATACAACTTGTAACCTGATATGTTTTGTTTTTCTCTTTAAGGAGAAATAAATAAGATATCCCCAAGAAAAGTGAATCATGGACTACCTCCCCAGGCAATTTCCCTGTATGTTAGCATTTTGCGTTGCTAAGCAAAAGCTACCTCTACTGAGATTGGTCAGGTCAAGACATAGCTAAGGCTGTGGGGTCCACTTATTCCTCTTCTTAAGGACAAAGGTCAGATCCTCCCCATTTGGGTGCTCTGAGTGAAACCAAGGTGATCCCAAGGTTACCTGGAGGAAGTTCTGGCTGGAGATGATGAGAGCCAGCTGGGCACTAAGGTCTTCTGCTTGAGCCTGGCTCCCTCTCACCCCCTGGACCAGCTGAGGGATGTGATCAGCCACTGCCTACAGGAAGCAAGGAGATAGAAACTGAGCACAGGTGGCATGGTGGAACTATCAAGAGAGGGTGGAAAGTGACCCAGGTGGCTTGTTTTCTGGATGTGATACCCACTCCAAGGGGAGGCCAGTCCCAGGCCTTGGGTTCATATAGCACATTAGCTAGCTGAATCTTCACCAACACTGAGTCGCATTTCCTGGGTTCTCTTTTCCCCACACACTCTACCCTGTGGTTCCCAAATGTCTTGATATGTTTGGCAGAAGATGATTCTCCATAATGAAGCATTAAAAGAATTTCCCTAGTTACAACACACACCGCCCTGGTCATTAGGATTGTAGAATCAGAATTCAAAAAATGACATGACTCACAGGTAACTAAACTGAAGTCTTATGGTCCCATCAGAGAAGAAAGTGCAAGAATTTCTCAGCTACCAGCACCTTTAAGTGCTCTGGCCTCTTATTTTGTAGGCATGCATTCTGTACTCCAGCGTTCATGTGGCCATAGCTCCTCTTTCTAAGTTCTAATGAGTTATTTCTCAATGTGGAAAGCTCAAAGCCCAGAGCAAAGGAGAGAAGAGCAGCAATGGGAAAGGCAGGACTGCCAAATGGTAACCTTCTCCAGGGCCTTAGGAGATAAGCCCTCCATTCTCTCTGTGCCTCTGTCCCCTCTAAAGAGCCAGGCATCAGAGGTCTCAGCACCACAGACGATCATTGCTGGTAAAGGTGTCCAGAGCATCCTGGCCTGATGACACATCTTTTCCAAAAACCTGCTTCAGCAAGGGTTAAAAAAATATTTCCATGGAAAGTTTTCCAGGCCCTTTCCAGGGCTAGTAATTCCAGTAATTTGGTCCATTTTCCCTTTTCCACCTGAACCTGACAAATGACACTCCTCTCATTTCCTGGCAGGACACTCAGAGACCAAGCATCTTTAGGATCTTTACAAGAGAGAGAGAGAAGGCTCATCCTGTGGCATGTCCCTGGATGTGAGCAGCACCTGCCCCCTGAGGACAAGCCATTTCCCCATCCCTGCGGGCTACTGAATGGAGCCCAGAGCAGGAAACAACCCCCCTCCCAACAGTGGCCTCACTCTCAACAAACCCCTCTGCTTCCACATAGTTCAAAGCACAGTAAGCCCAGGATCCTAGCACATTGCTCATGTTCTTTCTTCTAGAACACATCTGATCCCCAACAGGGGGCTGAGAACAGAAATCAGGAACAGAAGGCTCTCTACAGTAGAAACAGTGTCACCTTCCAATCATTATTTTACAGAGGAGATTTAAGGAAGGAGAGAAAGGGAAGTTAGCTCTGATAACCTCAGCACACAGCCCTTGCTGATCACACCTTCAGGAAACTCCAGCCAGACATCTTGCTGGCTTGTGGGCAGTGACTCTACCAGTGGATTTTGTGCCTGGAACCACTCAGAGATGTCCTGGGAGAGTCAGCTCCCTGGGACAATTGCAAACCCAGCCTGACCTTGAAGAGAAGGGAACGAAGGTGTTTGTAGTAGGCTGGTCTCAACATAGCATCAAGGCCCGAATATTGGAAGAAAAGAGACAAATGGGTGACAAAACAAAGCACAAAAGCACAATGCCACGGAGCTCAGACAGGATGAAATAAACCCTCAAGGTGGAATTAGTAGAAAGCAGGAAATCAACCCGGCTACAATGAGTAAAGGCTGAAGGTGAAGGCCCGCCAAGAGAGAGGCACTCCGGAAACCCAGCACCTCATTACTATTTCAGAGCTCTAAAATGGTCTCCTCATTGATTTTCTTTGATTCAGTCTCTCAAAAAGAAAAGAAAGCAGACAAAAGAAATGCAATACTGAGGGTGGGGGAGAACATTTATATTCTCCCTCCAAACACAGCCCATCCACTTAATGGACAGAAACCAGACGGGGGTACACCTGGAATGTGGAGCTGAACCAACTGGATCAGGGGCCTGGACCTTTCTCAGTCACCAGGAGGCTTGTCATTTCTAACGCCATCAGGGCCACCTATGGTGGAATCTCACCTTACAGCTCTGGACCAGCTGCTGCTGGGCTGCAGGGTTCTTGTTGGATGCAGCTGCATTCTGAGAGGCTGCGATGGTCTGTGTGGCCGCAGCTGCAGCCTGCTTAGCAGCAACCTGTAGAGCAGAGTGGAACAGGTCAGGCTGGGTTTGCAATTGCAGAGTCACCTGTGCACATCCTGCCACTTTCAAGCCATGGAGCTCCAAGAACAGTCTGCCTTTGAAAAGCCACTGAGATCCCAACCTCATCCTGTCCCATTATCTGCCCTGGGTTTGTACTCCCTGCATCAAGACAGCCGTACCCAAAGCTCAAGTTATGATGTTTGTCTTTCCCAAAAAGACAAGGATAATCCCAAGACTGTGATGGCACTGATAAGCAGCAGTATCAAACTTAAGCTCCCTAGGGAAAAAAGATCTCCCCCAGGCTACTGTGTATGTAGAGCAAGGCAGTGGTCTAGGACTTTCCTTTCACAGCACCTGGAGGCCTCAACTCAGAAACCTGTGCCACCAGGGTAGTTAAATGAGTTACTATCTCCTCTCCTTCCAAGCACAAGTCTAATTTTCTTCCTTCTGATCATAAATGGAGGGATTCCCTATGAGACATGATCTCAGCTTCTACTCCCACCCCATTTTCCTAAGGGTCTCCTTGTAAATTCATGAGAGAAATGATGTTTTTGCTACATAGTTTTTGTCAATAACTATTTCAACTCTTGTCAGAATATACTAAAAAAAAAAAATTTCATCTTACTCTCACACCTGTCCACCCAAAACTACTCTCCATCTGGTCTTTCAATGTCCATATTTTCTATGGGAAGCCATGTAAAAAGTCATTGCCTACCCAAAATATCAACATTTTCAGTGAATGTGTGCATCCTTTAATGCCAGGGGTGGGGAGAGGAATCACACTTTGGCCTGGAGAAAAAAGTCTGCATTCTATTTCTGAGAGTTAGAAAGGATTTTAACTTTTGGAAGCCATGAACTACAACAATTGTTCAAATTGTGTCAATGCCTTTAAAATAACTACACTATCTGATAAGACTGTTAACCTTGATTTAGCTTTCTGATATGGCTATTGCTTTTTGTTGATTCAACTATTTTTTCAAATAAATCTTTACAATCTAAAATGGCATCCTTGAAAGCCAGTGTTTTTCCTAACCTCCAGCCGGTTGACAATTTTTTTCTTAATAGCATTCTGGGCAGCAGCGTTGGTTGCTACCCGGAGACCTTCGGCAGCTTCTCTCAACCTTTGCTGCTGGTCTTCATTCTCTGGGTTAGCTGCAGCTCCCTGTAAATGTGAAAATAAAGATTTCAAGTGGTCCAGGGGGCAGCAGGACACAGTCACTAAAGACATGCTTCCAATTTTCCTTTTTTCTAGTAATAGAAAATATGTGGAAGGAAAAGCCAAATGCTGCAAGCATCTTTATGATTAGGATGTCTCCCCTTACGACCCAAAATATTCACCAGGGGGATGTTTCAAATCTGCATAGCTAAACAGTATCCAATGGTAATAATTAAACTCTGGAGATTACAGGTATTGGTCATCCATACAAATTACCTTGTGATCTGAAAACCATGGTTTAAAAGACATTAAGATATCACATGTTATTCTGTTAAAACATTTATTTATCAGCTAAATATTAATTTAAATAAAAACGAATACATTTTGCTCCAGTCTGGAGTTTATATATAAGGTAAAGGGCACAGAAATGTTCTTTTACAAGGATGGAGAGTTGTGCCGCATCACTTACTTTTCTTAAATCTCTTTTTACTGAGTTGAAATACTTTGTGTCAAATACTATTGTGTCAAAAGTTACTCTCATGGAAAGAGAGTGGAGCAGTAATTACCATAGGCTGGGAAAGGTGTAAAGAGCAGGTGGATGGACAGAGGGTGGGTTACAGGTGCAGGTATGCAATTGGACAGGAGGAAAACCATCTAATGCTCTAAGATAGCACAGTAGGACAGCTGTGGTTGATGACCATTAATTCTATATTTTAAAATAGCTGGCAGAAAAGATTTTAACATTTCCGGCACAAAGAAATGATAGAGGTTTGAGGTGATAGATATGCCAGTTACGCTGATCTGGTCATTCTAACATCATATACATGTACTGAAATATCACACCGTACCACATATATATGTATAATTATGTATTGATTAAAAAATTTCACCCAAAAGATGTTCAGATAAGTCTCTTTTCTCCACCTTTCTCAAGGAGATTTTTATGATACTTGGCAAGGCAGACACACATCTTCACATCACTGCTGAAACATCTGGTAGAATAGGTAGATGTAAAAGGTGAAGAAGATTCTAGTAAAAATACATGGCCTGATGAAGGGAATGTTGGGGGTGGGTAAGGAGAGGGGTTACGGTGGAGTGCCCCCAAAAAGACTTCAAGGAAACACTGGTTAAAAACCAAGCCTAGAAATTATGTTGCTGGAGAGTCAGAATCGGAGAACATAGCAAGTAAAGCTGGTAGCCAATTGAATTAGGAAAAGAAACCCAACAGCCTTAACCTGACATAACATGGTCCTGATATGCTGTAGAACAATGGGATATGCTGTAGAACTCTCACACACATGGTCTCACCAGTAATTTTATGAGTCAGGACCTTTGGAGGTGGAAATAAGGCATATGAATTATAACATGTGTCCCTCGGCTAGTTCTACAGCCCTTTAATTACTTTAGTTGGACATGTCCTCAGAACCTATGTGGATTCTATTTAGATGTGTGGGATTCTGAAGCAGGAAAAGGCTAAATATAATGAAGAAGGGATACATTTTTACTCCACAAAGACTTAGAGCAGGTGCAGCCTTCCTTTTGCACCCACAATAAATGCAGCGATCAAGATTTTTCTCATAAGACCTGGATGTTTGTGACCAGCACTTGACGTGTATAGACCAACAGCCTTTTTCCATGACTTCAGGATAATAATACTTGCTTGCAAGGTAGGCAGGACAGCAGGGAGAAGCCCATAGGTTTACTGAAAATCAATTTTTTTGAATGTCTTAAGTTTTCCCATGGTTAATTCATCAAAGTTACCATAACTGGTATCTTTTATAAAAATTATAGTAATTCCTACTGAAAGGAACTGGTCTGGCCATCTTCTTGAATAGGACTTTCTACTAACTTAACCACTTTTAGTTGTCTTGATTTTGAGTTTCTAGCAACTATGTGTAAAAGGATTGCTTGGGCTTCTTGTGTATTCTTTTGCAAGTTTATGAAGTCAGTTCATTTTATTCTGGTCATTGGGTATTTTTTTTAAGCCACTCCTTGAATGCCCAATTTTGTATTTTGAGTAGCTATAAACAAACATTTCAGCACTACACACTGATGCTTTACACCTTCTTCTGTGATGTCTTTTTTTTTTTTTTTTTGGTACTGGGGATTGAACCCAGAGGTACTTAACCAACTGAGCCATATCCCCAGCCCTTGAACTTGTAATCCTTCTGTCTCAGCCTGGATTATAGATGTGCACCATCGTGCTCGGCTGCAATGTGTTTTTTGATGATGTATATGGAATGTGGCAGACCAATATTAGCTTGAAATATTAGCTACTGACTAAAAAATATTTTTCTCTGTATACTAAATATATACTTCAGAAGTCTAACCATTAAATGTCCTTTAGCTTTCTAAAAAAAATTATATTAAAATATTGTTATGAAGACAGTGAATTTTAACTAAAAGTACAATGAATTTACAAAACCAACACTGTCCCACTAACATATATTATCAAAAAATCATAGATCATTAGAAGAAACAAGTTTTATGCAACTTGGTAAATTCAGAGAATTAGCTTGGTGAGCAGTGACATTAAGTAATGAATGTTAGTCCTGGTTCAGTGACATCTGGCTTTATCTTTTTGAGCTTAATTTTCTCAAAATGTGTAAAATAAGGGACTGACTAGATTTTCACATTCTAGCTAATAATTTCTTGCAAACATGAGGGCTTATTTGAAATAGCTACTTATAGACTTAGAAAGGGAAAAATAGTAAAACATTTAGAAAAATGAACCACAATACAAAACCCTAACATATTTTTGGCTAAAAGGGGGGTGGTGAAAAGCAGAGCTTTGTGGCTGCAACAGGGAACAGAGACAGAGAAGGAAGTGCAGACCCTGCTTCTCCCCAGGTCTTTCCTTCCCCTTCCCTGGAGCTAACTCTATGATCTCTCTGTCCTTCAGGGGGCACAATGGCAAATTCAGTCCAGAAAGGTCCTACACATGGCTTCTGTACATCCCAAAACATTTTAAGTGAATTCACAAACTTAGGTGAGCTATGGAGCCAGGGAAATGGGATGAGATGTGGAATCGTGTAATGAATCTTCTACATGTACAGATACATTAAAAATGTTCTTTTTGGGGCAGGAAGTTGAAGGTGATTTCTATTTCTTTTCTATACTTATTTGTATTTTCTATTAGTTACAGAAGTGTTGTGTGCTAGATGCATAATAATAAAGCATAGAGAAATAAGGCCATTTTATTTAAAACAGTTCTCAGAGGTACACAATGGGATATCCTGTAGAACTCTCACACACATGGTCTCACCAGTAATTTTATGAGTCAGGACCTCTGGAGGTGGAAATAAGGCATATAAATTTTAATATTTCATAGGAAGCTCTGAAAGAGACTTTTGGTTAAGAATAACTGGCTTTTAGAAGCATCATGCTACAGCATAGCTGTCAAAATGCACAAAGCCAACTCTTAACTCAAACCCTTACACAGGTTGAGCATCTCTAATCCAAAAATCTGAAATCCAAAATGTTCCCCAATCTAAAACTTTTGGAGTGTTTACATGATGCTCAAAAGTTAGATCTTAGGGGAAAAAAAAGTTAGATTTTCAGATAAGAGACAATCAACAAGTAAACTGTTTGAGAATATTCCAAAATCTGAAACAAAACAAAACTCTGAAATCTGAACCTCTTCTGGTTCCTAAGCATTTTGGATATGGGATACTTGAGCTGTGTAACATTTTAGGTTGCTCCTGGGAATTGAAGTACAGTGAAGTTGGAAACACTCTATTATGCAAAATCTTGATAGGAGTTGAGAAGTCAATGGAGGGCAAGGTAACATTGAGACTAGAAAGAAAGCCATTATAGGTGAATTCACTGCTGAAAATTTCCAGGTTCCATTTGCAATGAGCCAGCAGTGAGGAACAATTGCAAAAAGAGCCCTCACTGAGCAGGGCACTTTGCTGTCTGTGGCTCAGTCATCTCCTGTCCCCTGAAAAATTTCTGTCCATGTTTAACATCCTCCTTTACCACCTAACCCAGGTTAAATGTTATGAAGCCACTTAGATTTTAAACAAAGAGGAATGTAACTGACCATCCTTCATCTTTCAGGTACCTTCAAAATCTTAACATGATAGTCTTTGTTTTTCAAATCAACAAATCCAATATCATACCTTTGCAGCTTCTACCATGCGAGCAGTGGAGTCAGCCAATAGCTTTGCTGCTGCCAGGAGCTTCTTTGAATTTTCCATGTCAATTTCAGCCTCTGCATCTGACCTCATGGCATTGACAAGATCCGAAGTGGCCTGGGCCAGGACCCGGGCCTGGCGCACCATCTCACCTAGAGGTTGGGACAGACGATGCAGGCTGTTTGGCTGACTTTCAAAGTGGGTACAAACTCAGAGGTCAGTACAGTCTTATCTCTACTCCTCTGACAAGAGGATGGAGGGAACTGAACCTCCATACTCTGCTCCTAAGCAATGGGCCCGAAGTACAGCCAGAATGGAAAATATTCCCTATTGCTCCCAAGGCAGTACTCCCCAAACACATCCAAGTTCAACCTGTAACTATGAAGGCTAAACATGACACAAGTAGCCAAAAGAGGAGCACTTCATAAAGAGAGGGCAGGAAACAAAATTACATGAATTTACTTTTAGTAAATAGTTATTTAGAAAACACTGTTTACCTCACTTCAAGAGGCACTTATACAAAAGCCCCTATAATAAACTCTGTGAGAAATCAGCATAGGTAAAATTTATTTCTAAATTTTGGATTTGCATCTGCCTATGACTGGATGACTATGACAACACATAGCCCACTCTTTGCTGTTTGGTCCTCCCAAGTAGGAATACTGTCAGACTCAAGTACTAGAGGTGCCTTGGCCCAGTGTCTCCATCAATGTCTTCTTGCTCACATTTTTCTTCCCAGCACTGATTTGGACCCAGAGTTTCCAAATGTTGGGTCTTACTGTCCTTGTGATTTTACTGAGGTCTACTTCAGCTTCCTTTTGGAAGTAGAAGGGGTGAAATAATAAACATCAAAAATAAAACTACTTCATTAAAGGACTTATCCCTTGAGTCAAGTTCAACTGAGAAGAATGCAGGAGCACTGTGATATTAAGGGGCAAGAAAAAACTTTTCTAAACATAAAAATGGGCTAAATTCAGTGTGGTATCCTGGATTAGATCATAGGACAGTAAAAGGACATTAGTGAAAAAAATTGACATAATCCAAATACTGGCTACAGTTAACAGTAATGTGCCAGTGCTTATCTCTCAGCTTTGACAGATGTGTCATGGGAAGATGTTGTCATTAGGGAAGATGTTAGAAATGGGAGAAATGGAAAGGTATGTCGAACTCTGAAACCTCTGCAACTTCTTTATTTTTTCAAATCTGGAAGCATTCCAAAATAAAACACTTATATTAAAAAAAAACCCCAAATTGGAAGATACACACATACAAATCCAATTGTGTGGCACTTTCCTATTTTGTTAAATCATTTATGAAGGATATAGATTATAATTTTCTAAAAAAGAAAAAATAACCTTTGCTTTAAAGTATTACCGTTTGCTGGGGAGGAAGTAGGAAAACATATTTCTTACAAAATACTGATAGGTTGCAACTATAAATCCTTTTGGAAATAAATTTCAAAAATTTTTAAAAAGGACATACCTATGGCCCAGCAATTCCACTGATAGAAATTTATCCTTCATACATAACCCCCAAAGTAAATTAAGGTATGCTTAGTAAACTATAAGAATGCTTATTGTAGTATTAATTTAGTAAAAGCACAATAAGATAACTTGGATATCAGCTAAATGTCCATTAAAATACAATTGGTTAAGTAAAATCAAGCCCTCCAATAATTAACATAGAGGTAAACATGAAAAAGTCTCTAAAACATATTAAGTATAAAAAGATTGTAAATAGTATATGTAACAATTCTGCTTATATAAACAGTAAGGTGGTCTCCTCTTTTCCTCACACACATAACTATGGGAAGGTCAGGGGTTTTGCTAAATGAGTAGGTTATAGCTGCTCTTGTGGGTGTGGGAGGGGTAACTGTGAGATAACGAATATGAAAATCTGTCCACTGTAGTAACCATTTTACTATATATGTATCTTTTAACATCATGATTATGCCTTAAATACACACAATAAAATTTATTTTAAAAAACCCAAATTGCTAAGTGTCAATTCTGGGCATTTAGAGGGCATAGACGGGCTGAGTCTAATTTACTTTTCAACTAAATACTGAAAAGGTATATTACATATATTTTTTAAATTGACTCAGCAAAGCAATTCAGAGCTAAACTTCCCCTCTCTAGCCCTCAGATCCAGAAGACAATATTCCTCTGCTTTATTCATCCTGGAGCCAGGTAGCAGGTAACTGGTACCCTGATGAAATACCTCTGTGACTTAGAGCATGCCTACTTGCGTTAGACCAAATTGCTTGCTATGTCCTGCCTTACATCACTCCAGGAAACTCCAATAAAGGCTGCAGTGTGGGCCTTCCCCTTGCTCCTGTTCTCTGCTTCCTGACCACCCCGGTGTTTTTCATCATGACCCTGCATGGCCTGGGGTGACTCTCTGGGGACCTATAGGTAGGATCAATTGATCAATTCTACATTACATGCCTTGTCTCTGTTTCCTCAGTAGCTGCTCTGACTTTACCATACTATATGCAACATGTACATTTTTAAAACAGAAGGGTTTCACTGTGAATCCAAATTACAATAAAAACCTGGTTAATTTTGCACAAGTCTGTAACTGTGGCTATAAACGAGCATTTTAGAAGTCCCACGTTATCTTTTCCAGAGCCTCAGCAAGGAAGTCTCAGACTAAGGCTGATGAGAACTTGCTCTTGCTAGTCCAACAGCTTTTACTTATCCTATGGATAATTGTCACCATAAGGGAGCCCCAAACCCCTTCATCTACCAATAGCCATGTGCCTCACCAGCATCACCCATGGAGCTGAAGATGCTCTCAGTGACACACATGATGGTGTCGGTGGCTTGGTCATAGCGGCCGATGGGCTCTCCTCGACTGGCAAACTGCCGCACATGCTGCAGGAGGTCATGCAGGGCCTGGCTGACCACGCTGGCTGCCGCACTGACTTGCTTCAAGAGCTCACTGTCCCCAGTGGCTGCCTGGCAGGCTCGGACGCAGTTCTCCACTGAGCGATCCACAAGTTTCCCTGCCTCAATCAGCTGCTCCTGGCACACGGGGGAGCTGATGGTGGGGCTCACCACCTGAAGGGAGACAGAAGTGGGATTTGGATGCTGCAGGTGATGTCTGGTCCCCAGTGTGGCTGGCATCTCCCTTGAGTTCCTTTGTGCCCTGGGCTTGAGTTTTTCAAGTACCAGGGAATCAACTAATTTACTGCTGTGTCTCCCTATAGTTCACTATTACACTTTGGGAATTTAGTGTCTTGCTAATTTACATTCTCATTAGTCACATATGACAAATTTGGATTACTACTTCCATAGAGATTTCTGATATTTACCAATTATAGCACGTTCTTCTTAGGATCTTCTGAAGTAAGCCTTCTGGCCCAAGATGAAATGACTACCTAAAAGAACTGTATTTTTCCAGAGGTACCTGAAACTTTGTTACTTATTTGTGGATCCCATCAGGGTAGCCATGACAAGCAGGAAAACCACTGGGGTCACCCCTAGATTGATGCTCAAATCCTCCCACAAGATATGAAATGCCAGGCTTGTAAGATCACACATCTACATAGTATGAGACATTCCGGGTCCTGTCTTATGAAAAGAATACACATGGTAGAGTTGAAAGGGCATCTGGGATCAGATGGCCCCGAATTATACTGTAGTCTGTCTCTACTTCTGTGGTTGAAAGCACCTTACTAACTCAGGTTCTTCCTCAACAAATGAGGGATAATGATACTTAATTTGCAGGATTGCCAGGGAGCTTTAATGATGTGATTCCTAAAACAGAGTGTATATAGCCTAGAACAATTCACATCCTCACTCAGTTACTGCAGTATGGAAAGGACCCTCCAAAGAGCTGTGGATTATTTCTGAACCCATTCCTAACACTGTACCATACAACAAAAGGCTCTTCCTGTGCACTATAAATAAAATGCCCTGGGGGAGAGAGCCATTTGCAAAGACATGGATTAGAGAAAAGGACTAACTGCCTGAAGAATTGAAAAAAGCACAAATGATAAATTCAGCAGCTTATACTAAAATCCTACCACAACACCTAAAAGAAGAAGACACCAGAATGTGTGGCATGTGGTAGGAAGGGCTGCAGATGCCAGCTGGCTTACCTTGGCACATGCCACAAGCTGAGAAGTGGAAAGGGCACACTGAGTGGCAGCAGCGATCACCCTGTTCTGTAGGACAGTGTCTTCAGCCACTTGGGCAACATTCTTGGCCTTCAGCACCAACATGGCAGCAGCATTGGCGACAGCTTTGGCCAAACTCATCAAAACATCCTAAAAATAGGGAATAAAAGACGATTCAGTAATTTTTTTCTATTTACCCCTTAACAGCCTGAAAATATGTGGCATCCACCTAAACATTTCATTCAAATTCCATTTGATCTTTTCCTTCAGCACTTAAGAATTTCTTTTCACTTTTTTTTGAAATGTTAACTTTTTCCTAGAAGTAATTAAGGAAAAGGACTTGTATCCTAATTACGTAGTCTCTTACTAAACCCATTAAATAATATAGGTTTAAATCTAAAATGGGTTAATCCAAGGGAAAGATTTTTATTTCAACCACTGATTCACATCCAAACAGTTATCTCACACTTGGTTTTGACAATGTCTCTTGAATATATGATTGATGTGGTGGACTAGGAGAAGCTGAAAATATACTCAGATGCCACAAACACCATGTGCTATAGGCAGGTTATAATTCATGACCTCCAAGTCATCATGCCTCATTGTAGTTTGAAAATTTATCTTTTGGATTTCTGCTTTGCACAAGGATGCAAGTTATCATTGGAAAGTCAGACACATCTCTGCCTCCAGAGGGCAATGTTGGACATGCACAGACAAATAGCTGGCCCCAAAACCTACAGCTGAAGAGCCAAGGAATGCTCTGAACATAAGTCATTCTCAGCGTCTGTAGCCTTGTGGTCAGGGATTAAATTATTATGGAAAATGGAAAGAGAACCCACACAAGTAAACTAGCTACAAGATGATCTGACTGATCTTGATACAAGATGCAAGGAGTTCTGAGCCTTTGAAGATGAGTTTATGCCCCAACTCAATGAAAAAGCCATTCTGTCGGCAAAAGGGAAGACTCCTTTGACTTGGCTAGTCAGATTTGTCACCCATCTGTTTGACCTGAAGAATAACCACCGTTACATTTAATTTACCTCTTTGCTTTTAATACTGAAAGCAGTTTATTTGATTTAGAAATGCTTTCTCAAACATGTGAGCCATTTTTATTTTGAGCAAACATGTCAAGGCTTTTTCCCCAGAGGAAATGTGGTCAGAAGTCTTTATTAATTCATCAGATAATAAAAAGCACTTTTGATTCTAAATGCAAAGGGCACCCACAGAGTCTTTACAATGAGATATTTTGTGAGAATATATATTGGAAAGTGTGTTCAGCCTGCACCATTTTACAAACACAAAAAAAGACTATGTGACATTCAGGCAAATCTGAAACCCAAGGAAGCCAGTTTTGAAGTAGACAACCAAGTGGTCTTAAAGGAACAGTTCAGACCAGCCTTTCTCAGGTCTGTGGTGATCCCACATATCCAAGGAAAAAGTCAAACCCAAGAAGCTTAAAGCTGACCTTCCTTTGGGAGCTGACTGGCACTTGTCTACTACACAACTTTTCCCAAGATGGACCACAAAGTTATAGTTTTTAGACACCTATATCAAAGCTCAGTTAAAAAGCCTGAATATCAATAATATATTGATATTACTAACAAGATTTTTAAACATAACTTCCCAAAGCAGGCCACAGTATTCTCTCACTTGATATGAATCCATCTTTACATAAGAGGACCACAATTCAATAATGTAGAATCGTGATTGTTCTAAAGGGCTTTGTTAAAAATCACTTTAAAAAACCCTGTTCCTCCTATTAATTTTGTCCAAAAACAACATAGTTAGAAAAAGAGCATGATACTACAGCTATAGTTGCTGACAAAGCCTTTGTCAAACTTTTCAACAAGACCACTATTATGTTGCCTGTGTAAAATAAATCTTTGTTAACTCTGGGAACATGCAGTACACTGAGAACCCAAGAAAAGCTCTGAGATATGATCTTAAGACTCAGAAAAATAGAGTAAGAAATTGAATGTGAATAAGCTAGGGGCTACCCCCACTGGAAGAGGCTGAGGATTACCTCCTTGAAACGGGCCCTACCCAGGGACCTCATACAACTGAACTACTGAGTCACTCTGAGCATAAACCTGCCTCCCTAGCTGTGCCTAAATAGAAACAAACATCAGGAAGCAGAGTTTGCATGTGAATGCAATGAAAACAATCTGTTAAAGGAAAGGAGGCAAAGTTTAGAAAGCACAAGGATGCATGAAATTTTGTCTTAAGGCAGAATCATGACTTTCTCCTCAACTGTTCCTAGCACTTTGGGGAGAATAATAATATTTTCAAGGAGATTAAATTGGGCATTTCAAGATAAATCTAGAAAACCAGCAGCTGAATCTAACATATGCCAAATTCCTAAGTAGATACACCTGCCTATAAAAAAAATACCTCAGCTCATAAGTGTAAGGCTAATACATGGACAGTTTGAGGATTTGGAAGGACAGTCAGAATGGGGGCACAATCAACTTGGGTTTAGATGGGTGTATTTCTGCAGTCTACAGTGAATTCTATTTATAGTGAAATTATTTCTGGCCAGCTCAATGAAATAATTGGGACCTACCTTCCTTCATGACACAAATGTTCATACACTGAACATCTGATTGTACCAGGATACAGATGGGTCCTATGATCACAGCACCACAGGTATGTGGAGAGTGAAGGAGACACAAATAAATCTATGCATGAAGGTACAAGTTTCATGTCTCACAACACATTTGATCATATCATAGTCTGACAAACCTTGCAGCGATAAAACTTGGTAGTTCTATAGAATATGACATGCAAAACTGTCACCCATGAAGCAAGAAATTGGAATGCCAGACACAGCTGAATGAAGAAAGCTTTCTCTCTCTCTCTCTCTAAAATATTACCAAGTCATTGCCAAATGAAGACATGGTCAGAGAGGATGCAGCCAAAAACATAGGGAAAATGTATTTTGGGTGTCAGGGAGTTAATAAAAAACACATTAATTTTCTGAATTTGGTGATATTTGTGATGTTGTTTCTGATATTTGAAATTTGTAGTGATTTTTTTCCTAAATATTTCACTGCAGTTACATACACGTATATTAAAATTTTAATGATGTAATACATACACATACATATTAAAAATTTAATAATTTGCAAAAAACTTTAAAGATCAATGAAATTTTGCTGAATTCTCAAACAATGAGCTTGACACAGATTCTGGTCCAGGGAACCCAGGTATGAACAGTCACATTTTAATTAGGATGGCTTTATGCATTACTTGCAAAATTAGAGACTTAAGAAGAGGAAGGAGTAAGTAACATTGGCCTATAGGTGCACGAGGAGAGCTCATTTTGGCCTGAGTCACTCAGCTGCTGGCCTCTGTGCCCCGTCTGTGGGTTGGAATAAGCTGAGATCTTGTCTGAGCTGCAGCATGGTTATGCTGATTGTGAATCAAGCCAGCTGCAAACAGTGGCTACAGCTGTTCACCCAAGGGCAAACAGCATGTCGCTGGAAAACAAAGGTCACAGAAAAGACTTCACCACCACACTTATGGTTTTAGATGAGATACAGAAGGTAGAACCACCTCTGAATACAAAGAAAAGCCTACAGTGTGTTGTGCCTGAAGACGGGGTGTGTATGGTTTTCATATTTACACGCAGACTCAAGAATGATGCCAGAAGAAACTGCCCTTGAAGAGAGAGAACAAACCTGAACAGGTGTTGACAGCTGTAGAGGTTAGGTGGCCAATACAAGGCGTTAGTGACTATTTTCTCCACTTTTGTATTTAAAGTATATCCAGAAATTTGATAATCAGAAAGGTTAAATAAGTATGATGGTGTGATGGTGCATGATTTATGTGTAATGAGCCTTTCTATTTAAAAAAATTTTTTCCATTAACACAAAAGACCTCACTTCCCTAATAATCCCTCTCGATCTTATTCTTGACAGCTCAAAGATTGGAATTGTTTTCCATCAAATTCTCCCTGATCAGTTCTGAACCAGCACTTAAGACTCTCTTCTAAAATTGTAAGGCTGCACATATCTTACTTGGAACCGCTCATCAGTCTCATTCTCTCCGATCTGTCTCAGAAGATCTCCACTGGCTTGTCCAATGCTTCCAGCAGCAGTCAAAACGGTCTGTCGAGGCTGTGAACAAAGAACATACTTTGGTTGGAAGGAAAATACATTTCCTCTACAGTGTCTTCAGCCAGGGCAATGTGGAGAAGAATCACATAGGACTAGCAACTTTTATACATCAACAAGAATCTCAGGCTATTGGCCAACTAGGAAACAACATTCCGTGAAATCTGAGCAAAGTAGGTACCCGGTCTTACACACCAGCAACAGGTGGATGGATGTGAAATGTCCAATGAATGAGCATCATACAGCTGGTAAAAAGGTGGTAGGTGCTGGATGGAAATTAGGGTACAAACATGTATCCTCTTTAAATGTGTGCTAGTCATGTTTGTTAAGTTTCTGGGGATGTATCTAATTAAGTACCCTTGTGGGAAGGCCTTCATACTAAGAGCTCAACCAATTCCAAAAGTTGAACAAAAGTATCTGCACCAATTTCAACAACTCCCAATACTGCTGTGTGGTAACACACTCCATTCAGATAGAAGGAAGAGCTCAGGAAGTCAAAGGCCCATAGTCTCCAGGGTATGCAGGTACTCATCTGAATTTGAATGAGTGCTGGTCCTTGGAGCTTACCTCTCCAGAAGTAGGCTGCACAGCTTTCAGCAAGTCGGACACTGCCCCAGCGAGGGTCCTTGCAGCTCGGAGCAAGTCCTCCCCACTGCCAACCTCATCGTCCATGAGAGCTGCCAACAGCTTCACACCCTTGGACATCTCCGTCAGGTTGGAAGAAATAGTGGTGATTGCACATCCCACGGCTGTGTAGTCAGTGTCTGCAGGGTCACCTGGGACAGAGAAGGACCATTACAATCAATGCGGGGTGGTGAAGGATGAGGAGAATCCAGGTTGGCAAGAGATGGCAAGGTTGGCAAGTGGTCCTGGTGAGAATTTTCAAAATCCCCACAATGGCAGTAGTTCATTCTCCATAGCTCTGCAGGAGTACAGTGAGATTGACCACACCCTGTTTCCAAGGTGACTTCAATAAGGTCCTCTCATCTGTTGGCTTCATATATTGAGATACGGAGCATGGACAACTTTAAAATTCCATAGGAGGTCTCGGCATGTCATGGCGCTTTTTGCTAGGCTTTTGTCAGTAGCTCAGTGGGGACAACTATGCTTTGGAAACACTGACACTGTAGAGTGAAGCCAGGGTATCTCCTGCTCTCACTTGACAGCGTCAGGCTGGGAGTCACACTATGCCAGAAGAGACTGCTGTTGGACAAGATAGGAAAAGGCACAGATGATAGATTTGTCCTTTCAAGATCATTTTCAGACATAAGTTCCCAGAATGGAGAAACTGGCCTCACAGACTTTGAAGTACGTCCAGCATGTTGACTAACAATGAGGAGAGCTACATGTGTGTTTTGTGATGATGATGCATGATAATGATAAAAAGGAATGAGATGTTCCTTACATTTCTCTTGGATAATTGGAAAAAATACCTAAAGCAGGCCAAGTACCTAAAAATACACTACCTTCTCATCATATGAAAATCTGTTGTTTCAATCAAAGAATATATATTTTTACACAAAACCACAATACACCACAAAATGCTCAGGGACTTACCAGCCGTGAGGTTAACGACTGAAGCCGTTCCAGCTGTAATAGCATCGACTTGAGAATGAATTTCGTGTTTGGATTCGTCCACTTTGTTCTGAACCCATACCCTAGACGCCTGTGAAGCCAGACAAAAGCATGACACAATCACGGCAAAAAATTACCCATGGGACCAGAGAAGTCGGCCATAAAATGAGGCCAGCATTTTGGTTACATTCCCCTTACTGGGCTGGCACTGAATGAGCTCTTGAGTCATCTTAAACAATATCCTTAAAAGCCTTTTAATCTGTTCAGAGATACTGAATGGCATATAACTCCATATCTTATACTGTTTTTTTTTTTTTAATTTAAGATTTAAGGGAAAAAATTGTATGTGGCCTTAGGTAAATTCAATTGAAAAAGAAGAGAAAAATCAATGTCTCATAATAATACTGCACATTAGCATTAACAGTTGTTGGTAATGTTCACTTTGCTTTTTAGGGAACAAGGTTAGAATTGGAGATTTCAGTCCAATGCAGGAACTATTTCCTGTTTACAAGGTCCACCCGAAGACAATGCCATGCTCATGTGGATGTGCTACCTTTCCCCGTAGGACTGGGTCCAGGGGCCAAGATCCCTGTTCTGGATCCAGCTCCACTGCAAGGTAATGGGACCCTGGGCAAACTATATCCAGGTCCTATGCCTTGTCTTTCTTCTATTGTAGAAATTCAACTGTTAAACAACAAAAAAAAAATCTTTCCAGCTCTCACGCTGTCTTGGAATCTATACATAGTAAAATAATTATTTTCTGGCACTTCAAGACTTATCTAATAAATGATCATTTACATAGGTAATGGTAACCCTGTTAGTAAGATGAAGATCTGCTTCTCAAAATAACCCCAAAATATTAATTTATGACCAGGATGTGTGGAGCACTAATAATAGCTTATTCCATTCTAATTCTTTGAAAGTTGGTGAGGAGGAATGTTACATCCAGATATTTTAAAGCTCAGTCTCATGATTACCTGGGATATGGAAGTCTGCCATATATTTTCACTTTAAAGTTTTCCAGAGTAAAATCTTTAATAATTTCAAATACTTGGGGGAAATAGCACTGAGGACACCAATTACCCTGTTCCTCCACCACAGTATGCGAATGGAAAAAGCCTCAGGGACAACTTGGAAAGCAGTCCTGGCCAGATAGGATGATGCTACAGATCCTCTCTTGGTTCTGGCACCCATAATGGCATCAGCCTATTCCACAGCAGTGGTTAACCTTGACTGCCCTTAGAATCACCTGGGAAGAATGAAAAACACTTATGTCCAGGATCCACCCACTATGATACTAATTTATGTGGTCTGAACTTGGGTTTTAGGCTTCATTTTTAAAGCTCAGGTGATTGAGGTGAGACTACTAGCCACTGCCTCTCCAATTTTAATGTGTACACAAGGCAGCGGGGAACCTGGCTGAAATGCAGATTCTGGTTCAGTAGGTAGAGGTAGGCGTATGATTTAGCACCTCTTCCAAGAACTCATGAATTGCTGCTGCTGGCCTGTGGACCACATTTTCTTGGAGAGGAGTTAGCTGGTTTCATGCTGCAGCAACTATAGGAAGGTCTTTGGGCCAATTACCCTGCCTTGCTGCAAAGCTCAGAGGTTATCAAAGCATGATCCTTACACAAGTAGCATCAGTTTTACCTGGGAACTTGTTGGAAATGCACATTCTCAGGCTCCACCCCAGACCTTCTGAGTCCGAAAGAATGGAGCTAGGTCTCAGCAACATTTTAACAAGCCCTCCAAGTGACTGTGATACATGCTAAAATTTGACAGCCACTGATAGTAATAAATATAACAAAACACCTACTGCTCACTGAGCTCTTAACTACATGCTTGATACTTTGCTAAGAATCCTACATGTGATTAAATCAGTATACCTTCATAAGAACCCTATTATGAATGACACAATGGACATTTAGAGAGCTGCCCAGATTGAAACAGTCAGTGAGTGAATAGGGGAACTGGGATATGAACCCAGATCACTTGACTCTGAGGGCCCAACTGCTCAGTTCAGTGATCCTACCAACAGCCTGCAGCAATGATTCTCTTCCCCTGGTCCACAACTGAGAGACAGAGTTAACATCCTGGAAACCACATGGCTTTCCTTGTCATTTAGCTGAAGACTGAGATTCACCTCGTTGAATCCAGACAGAGCTCATAACCTTGTTTTCTGCCAGAACAGAGACAGCAAATAAAACTCACAGATCAATATTTACCATATCCTGGCCGAGAGGTGGCAGTGAGTCAAGCTCACTGAGGTCATCCTGGGCCTGCTGGACAGCATGCATGCTTGTGTTGATGGTCCCCATAAGGGCCTGCTGGGCTGAGGTCTGAAAAGGCAGATAAACAAGGTAGTCATAGAATGTTCCTGGGACTGACAAGGCCCTCCATGCAAAACTGCAAAACTGAGCTCTGAGCTCAGCCAAAGGTACATCTCAACAAATGCCCGAATTATTTACCATTTCAACCTGGGGACCAAAACCAGACATTGCATTATATTAATAGAATACAAAATAAAGGTGATTGCAACAGAGGAATTATCATCAGAAGACTCTAGAGAGCTTAATTAGCTGACAAGAAGGCTCAGCTAAAGCCTTAATTTAAGAATTTAATTTTCAGTACTGAGGACAGAATATCTCATACATAGAAAACATGTGTTAAATGAGAATGTTTCTTGATCAGTACCTAAGAATTCCATCCAAAACTTACAGCCAATATGCTTTTTCAGAGTCAAATTATTTCTGAGCTTTAAGGCTCTTGAACTTTCAAACATTTTTGCCTAATAGCAAAGGATCCCCAAGGCAGGCCTGAGAGGCACTGAGTTAGACAGACCAGCCCAGTAGAAAGGAATTGACAACCCCAGGGATGGAACATCAAGATCACTAAAGGTCTGGTCTATTTCTCAGACTCTTGGAGGATATCTGAGATAATTGGTTTGATACTATTATAATGAAGGAGCAGTCACAAACCACAGTGAGAGGTTTCTGACTTCAGCAACAGAGGCAATCTCTAATCCTAGACAGGAGAGATCAGAGTCATCCAACTAAAAGAATGCACAATTTGATGAGCTGTGGTTCAGATGGGAGAGGGAGTCCCCGACACAACCCATTACTGTCATTGGTGCCTCCTCTGGACACAAAAGACAACATTCTACTGAGCAAGAGACAGGTACAAGAAATCTCACCAGTGGAGGCATGTGGCCTCGGTGCATCTGCCCAACCATGACTTGCTGCTGTGGTGAGGGCATACTGCCAATGTTGAAGGTCTCAGGCCCACTGGAGCCTGAGCGCATCACAGCTGGCAGTGCCACTGAGCCATGCTCTGCCTTGCCTGTCCTGTTGAACTGCTGCTGCAAGATGGTGGACCTGTAGAGAAAGGCAGCTGGTCACTGTGGGGTTGTCACCCATGTGAAGTACAGTGAGAAGACAACATAGGTGCTACAGGTGCCTGCTGCTTTCTGCTCTGGAGGACAATCCAAAGAGGCACACCCAGTTGGAGACTTAGGAATGAAGCAGAATTCATTGTCATTTATCTCATTGTCTCTGAGCCTTGAGATACTCTGGCACCTGTTCCAAAAGATTTTAGCTAGAGACCGGGAAGATGTTTTAAAGTGTCTGACAAAAAAATTATGAATTTTTTACTTCTTGATATTTTCTTAGAATAAGTGGTATACGCAAAGGACTTGGGTAATCTGAAGGTAAAAGGACTGAGGGTGGCATATCTTCTTCAGGAACCCAGTAGATAAACCCAAAGGGAGGATCTGGGGAGTCTGGATAGCAGAGGCCTTTGTCTTGACCCATCACAGATCATCCCAAACATCAATAGCCAAGTGAGGATCCCAAGAAACAGACATCTGTAAGAGAGACATCAATGTGGAGGGGTGACAATAGCGAGGGTAGTCTGGGGTTCCAGGAAGAAGTCCACTGCTTTCTGAGATCTCAGCAAAAGATCAATACAGAAAGAAGTGGAAGGTCTAGTGATTGTGTCCTGGACCATTCCTCCTCCTTACCTAGATCAGACCCACAATGATGGGAGATTGTGGAGATTTCACTGGTACCAGGCAGGCAAGAGCCCCAGCTCAGATACTTACTAGGCTGTTCCTATGGAAAATATAAGAACAGCAGAGTCTTCTGAAATGATCAGCTCACCCTGTCAGGAAGTACTAGTTTAACAATTTCCATGTAATGGTCATTAATAATTCCAAGGAGTTAAGGTACTTTATCAGGGAGTAGCAAGTAATGAAATGCATTATATCCAGTTGGCGCCGTCTTGTGTACTCACAGAGGATAAATGGAAAAGTACCTTCAGGGTTATTAGAAAGCAATTTGTGAGAAAGTGGTGAAAAGACTGCAAATATTAGAGAAACAACTACCATGGATAAGTGAGTTGATTATAATGGAATGCAAGAATTTTCTGGGAGTATATTGTGGGGAACATTACAAGATCTGAATCTGAGTTCTGGGCTCTGTGTGCATCTCAACTAACTCCAAGATCTTTGGTTTTCTCATCCATGAATCTGAGATGATCACCACTGGCTTATTTCTTACATAGGACTACAAGGTGGTAATATTATTTCTATTTTGTAGATAGGTTTGTGCAGATAGAGAGTTCAGGGGCAGAGAATAAAAGACAACTGTCCCCATAGCCCATGTTATTAACTACTGATCTCTGCTACCTCATAGCAAGCAAGACAAGTATGGCATGTGGCAAGTGCTTCATAGACAACAATCTTTTCACTGGTCAGAACCCCAATTCCCTTCCCCAAAAGGACCAGAATCAAACAGAAGCCATGTTCCAGCCTCTGGGGGAAAAATAACACAATTCATGAGATTCCATCAAAAATGCAGAATGGAGCTCCTGAAGGCTCACTGCCTCTAAAGAAGGAGTGGAACACCACACCATGCTCAGTGTCTCCTCAACAAAAGATACCTAAACAGACATTGCTGGTCTGGGGACCACACTTGGAAAAGACTTGACTATACCATCCACTATCATCTCTTACAGGTGATGAACTTCATAGCTGAGCACAGAGCTGGTAGGGGGGAACCTGTCCACCTAAAGAGAAGGTAGTTCCCCAGCACTCCCGACACTCACTTTTTTGGGGAAACCGACTCTTCCAACATAGTTGACTCCTCATCGCCTTCTAGGCCAAATCGGTCTTTACTTTGTTTCTGGAGGTAAAGCAAGATTCAACAATGAAAATGAAGCTTTGCATTCATGTAAGAACCCTTGAAAAGAACTTTAGAAGGTACACAAATAAAAATGTTAAAGTTAACCCAAATTTTCCTGAATTAGAAAAGCTATGGGTTAACAAAACCATGATAACAATAAAAGAGAAATACATTATTTAATATAGATAAATAATGTCTTATTCTTGTAGATTTTGCATTGCAAAAAATCAAGGCTCATATACTAAAATTCTACCAAAACTTGGTTATTTCAGTGGTTGTTTAGCTGTATTATGAAGCCTTAAGAAATCTGTTTTTTTTTTTTCTGTACACCACTATGACATTTAGTCCCATTACATTTATTAAGAATGAAACAAAAATGTCTCATGAAAACCCAGAATACTTTACCCCCTCAGTTTGGGTTTCTGTAAAGGCCGGTGACCAAAACCTGACCTTATATAAATGTTGCAGCAGTAAAACCATAGGATCTCAAGGTCAAAGATGTCTTATTAATGCAATTCTAATGTCAAATATTAAATTAATGAATCAAGTGTTTCAAACAAGTGATTTTTTCAAGCTAGCTACATCATCTAAACTGAGCCTTTTGATGAAGCAGCTTTGCTTTTCCAATCTGCATCAATACGAAATACCTTTTTGAGGATGATGTCAATGTATCCTGCAATCAGCTGAGATATTTGTTCTCCCTCCGTGGTTTGTACTGAATAGTAGCTTTCCTGATACTCCCCAAAGTCCTGGAAAAAACAGCAGTAGAAGAAACACGGCTACATCAGATCTATCAAGCACTTTAAAGCCTCAGAGGATCAAGTTCCAGAGCAGCATGACACAGACCGACTTTTCCCCATAACTCCCCTCTAAGTAAATCCCTAAAATTTAACAATGGTAAAAGGGTTCTGGAAACTGGAAAGGTAAAGTGGCTGGAGGCCTCAGGACTTGAGGAGTCCCAATGTGGCTGGTTCTCAGGTTTTGTTTTATGTTCCATGTACCCCCACAACTGGGAGCTAGAGAGGCTGGAAAATGAGAACCTCCAACAGTTAACTTCTGAAAAGCATGTTCTCTTTGGTTGAGGGACCAGGAGAAGGGAAACCCAACAGACACTTATCCAGGAGCCACAGTGCCATGTAGAGGACCTGGGCTGGTGCTCACCAGCAACTGCAGAGCAGCAGTGAAAACCCAGACCATCCCTAGCTCTGTTCCGCAACCCAGGCAGGTGAGTAGTCTGATCCTCTTGCAGCAGTGAATGCAGTGAAGCCCTTCTCCCTGCTTTCCACCCAGGGCACAAAGAGACTTGGACCCATTGGCTTCTCTCTCCCCAGCATAGGTCACTGAACAAAGAACAAAGCCGTCCAGGATGGTATGGCAAGGGCTCACTCAGGAGGAGGAAAATCGGCACTATGACAGAAGCCTATAGAAGAGGCCAGAGCAGCACACAGCAAACCTGACCAGGTGGCTGCCTATTCCAGCAAGATTGAAGTAACATCATAGACTCCTGACATACAAGTCAAGATGTCTAGGATGTAATAAAAACATCACTATTCATAATGAGGACTACGATGACCATATGTGAATGAGAAGACACAACTAATGCCAATAACTGAAAGAACTCTGATATTAGAAGTATCTGATAAGAATTTTAAGATAGCCATGCTTTAATGCCCAAGTATACACTCTCTGGAAACAAGTGAAAAGAAACATGCATTCAACACACACACACAAACAGAAACAGAGTCATAACAAAGAATTAAATGTGGAAATTATAGAACTGCCCAAATTAAAAAAAACCTCACAGGACAGAACACATAGTAGTATACAGATGACAGAGGACAGAATCAGTAAACTTGAAAATAGACCAATAGAATTTAGTTAATCTCAACAATAAAGAAAATGAACTAAAAAACTAACAGCTTCAGGATCCTAGGGGATGAACAACAAAGCATTTAACATTAATATCATCAGAGTAAAAGAACAAGATAATGTGGGACAAGAAATTTTAAAGAAATAATGGCTTTCCCAAATTAACCAAGTACATAAAACTGCAAATTCAAGAAGCACAGTGAACTCCACATTAAATAAACCCTGAGAGATCTGCACCAACAATTCTGAAAACTGGAAATAAAATTTAAAAAGTTTAAAAGCAGCTAGAGAAATATAACCTATTACCCATAAACAAACAGCAACTTCTACTTTTCATCTGGAAACAGAGGTGAGAAAAAAGTAGTGTTTTTTTAATTTTTATTTTATTTTATTTTTTTAAGTGCTGAAAGAACTGAAAATCCCAAATTCTGGATCTGGCAAACGAGAAGGAAATGAAAGCTTGTGCAAAGGGAAAAACCGAGTCTGCTGCCAGGACCTACCCTTAAGGAGGGGCTCACAGTGTACTCCAAATGCAGAGCACCTGACAATAGGAGGAGGCTGGGAACTCTGAAACAAGAATAGCAAGAGGAATAAAAATAGATGTAATAGACTATCCTTCCCTCAAGTGTTTCTTTGTTTGAAAGCTTAACTTATAACACCATCTGATCTGGTGTTTAATGTATATAGGTGAAATATGCAAATAATTTTATTCAAAAGGTGGGGAAGGTGAAGAGACCTACATTGAAACAAGGCTTCTACATTTCACTGGAACAGGTAAAACATCAGTACCAGCAGGCTGCAATTAATTTCATGTGCATATGTGGCAATATCTTGAAAACCTATGAAAAACACTATGTAAAGTGGTGTGCTAAAAACAATAATTCAAAACGGGAGTTTTAGAAGTGTTTCAATAACCCACCAGAAGACGAGAAAAAAGAAATAAAGGAGGCAGACAGAAAAAAATTATAAAATGATAGACTTAACTCCTAACATGTCGATAATTATCTTAAATGTAATTTAAAAGACAAGAGATTGACAGAATGGATTAAAAAGAAAAAACAACTCTACAAGCAACTTGGTTCAAATATAACAGTATATGAAAGGATAGAAATAGACAGATCATACAAACACTAAAAGAAGCATGACTGGCTCTATTAATATCAGATACAACAGACTTCAGCACGTAAAATTACTAGAACAAAAGGATATTACATAATGATAAAACAATCTCTCCTTTAGAAGGACACAGGAATCTTAAATGAACAGTCATCATATATCAAAGCTTCAAAATACATGAGGCAAAAACTGATGGAAGTGGAAAAGAAACAGAAAAACCCAAGACCTTCACTTTTAGAAAATGATTGAATTGCTAGACAGAAAATTAACAAAGATGTAGAAGATGGATGAGCCACTGTCAGCTCGTGGGGATCTGATTGACATTTACTTTACCAACAACAGCTGAGCATGCACTCCTTCCAGGCACTCATACCACATTTACCAAGCACAATCATACACTGGGATATAAAACAAATCTTAATGCTAAAAAAAATTAAAATCATACTGACTATGTTCTCTGACCATAATGGAATCAAACTAAAAATGAATAATAGAAAGACAACAGGGAAATCTCCAAACAATGGACCATAAAAGAACCAAACTAGAAATCTATAATAGAAAGAGACAACAGGAAAATCTCCAAACACGAGGAAATTAAATAAAAGCTAGAAGTAGGAATGAAAGAAATATATATTGCAAGCATTAACCCAACTTTATACTTTAATAAAAATATTGACATTCATTACCTCTTTTGTTTGAGGTAGTTACTATTATCATAGCTATTTCTCAGTTTTATTTATTTTTGCTTAGACCCAGTTTTTAAAAACCAGTATTAAAAGTTATATAACAAAAGATAATTGTCCCCTGCTCCATCTCCACCTTTACTTTCTGCCGCACACCCCCCCCCCCCAAAGGAAATCAAGTCTTTAGGCAGTTTCTTCTAGTATTTCTAAATCACATGCTCATATTGATTTTCTTAGCAATAATCCATGACTTCCCATCATGGAATATGAGGATGTGACTCTCTTCGTATGAATACCCAATTATAAAAATCACGCGGGCACAGCTGCTACTGACTAGAGAAAGAGGTGGAGTTTCTGAAGGTTCTTTTCAACTGGCATAATCATATCAATCAATCATCAATTTAAGTAACTACTCCTCCCAAACTCCTCCTTATACCTTTTAAAAAATGTCATATGAGATCTTGACTAGATGGCAAATTGATATTTCAAGTGCTCACCAAAGATGTCAGGGGGTCTGAAGAAATGACAAATTCCAGCACTTTTTGATAATCCTTATTGTTCGGTTGTCCTTACAAAACACCCGCCCTATCAAGTTTCGCATGAAAATTTGGCCCTAGAAGACTTCACATTATACTCCCCTCACAGCAAATACTAAAGTTGGGAGAAGGAATTTAGAGGCCAAAGGGCTGAAACAAACACCTTCTCCCCATTTCCCATGAATTTTATCATCATCTTCTTGTTTAATGCTAGAACTTTATGAAGTAGGTATTACTATTCCCATTTTATATTGGAAGAAATTAAGGCTCAGAGAGATGTTGAACAGGGCCATAAAGCTAGGAGATGACAATTTGGAGCTTTAATATTACTCCAAATCTATGTTGTTTCCACTATGTACTCTGTACTATTTCTAGGAAGGCTGGGAAAACTCACCTTAGCACTATATCACAGTTCTTAGGAATGTTTGATGTGTGGGCTTTACAGGGTTAGAAGTTCCCTTTCAGGATGTGCAAGGGATCCATAGTACACAGTTAAGAATCCTCTTGGTGAGAGGCTCCTCTAGATATTGAACTAGGGGAGGCCTTAGGTAAGACACCAGAGAGGAAGCAGGAGCCAAAGAAACCCAGTCTTCGTCATACCTGTCTTACTTCTGCATCAGTCTCCTCCCTGCCCATGGACTGGCACCATCTTCCTCTCTCCATGCTGACTCTCTAAGGCCAGAGAAACCCACTGGGCTGGGATCTGGTCTCTCTCCTGTACCACAATATTGCCCAAGGCCACGTCAGCCCCCACGTTGCCTGCCAGTCCTACCAGTGTGAAGCTCTTGGGTGAGGCGGCCCAGCGCTTGACCGTGGTGAGAGGCCACTCCTGCAGCACCTCCTTGGTCTTCTCGTCTACGCGCATCACAGAGTCCTTGGTGATTCCCAGCAAGCGAGGCACCAGCTTGTTCTTGCCTTTCATCTTTTCCTGAAATGGGAGAGACCAAGCATCAGTGCTCTTTCTTTGAATGCATCAGATTTTATCTGTGGTCGCTCCACATATGTGGTGTTTGAAACAAGCAGGGCTGTTGGAAAAAAAGATTCTGAGGCCAGGTGAATAATCTACCAAATTGAAGGACAGAAGTGAAAACAGAGACACTAGAAGATTGGAGTGATCCTCAAAGGCATGTTTCCTGGGAAGAGATGCTTGTGCAGGTGGGTTACTCCCAAATAGACTATGTCAGAAAGAAAGGACAGAACTAAAAATGTTCTTAAAATTAAAGATGTTCTTAAATAATCTTTAATGATTAGTTTTAATAGTTTTTTGGATATAATAATGTCTATTGAAAGGATGGCTCCCTATTCATACTCAGGCCAAAACCAATTCAAAATGAATGAATATTTTAGGAAGAATATAAGGTGGGTATTTTTGTTATTTCTGGGTGAGAAATGGCTTTCTAGCAAAATTACCAAAATAAGAAGTGACTAAAGAAAAAATTAATAGTTTCAACTCAAAACATACAGACTTTGATACATCTTAAAGTCAGAGAGAGACAATTTGGGGAGACAGGGAGGGATGAAGGAAGAACAGAAAAAACAGAAGAAAAGGAAAGAAACCTCTCTATAAGAAAAGAGTAAAGAGCAAACTACTGGAGAATAAATATTTGCAACAAATATAATAGTAAAAGATAATATACTGACCAAAGTTCTTATGAATCAACAAAAATAACTACTGAAGAATATGAACAGAAAATGCATTTAAAATGACATAAGCAAATAAAATATTATTTATGTCAAGAAAAGTTTTTTCCCCCACTATCTCAAACCCTTTAATTCTCATTAAAATGGTAGTATCACAGGTCTCATTTTAAAGATAAGGAAAATGAGTCACAGATTAAATAATGTTCCCAAGGTCACACAAATAATAAGCAGCAGAGCTAAGCAAAGAATTCAGGCAATATAGCAATAGTGTTCTCCTTTTTACCATTACTTTATACCCTGTAAGAATAAAGATTGAAAGAAACAGAACAAATCACAGTGGTGTTTTCTCATTCCCAAAATTACTTTGAACCAAGAGAAATATGAAATTCTTTTTAAAAAAAATTTAATTTGTTATATATGACAGCAGAATGCATTTCAATTCATGTACACATATAGAACACAATTTTTCATATCTCTGGTTGTATACAAAGTAGAGTCACACCATTCGTGTCTTCAAACATGTACTTAGGGTAATGATGTCCATCTCATTCCACCATCTTTCCTACCCCCACGCACCCTGCCTTCCCCTTCCTCCCCTTTGCCATATCTAAAGTTCATCTAATCCTCCATGACCCCTAACCCCAACCACATTATGAATCAGCATCCTTAAATCAGAGAAAACATTCCCCATTTGTTTTTTTGGGATTGGCTAACTTCACTTAGCATTATATTCTCTAACTCCATCCATTTACCTGCAAATGCCATAATTTTATACTCTTCCAAAAGAGTTTTTAAAAGAATGAATTTTTGGAATTGAGGAAGATATGAAGGGTGACCATACTGACTGATAGCAAAGCCTTTGGAAGAAAATGTGTAAATATCTGTGCAAAACCTTAAAAATGTTCCTACTTCTCATATAGCTTGCCTTTAGGAGTTTCTTTCTTTTAAAAAATTTATAAATGTAACAATTATGCAACAAGAAACTCATGCAGAGTTTATTAAAGTGAAAAACTAGAGGGGAAAACCCCTAGTTTTCAATAATACAGGCTTTATGAATTATGTTCTATCCAGATAACATATTACTCCACTATTAAAAATTATTTTGTAGCAAAACAACCAACTTCATGGAAATAAATGATTCACAATACATAAATCAAAACAGTATACATGGCCCAATCCTGTGTGAAATAAAAATTTTAAAATAGGTTTATGTACAGTATATGAAAAAGCAAGGGCAACGATTATGTCATATGATTTGTATTTATTTTCTTATGCTTTTCCTTATTTTCAGACTTTGCTTAATATATGTATTTTTAGTAAAAACTTTTCAAGTAATAGTTGCTGAAACCTAGCAACACCTAAACTGGTGTTCTCAGAGGAACATGTACATATTTGCATAAATGAAATATGTATATGTGGGTGTGTGTCCCCACTCCAGCACTGGGCACCGCACCTAAAACAGGGCTGGAGCTCACTACTAAATACTTATTAGCCACTACTTCAGAGCATCTCCAAGAGGTTGGTAGGTATCATCATCATTTTTCCTTTTGCAAATGAAAAGACAATATTAATTCCTCTAAGACTGACAATGCCAAGTGTTAAAGGCACAAACTGAACACAAATTTGAGTAGCTCAAAAACATCTCTCACTTCAAAAAGTAGACTTTCCACCACAGAATACTGTCTTCATGATGAAAGTAAAGAGAGAAAAGGCTGAAATCCACCCCCACCCCCTCAGTGGACATTGCATGAACCCTCACACAATGGCCACAGAACACCTCCAGCTTCCTCCTAGGAGGACCCGATGGCATCAGGAACCTGTGTGGTATCTGAGGAGGGGAATGCAGCACTGTATGAGCCTCAAGTCCTTAAAAAACACCAAGAAGAGTCATATTCTTTTAAAGAGGCCAGTTCCACAAGGGGTAAAATCAATGCAATGCAGATGGGGCCAGTTATTCAATGTGGCTTCAGGAGCTACACAGAGATTTAGGTTGTAAAGGTGCTAGGCAGCTAATTCACACAGGTTTGGCACAAGCCCAGCTGCTGGGACAAAGGAAGGGATCAAAGATGAACTATGGTCCAGAGTTGTTATCCTTTTCCATCTGCACCTCTGCCAAGTGAGGGAACAGGACTCCTGATGGATTGCCTTAATGCTTTTCAAGATCATTCTAGCCTTAGACAGGAAGCCACAGTGGACAAGCAATTTACAGTGGACATTGTGTCAACAGGTCACAACTGGGAAAGGGGATATAGAGAATTCAAAAAACATAGAAACTGGCAACAGAGACCACCATCAAGGGATACAATTATTTTAGTGTCTACCCACAAAACACAGAGCAGCTAGAGAAAGATAAAATAGAAAATATCTCAGAGTTGGGACAGCACTGTAAGGTCTTCCCCAGTGCAGAGACCTGCTTTAGATCCTCAGTGGCAGAGATGTCAGGAGAGGGCCACAAGGTAATTAGGCTCTGTCGTCCTTCTTATGTCTCAGATGTCAGCACCCCCCCCCAGCCCCACCCCTTTCCAACCTTCATCTTGCACAGACAAGCATCCTTTATCTCCAAGAGATAAGAGCAAGCTAAGGCTGGCTCCAGGGAAGACTCATGTATCTCATATCCTGACACACATACACTCAGACTGCAGCTGTGATTTTTGCCAGCGATTTAGTTGTTTCTCTGTAGAGTGGATCCTGATTAGGTTGGTTTGGTTTTGAAAATGCCTTTAACTTGCAAAACTCAGAGGCAAGAGAAAGTAGGCATTCTACCAAGGTGAGACAGCATCTGTTATTAAGCCCAGCCCTCTCTTCTTTCAGACATTTCTCAACCTCAATACTATAGGCTCAGTGCTGGGGGCCAACTGTGAAGCAGTTGGCCTGTCAGCTGGTTCCTGTCACAGGTACAGAGACAGACTGATTCTTGTGTCACTTGTGCCTCACATCTGAGATTCCAGATTGGGCGAAGGGATGCTATTGGGCTAAGTCTGGCCTGCCTGGCCTCTCCCCACTCACTTCAACATAGCCTAAGCCCACAGGGTCCTCCCCACGATCCCACCAAGCTCACTGGAGTTCTGTGTTGGCTTAGCACCAACAGACTGGCTTGTGTATTTTGCTTTGTCATCAGTATGCTTTTCCCTTTAAGGGGCATGGAGAATGGACTAGCTGTCCTAAGCACAAAACTGTGTGTTAAAGTCTGTTTAATAGTCATTTCCCTTTCTAAAAATGACTGGCAATCCATTGTGAAATTCTGAGATTCTCTGAGAGCTGTGCTCTATGATACTTTCACAGTTCAGGACAGAATAGGGTTGGCTCCTCAGGAGTCTCACCTCAAGTAGGACTGCAGGGACATCTTAAAGGCAAATGAGGAAGTAAAAAGTATTACACAAGGGTTACCCTTTCTGGAATCAAACAGTCCTACGCAGATCATGGGAAATGCCTTACCTTGGCTTAAGGGGTTTCAGTTTAGCAGATCATGATGAAATCCATTAGTTGATGAAAGAGGAAGAATGTAGATGTGTACAGATTCCTTTTATTGACATCTTTAATGAGACAGTCCCCATTTCTATAGTATCTTATTAAACCTCATAAAAAGCCACAACTTCAAAGGTGTACAAATAGGCTTAGAGATGGAAGGAAAGGCCATTTATCTAAGCTCAAACTATTAAGTGGAAAAGCCAGGATCCAAAACCAGGACTGTTTTTGAAGCACATTATTTTAGACACTGAGACACTGAGAATACTGTTGCCTAATGCTGTTCTTTGTGGACTCATAATATAGTCTATAGATAATCTCTAAACCAAAGTGGGAAAACTACTGCTAATGCTAAATGCAGCTTATTACCTTTTCTTTTCTTTTTTTTCCCCAAAAGACTTGATAGTTTAGAATGAATTTTCCATGTTAAAATTTTAAAAAATCAAGAGGAATATTTTCAGATACATGAAAATTACATGAAATTCAAATTGCAGAGTCCACACATAAAGCTTTATCCTAATATAACCAGGCCCAATCATTACCATATTGCCTACAGCTGCTTCCAAACTGCTTTCCTCAGGGTGAGTAGTATGGGTGACAAAGCCCAAGATGTTTATTATTTGGCCATAACAGAAAAAGTTTGCCATCCACTGATCTACATTCATGGATATTAAAAATCAATTAGGAAGTCAAGAGACTTTGGGGCAGGGATTTGGAAGATGGAGGGAGGGTGAAGTTTATCAAGTATCATCATGTTCCAGGTACCACATCTGTTCACACACATTAGCTCAGTCTTCACAAGAACCCCACAAGGAACCAACA